CGTTTTAGGTTGATCTGTAGCGTTTTTAGGTTTTTTGTATTAATAGTTTTGTATACGTTACTTTCTATGTATTAATATATAGTCAGATCGTTCTTCCGTATGACTTTTGTTCGTTGCTATCTGTTTAATGCAAGGTACTGTTTTTGCATTTTGAGCTTGAAGTTCTTGGCCCGTATTCGTTTAAGTGTTTTGTAGAAATAACCGCTTGTATATTCTCCAGCGCATTTGCATTCATTATTGCACCATGTTGTTGTTGAAAAGCGTTGTTGGCAGGTTTAAAGTAGTATTTGGTATCAAAAATTTTTCGTCTGTTAAATCAGATGTCTTACACAAGAGTGCTCTTCCTTAATTCGCTCTGTCCTCTCATTTCTCTTCACATCGATTTTTGTATACTAAAACTTTATACCCTAACGGTTTGTATTTCTAAACCTCACTCTGCAGTTTATGTTCTTTTCTCTCAGTATGAACTGAGGTGTATCCTTTGCGTGGTACTAAAGAACGTTCCCCTGTTTATTAAGCTCTTTATGTAAGATATCATTCCATCCTTCCCTTTTAATTTCTTATTTTTTTTTAAGACAGCAGTACTTGTGCTTCATTTTATTTTTAGGTATATGATATATTTGTGGATTTTATTTCTTTTTTTAAAAAAAATTATGTTTTTTAATCTTGCATTTAAGCCGACAGTGACGTATTCGTAACTCTTGTAATTGTTTGTTGGATCCCATTGCATCCATGTAATGTTTGGGCAATATTGCAGGGTTTGTTCGTATTTTTATCCATTTTACGTTTATTACGAATTTTGCATTTTTTTCAAGCGAGAGAATTTTTGTATAAATAATTTTTTTAACTTTTTGTTGCTTATGAAGTTCGTATGGGAGAGAAATTTATTGAACATATCCAATCTCTGTATTCATAATCTTTACAAAAGTAACTTTTTTTATTTTTAACTTTTTGCATTCAATAGAGTATACTTATTTGGCTGGTGGTTTATTTTAGTGTTTATCACTTATTGACCTAAAATTTTCTTACATATTATTATTTGATGTAAAAGATTATATTCGTTATTTTGCCTCAATTCTTGTAATCATTTCTTATTAACTATTACCTAAAAGTTTATAGAACAAGAGGTCAAAATTTCTTAAAGTGCTTGGGGGCAGTGTAAAAATACGGAAAGAAGTAAAAACTACTTTTGAAGGTAACAAAAAATATTTGGGGAGAAAAAAAAATTTTTCTATATCCAAATTAAGGTATAGTTGGCTTCTGAAATAGTTATAGCCTTAAAGTATATATACCTCGTACCTAATTCGGCAGGCACGAGCACTTTTGTTGCTCGGATCGGTTTTGAGCAAGACACACTTCCGGTGGGAGGATATTAGTTTTTTTATTCTCTTTATAATAAAGCGCTTTCTTTCCCCCGATCTTACACTAATTGGAAAAATTCATCTAACTGCTCGAGTAGGCGCTCCTGCTGTTTATGATAACACTCCAAACTTTCGCTAAACTAAACACGCTGTTTTCGATTTTGAGCGCGCGGTGACAAAAGATCACAACCAAGCAACGACGACAAGTGAATTTGTATACCGTTCTAAATGCCTTCCTGATGCACTAATATGCGAGTGTCGGCCACTCATTAGAGTAGTCATGGCCTTCCAATGCGCAGTAGGCAAACTAGTGCTAAACCGCCTTCACCGGCGCATCAGGAAAAGCTAATGGCGCTATAAACTGTCAATGGGAGAACAATTTAGACGAAGTTTAGGAAGCTGGTAACATCGGCGCGCCTCCTTTTGGAAATTTGCCAAGTAAGTTAGGAATCTCTACCACCAGTTTGCAACGACGATACCGTTGCCAAAAGCGAAGGAAACAGGGAAACTTACGATCCCCTAGCTGTCCAGTGTCCCTCTACCCCTCTTCTTTCCATGACGCCCCTCTCGTGCCTTTTCTTATTACGTTTGATACAACTGATTTTCTGGTGCGGTCTACCACAGATGAGATCAAATCAATTTTTTCAAATTACTACCAGAGCGAAAGGCGCCCTGCTCTGACGGCATCACCAACCTGATGTTAAAACAGTTGCCAGAGACTGCTACGAACCATCTATGCAGCCTCGTCCGCTCGGTGGACCTTCGTTTCTTTTTTCGGTCGATGGAAAATGGTGTAGTCAAGATGTCGCCGACGATATCCCACCTGCCTCAGAGCCTTGCAACTATCGACTTAACAAACTTATTTCGGCAGTTAGTAAGAGAGCTAAAGCAGTGATACTTAAATCGTTTGAAGGCGGTTGTGGACGCTTGTGGAAAACTACAGACTTTTCAGTTTGGGTTCTAAAGGGACACAACTACCCAACGAATTCTTCGCCTAATCGAGTGAACTACCAGAGCCTATAACTTTAAAAACATTTAACGGCGCTGTCTTTCTATATATTGAGAAGGCTTTTATCCTCTAAATATTTTATTTTATTCTGAAATAAATTATAAGCAGTTTCTTTAACTAAAACTGACAAAATTGCTTGGCCAAGATTCATGATTTAACGAAGAACAGAAGATTAAAGATGAAAAGACAAATGAGGTTTTGTTATGATATCATAAACAAAATAAAGGTTATAACGTTCTATGAAGATAAAAAGCGCGGAAGTGAAAGTTATAGAAATTGAGAAACTTGACAACTGAGGGTAAAGCAGAACAAGCGCTTTATTATAAAGAGTAACGAAACCTTAATCCCCCCCCCCCCCCCCCCCAGGAGGGGAGGCTTACTCTAGACTCACCCGAACTCAAAAGTGCTCGTGACTGCCAAGTTAGCATACCTTTTTGACCAACTAAGCGAGCATTTGGACTTCTTTTTTTATTATCACTCCTAGCTATTATTAGCCAAAAATTGTTTTAGAAGCAACTTCATGCATATAACACTTTAAACTAATAAATATATGTAGGTAAACTTTTTAAGCTCTCTTTCACTCACTAACAACAACCATGAACCACGATTACAGGATGGCATATTAAAATAGATAAAACGCTTCTTGGTTTAGTTTATGCTTGCTGCGGGCTTAACAGTTTTCTGACCCAGTACAACTTCCAGTTTGTCTTTCCGTTGCCAGCAGCTTTATTGCTAACGACATTAGGGTACAGTTGGCTGACCTTATGGCACTGTACTACGCTCAAAATTTTTTTTTGGCTTCATACACTTGTAATATTTTATTGATAAATAGTTCCATTGCATAAATAACAGCTTTTTACTAAAAAGAATATTAAAAAGGCTACAAGCACATTAAGTAATTAGATCTACTGAGGAGGTACGTGACATCAAAGCAGTTGACCACATGCATTGCCTACTTTGAAAAGAAAAGGCGGCAAAGTCTAAAACTTCCTGTTGATACCGCAGACTCGTTTCTGGGAGAGGGCCTTCCGCGCGCCGGATGCCGCAATTACTCGGGCTGCCGACAAATTAGCGCCGTTAAGGTTTTCTATAGACTTCGCAGAGACCCTCGAAGGACTAAGCATTTTTTCTAGGACAGATTCCGAGTATATACGAGAGACGCGAGAGGGGGACTGCGGGCGCAAGATATTTTCCTTCAACGCTCCTAGGGATGCAAAACAATCGTTAAAAAGTACTTTAAAGGGAGTGCGATAAGCTTAGCAAGTAACTACTGTTCTGCCTGGCCTTCGACGAAGAAGTGGGCCGCATGAAAGAAGGAATCTCTGGGATATTGAAGCGGACGGTCTTCCGCAGCTTTGCGTCATGTCGATCGGAGGAAGCCCTACGAAGGACCGAAGCTTTACTGGGAAACCACCAGCAAGTCCACCAAAAAACAACGTTTTATAGTTGTCTGAACAGCGCAGGCGCAAAATGGAGCTCGGAACCTTCTCGCCGCATATCTTGGGCGCCTCTTCAAAGTGTGTCTTTTCTACTCGCAATCTTTCAGGACATGTCTCATTACGGCAGCCTTCACTGTCGTTCTGGAAACCGTCAGCTTTTAGGGAACCGATAGGAAATGATGGTGGCAGAGGCTGGCCGGGATCTTTGAGAGCTTGTAGAAACTTGTCGAACTCTTGCAGTTCATTAGAGACAGCAGCTAAACAGATGTCTAATGGGGGCGTGTTCCGCTCGAGCCGCAAAAGCTCTCCTTTCAACTCCAGCAAAAGCAGCCCCTGCTGATTCCGATTGTGTACCTAACACGTGGCCAGTGAGGCCTACACGCAACTACAAACCGACTACCACAGAAACCTCCTTTATGATTTTGTCCTCCAATATCTGCAGCGTCGCTTCTTGAGACCTTAACTTAAATAAGGCCAACAGGATAGTAGGTGGCGCATACCAACAGTGAAAAAACGTGATACCTCCTCGTGCTTACACTGCAGTTGGCATGTGAGTTGGGCCAACTCCCTGTCGGTCGATCCGTGGCAGACTTTCTCTATGGCGAGTGTTTTTTTAGAAAAAGCATGGGAAAACTTTTCCCGCATGATCCGCCCTTGAGGTTCGTGCCAGTCAGCAAAAAAAATGGCGCCGAACGAAAGTAAGGCTCCACAAGATATACAAGACCTCGTGCAGTCAGCGCCTCGAGCTTTCGTGCTTGAATGGCTTTTATTTGCTCCTTAATAGAGCAGTAGTTTTGAAGCGCTCCCACTATTTCGCTGCGAAGGGCAGAAAAATAATCAAAAGAGGCGAGAGAGGCCGGAGAGTCCGACTTTAGGACTTCTGCCTTCGAGCTTTCTTAGAACAAATTATTGGCACATGTACGCCACGCCTGGCAACAGCCTTCAAGATAAGAGTACCGGCCTCGTAGAGCTGCAAACGCATCTTCAGCCTGTGTATCTCCATCTCTTGCGCTTTGACCTAGAAGCAGACCAGCACTGGGTTAGCAGGGTACACCGAAGCGGCGACGGAAATGAACGGTCACCAGCTCGGCATACTGGCTGACGTGTTTGTCGACCAGTGTCTTGTTGCACGTTACGCTCGCCTTGATGTTTTTCGCCCTGTTGGCGTACTTGAGGGTGTTGTGCGTATCTTCATACCTTACCACGGGCCGCATGTTCACGAGAACCACCACAACTAATTAATAGCAGAACAGTACCACAAGCTACTCGGGCTTATATTTGCAATCATCACCGTTCGGCAGTTGCCTTCGCCACCATAGCGAAGCTGTCAGAGAAAGCGAGAATATCAAGAGCAAAAGTGTCGTTACCGCCCAAAGCATCCTTCAGTAGTCGCGTGAGCTTGCTATCGCGGTAAGGAACGTAACACCGCCGACCCTCGCCTCCATTTTTGCTACTAGTGACCTGCCAAGAGTTGTGTATGGGAGAGAAGAGAGGCAAGCGGGGGAGGGTACCAAAGCGTTGATACAGTTTCCCAGTGCAAGAAGAGATTTGTTGATGTTGGCTCCTTCCCTCAGCCGTTCGCCGAGATTCGTGGTGTTAGTAGCCCTCTCCGAACCAGCCAAGTCGATCAGCAACTGGCAAGAGCAGTGGCTTTCAAACCATCCATAGGCACCGAATTAGAAAAGCGGACCAGTTTGGCAGACTTGACGGTGCTTTGCAAGCTTTCGGCGCGGTCTCTCTGATTCACTAGAATCTGAAAAACGGCGTGCGAGCGCGAAGAGCAGGCGTTGACATCAGTCGGATGTTGAGTCCTCTGTGCGTTCCCATTTTCCAGCATTTTGAATACTTCCTGTGCGTTCTAGACAAGGGAAGGAAAGCGGAGTTTCTGCTTACAGAAATGGCAAAAACCTTAGGTTTATGCTTCGAAAGTCCCACCACGACCATCCCCTTTTCGTTATCCTCCCGCAGCGGGAGCGGGGTGGAGGGGCTCAGAAGATCGCGTAAAGACTCATTGTAGACCTCCAAGTAAGAGAGCTCGACGTCGTACTTTTTTGCTTCGTCTGCTTCCATTTGGGCATAGAGCTCCTAAGTACAGTCAACCAGTAACAGAAAACTCCTTAAAAAAAGTTGTTGTGTAAACCTGGATGGTCAGAACCATCACTCCCGGCTGCTCCCTATTGCCCAACATAGTATGGGTCTTCCCAGCCCCTGTGTTTCCATAGGCAAAACAGGTGCAATTATAGCCTGTAGTGTAAATTTAATTAGACTTAATAGTTGACTGTAAGCGTTAACATTCTAAACATATAGTTATTATCTGGAATTATAATGGCTTAAATAATAAGGACCTTAAAACCCCAAAGTTCTAGAATCGAATAAAAAACTTTAATACCTTCAAGAACTGAGTTTATAAAAGGTTTTAAAGTACTTTCGAAGACCTATATTTTCAAAGGAGATAGCCGTATTTATATAAACATAGGAAAAATGTTTTTTAACCGTACTTCAAGCTGAGAAGAATTTTCATTAAAGACACGGTCAAAGGCATACTTAAGATCTCGAGATCTTCGCATAATAGTTGGCTTTACACCTTTCCTACGGGCAGAAACAGGTTTTTCGTCGGGCTGCGGATCAAAGCAGATTACGTGCGAATCCAGCAACTTGACCACAGGTGGCCTGCTGTGTATGATAGAAACAAAAAATGAGCTAGCAGAGTATTAATAGCAGCAAATCTAAACTACTAGAAGGAAGTTTTATATAACAAATACTTAATAGAAATTAAAAAAAACATTATTTTTGAACCCAGTCTTAATTTCAAAGTCATTCAATGGGCGGACTCGCACGGTTACAACAAAATTTTTAGCAGCCAGCATTCTTAATTTTTTCTAAACATTAAGCCATCGAGTAGGTCTTCTTTTTACATAAAATAATTAACTATAACTATATCTACTTTATATATGATTTAAACATAATACAAGTTCTAAACTAGTAAGACGCAGAGGGCTAGTGCAGAATAAGCCCACCACGAAATTTCATGCGCAGCCATTATACACATTACTAAATAAAAACTACCAATTTAATTTATTACATGTTTTTGGCGGAAAGTCAGTTTAAGCGGGACACGAACGCACAGCCCTTCTTGTTGGCTGCTTAGGAGAACTGTTGGTGTTAAACGTTTTGCTTTATCTCACAACTGGTTTCCTCATATCCAACTTAAACTCTAATTAAAAAATTATTTTTATTTTTATAAAAGGTTGGTTTAGCAAAGCGACCGTTAGAGTTAATCTTGAACGTAACTTTGTGGCTTTAGTGATTATTTTACACAAAAAATTTTAGGACAAACAATCAACTGTAGTAAAATATTTTTAGAGGTTTTAGTTAACAACTATGTGAGGTTAAGTACGCACTATAACATGGACTGTCGTTTAAGCGTTAATCAACAAACTATAGGGTTGACATAGTAACTCAGTTTTAAATGCAGTTTTTGTTATTTACAACCGCAATAATACTATACCATACCAGAAATTACAAAATATATGTCGTGAATTTTGTGGTGAATTTTGATCCCTTAGCCAAGTCGCTTTCAAAGCACACTGCACTCAAATTAAATACACGGTCCCTTTACCTTGTGACGGCAAGTCTAAGCAATTATTGCTGAGCGTAAACTAATAAACTAAGTTTTTTAAATAATTGTGATTGAATAAAGGCTTGTTAACGAAATATAACCAGCAAGTTTTTAAGGTAATAACTATTTTACATTTTTCATAGTTAATGGAAAGTAAATTTAAATACTATTTATATAGTCTAAATTTATCTTGTGCCATCTAAAATATTTCTTCAACTAAAAAACTATCCGTAATAAGCTAAGAGATCTACCAGTACGTGTCGCTTACGAAGCCAGATGACTTAAGTGCATCAAAATAAAATCTTTGAAAGTTTCCACTGCGCGTGACTATTAAGCTGTTCACTTTATTTATTAGTTTTTGACTTGCTACCAAATATAGTATTAATAACACACCGAGAGCCTGAATTATGTAAGCACTCTTAAGTTCTCTTTATCTTTCCTTAATGACTAAAATTCGTTAACATTATAGTTGTTCTTCGATCAAACACCCAAAGTTCGCCGGAAAACAAACTCTCCGTCTTGTTCTTTTTAAAGTATTCTTCCCTTAAGAAGCTTTTATAACCATGGATGCCTTGGAGAGATAAAAAACAAGATTTTATTTTATTAAAGAGACAACCACAAAAGCAAGCACTAACCATGATGAAGCATGTACGTGTTGCGATAGCCCTTCGCTTGCAAGTAGGCGTCGACCTTAACGCAGCGAATGCCACCTAAAACAAAATTAGTAAAGAGAACGATGTCGGCTAACGGAGACTTCTCTTATGACCTGTGCAATAGGTCATAATAACTTGATTTTTTGGTACGTGCTGAAGAATCAAGTCGAGTTTAGGCCACGACTGGGAAAAAAAGGAGGTCTACCAATTAATATTAAACGAAATAAAAAAGTTAAACGGTTTACAATAAAATGACTTGTAGGGGAACGGCATTTATAAAACACCCAGCATTGCTCTCGTAAAAGTTTCTACAGTCCAAAACTAGCGGGCTCCCGGACTTCAACAAATTGTGCCTGCAAAGTAGAGGCAACCATAAAGAAAACGCAGAAGAAGACAAAAAATTTACCACTGCGCCGGGGAAAGATGGACCCCCAATACCCCAGAGGAGGACAACACGCGGTCGCTAAGCTTCCTGTCGAGCCCGTCGCGGACCAGCTAAGCATTATAATAATTAAAACACACCCGCGATAAAAATAACATAAAACTTGGTCACGTGAGAATACTTTCAACTTCAAAAACGGTGAGTTCATTTCTTTAAGCAGCCCTCGCGGGAGCTGACTGATGTTCTCCTCGTCCGAATGAGGCAGAGTTACCTAAAAGGTTTTGTGGCTTTCATAAACTCATACACCTTAAAGCATATGTGATCTCAAAAATCTTAGAAAGTAATTATTAAGAGATAGAAAAAAAGTTAGTTACTTGATCCTGGAAGTTAAACTGAACATCTCTTAGATCATCGTCAAATTCGCGTATACAGCGTTCAAATATATGTAAACTTTTACTGTGAACCAAAAACTGCGCGTTCAATCCTAACATTATATATTAAAAATAAAGTTTGTAAAAATAAAGGATAGCCGCTTCAACAGTCAACCACCTTCCGGAGAAAAAATAGCAGTTCCTAAAATGCCAAAAAGAGATTGCAAGAGTTTCTAAAGATAGCAACAGTGGGACACAACCAAGAATCAACAACAGTATTAGTGAAAAGCAGGCAAGACTGTTAGCTCAAAAAAACCTATTTATTTTTTTTATCAACCAATATTTAGCTCTACTTAAAATATCCACTGACAGAAACTTAAGGAAAGGACTTCTATTACTATGAATGTTCCCTATACAATGCTTTAAAGCCTCTTACGTGGTACGGTTCATAGAACCCCAGCTTAATAAAGTTAGAAACGACTTTACACACATAATTTTTGATTACTTATTTATAAAACATTGCTTTTCAACATACTTATTAGATCGGTAAAGAAACTTTTCTAACCCCCCTCTCCCCAAAATATAGTCTGAAATGTTGTCTTCATATTGCGCATAATGGACCTGTTTTACTTTAATATCTTCGTTAAATCTCCTCTCCCATAAGTTCGGTCAGATCTGAACTGTAAGGCAGATGTTTCAGTTCAGTAACGCCAAACTCACGAACTGCAGCGGTATGAACCGGAGGAATGCCGTGCAGAAGCCTCACACCTCGACTCAGCATTCCACATCGTTTTTCTTTGGGAGTTAACCCGTTTCAGCAGTGTTGCTATCAGTAAACACCTCTTCAAAAAGCCCTAGAATTCCCAAAAGAATGTGGTCAGTATTTTGATGCTTTTCAGGGTGGTGGTTACCCCGACGACGCCACTCCATCGACCAAAGATCATAGGAAGAACCATGGTTTTGTCGCTGGTAACTGTGGGATTACATACTTCTCTCTCGGTATCGTAGCAAAGCTCCAAAAAGCCACGGCAGCAAGCCACAAGTTATTGTTTTTGAAGTGGTATGAAACATTTCGGCACCCTCTTGCACTTACCTTTGTCATATCTAAAGGATCGTAAAAAACTCTGATAACCGTAGTTTTTAAGAGGCTGTTAGGTTATGTAGTTTCCTTGACCTTCAAACGGCGATCACCTCGTATTACTTTAAAAAGTTTATATTTTCCAGAATGACTACTTCTGCTACGATCTTAAGGTGAATCATCTTTGAACAAACCTTCACAGTGAGGGCTGATGGCGAGGAATCGCCATAACCCAAATTCTGAAGATTTAACGCCCTCTTTAGTAAGAAACTTTTATCACTAATCTTAATTTAGACCTAAACAACATGCAAAATTTCTTAAGATAACGTGAGTCAGTTGAATATAACTATAACGTTTAAATAGATATTTTGATAAAAATATTTTCTCAATCTACTGAGAGCTGAAAAAATGTAACTAACAGCATAAATAATTTTGCGCATTTAATTTTTAGGGCAAGGTCTGGAATCTCTGAACCATACCACGTATAGTCGGCCATAATTAAGCTTTGTTAATTTCAAAACTTTTAAAACACAAGTATAATTAATCACATTTTCTCATCTTCCTAATAATACCGCTACAAATTATTAAAGTACATAAAAATTCTTGACCTGATTGTTAAACACACATAATAAAAGTTAACAGGAAAAAGGACCTGCAATTTTACCACTTTTTGCAGGAGGGAAGCTTCCTCTATGTTGTAATATTTAAAAAAGGACAAAAGGCGATACCTACTACCTAATTCAAAGAAAGTTGCTAAATCTAAACGAATTCATACGTATCAAAAGTATACCATGGCTCTCTAAACTTCGGCTATAGAAATTTTTGTTTAAAGAATTTCTGGAATTACTAAACGGCAAAAGTACCTCAACTCTGAAATTGTGAAAGCGTATAATCAAAATAAAAAATATGAAGTACAGATATACTACATGTTCTCAAATTATATAAGTTAAAGAATAGTAGTTACTCCACTGGTGCTAATATTGCAAAAACAAATGGCTTTGTAAAGATTATATAAACAGAAATAACTTTTTTGAGTATTTATCAACTTCTAATTTGTTTTGAGACAAAAAGCGCAGGAAAGATAATTCTAAAGAAGTTTTAACCTTGCAGATAGTAAAAATATTATTATTAAATATTATTCCGTTTAGTAAGTATATACCTTTTTTGTAGTTCTATTTTGCAATGGAAAGCTAGATTTGAAAGCGTAACGCGGAGCTTTATAGACTAAATTGTTAATATACTTTGTGTCCTTATGTAGAAAACTTGTATGGACCATCAAATTATGTATATTAATTCTTTTAATATAGTATACCAAAAAGGTGGAAAGAAAGGTGAAAGGTATGTATATGGTATAGAAGATGGCCGAAGTTTGTTTAAAAGGGGCATGTTAACCTTTGAAAAGAGGTTTAAAATCTTATTAAAAACCTGTAACAGCTAAAGTGTTATAATAACAACCTTATTGTTTAAACCAGGCGATCTTTTAATTCAGTGACTGTTAAGAAAAAAGACACCTGAGCTACAGCGACGGGAGCCGAGTCGCCCGTTTTGAGCACTATTTAGCCACATCTATGTATTCCCCAACCCCTTAAGTAGGCGTTCACTCATTAGCGTGGTAGCACGTTTAATAATGAAATGATGGTAACCCATGCCCCTGGGGGTAGTAAAGAGGGCGAGGTTGGCTATGCAACCCATTAAAAACCAAAAAAGAGAGTTACATCGGTTGAAATCGGGTCCACAGCCTTGAATTTTCGAGGCGATGATCGGGCACCTGCGCTACAACGACAATTTGCAGTCAGGTATAATGAATTTCTTCTATAACTCGTCAGTAACCTATACCTATACAGCTTTTTCATTAGGTTTAATAAATATAACCCTTCCATGCCTTGTGTCGATCTACGGACAAACTGTTGGATATACCACCCTGCCTTAAAGTGGAGGCCCACCTTATGGAGACAGATCTCTCACCTGTTAAGGGTATCAAGTCCTAATACTTAAACCTTAAATAATAACATTTAAAATTTTTAAGGTATGAGGTGTATTTTGCCACCAAAGAGGAAGAAAAAAAGCAGTGAATATAATATTTTTTCGTAGCTCATATGGTAAAAGTTAAGACTCTAAAAAGTCTCAAACGGACGGCACCTTATATAAAATAACTTTTTATTCAGGGACATTTAGGAGATTTCTTCTTTAATTTACCCAACTCAAATCCTTTAAATATTCAGGAGTCGTCATATTTGTGGACACCGATTCGACTATATAAGGTAAAAACCAAATACTGATAAACACAAACCGCTTAAAAACTAAATTTGGATTGGTTGCTGAAATTTTTGTATAAAGGTTAAAATATTTACTGAAAATCTAGAAATGCAAGCTTTTGCCGTAAAAACCACAGTCTTTCTTTAAAATTAGTGACCGTAATACTGTATAATTGGTCATTTTTCTTTCTTTTCTAAATACATTTGAAGGTTTTAACAGAACTTAAAAAAAAAGTTAATATACAATATAAAACTACAATATCGTAGGTGACATATTTGTTTTATGTAATTTACTCTATTTAGGGAAGTATTGTCGCGTAGCCAGAGAATAAGCAACCTCCAGGGTACTAAACTAACGCACAAAAAGCCAGTCCCCTTGCACTCTAACATAAACTATCATTGGCGTCATCATTGACAACAGGCTCTCTTGGCGCAATCATATTGAACATGTCACCAAAAAGGCTAAATTAGAGCTCAAACTACTGTAACTACACACGACAAGCTTCAACTTAATCTTACCGCTACCAGACCATAGGTGACCTACGCGTCTACGTCGTGGTCATATTATTCCCCTGCCATTATAAGGCCACTGGTTAGACAATGAAAAAGCTTTCTATAATACAAACATAATAGAACTGGTAGTTATTGAAAATTGTATAAGGGTTTTAGACCTTACAGCTCATTCGCTATAGGGATAACCCCAAAAATCTACTCCGATTCTTGTTTACGACATACTTCTAAGAAGTAACTTGCTCATACCTATGACTGCAAGCTTTGGTTGGGGGAGACAAAAATTAGAAAATTTATTTAAAGGAAATATAAGGTGGCGTACATAAGCATTGTAACTGTTCTAAGTAGCTTGTATCCGGATGAAATTAGGTTAGGGGAAAAACATTAAGTAAAAATAGTTGTGTTACAATTTTTAAGTATAATTAAAAGAAGTAAAATACCGGTAGTCTCAGCCAATAAAATATTATTTATAAAAATTGAACAATTTAATAATAGAACTACTTAAAAAGGATTTTAGTTAACTGAAAATTGGCTAATTGAATAAGATACTTTTGTTTGTTAACTATTTGGTATTGTCTTTTAAGTTTTTACTTATTTTTACTTCTAAATGACCTTATTTGACTTTTCTAAAAATCAGCTTCAATAATTTTTCAAATATTCAATGACTGAAACAAGTGACCGCCCAAGTAAAAAAAATTCTTTGTTAAGCTAACATTAAATATTACTAAAAAAAATTAAAACAGATTTTCTGTCCCCAGGCTTTAAAACACCTTTTTTCGGGTGTTTCACCAATATACCCATTTGTTTACTTCTTACTTTTTTCCCATGCCTTATTGATGTTTACAATCAAGTAACCTTAGATGAAAGAGATGTAAACTTGTAAGTTTTGGCTTCAAAATTAGCTTTTATCCAAATTATAGTTAAGGTTATTTATAATAAAAAATAGGTTCGACTATTGTTGTTGGCCATCTCCGTTTGTGACTCGGCAATCTTTAAGAAAAAAATATGTATACGCAAAAATTTAACATTAAGGTTATCATATTTACTGTATTCTGTTACCTCTATAAATAGGGATATAAGTCGGCACCGGCATACGATTGTCTTGCGGTAAGTTTATTTCCACAATGTGTTTCCTATCAGAACGCATCGGAGATAGCCTACCATACTAGAGATTATAAACAACATTTTGGTCCTAAACGCTAATATAAGCACGTCGATAAGTTATATATAATAAAAGTCAAAAGTAAGTTGTTTAATTTAAGTCATGACACATACACTTAATGTCCTGAATTACATTTTACATAATAAAATGTTAATTTGCAAAGAATTTTTCTCTAAAGACCTATAACTTTACATAATAAGGATTCAAATGGATATACTGTAGGTATTAGAAACGACGCGGGGTAATATTATATGGAATACGACCAGGCTCACTCTATTACAAATACGCACTGTCAAAGACATAAAAATAGAGTACTGTTTGCGCGTGGATTGTGTGGGCCACAGCGATAACTCGGTCAATCCCGGTATGATGAATTTAACACGAATTTAACCTGACCGATCTTCAGTGGCCTCTATTAGAGTATCCTTCAATCCGTGGTTCTAATGATTAGCCCATGTCAGAGCGCGTGCTGAACACGTATTAGAATTTATGAAGGCGAGGTTAGATATATGAAACTATAAAAAACCGAAGGAAGAGAAAATTAAACCCACCTTGAGTTTTCTTATCATTGCTGTTTAACGCTGAGCGTGTCTAACCTGTTTTCCTCCGCTCTTTAGTTAACGGGAAGCCGTAGCTAATCTTACATAAATGAATTACTTAAGTTCTCTCATAAATATTAAAGTAATCATCACTTGCATTGCCGTTTACAGATAAAAGTTGCTGCTTGCTTTTCATAGTTGATACGTCGATCTCATACGACCAAGGATGCTTTTTTAATGCCTTGCCTCGTGTGACCTTAGTTGCTATAGCAAAAAACTCTATTACATAGCAGTTACTTTGTGGTTATGCAAATTATTTACCGTTTACAAAATTTCCAATAAAGTTTTCTTCACCATTTTTGCTTTACTTGCTAAGGAGTTAAGCGATAACAGTTTATATAAGTTACAAAATCAGGTAACGATATAATTATAAAGTATAAATAAATTTACAAACTCCTCAATCAATACCTCAAAAAAATTTGCGACGTTAGTTGTCCTGCAGGGCTTCTCTTTACTGTGTTGCTAGAGTATATTAGTAAGGTTAAGTTAAAACGTACCCCCACCGACCTTGAGTATGCATGTCAATGCTCTAACACAAGAGCCACGACGAGTCCCAAACTTTGCTAGATTCCCACTAATCCATAATTAACCTGTCAGTTTCTACTCAGTCCCCCTGCACTTCACATCTCGGTAAGATGGAGTTAGAGCCGTGTGATTCAACTAAGGCGGCGTTTGCGGAGTCTACTTTGTATCTTTTATACCAAAGAAAATTGAAGGCTCTTCTCTATGTATCTTTAATATATATCGTTTACCTCTTTTTGATTATAAAATGAAGAATCTACTTTTTCTAAAAAACAATGTAGGAGCAAGCTGCACTAAGCCGAGATTTAGTTTTATATCAACAAAAAATTAAAAAACTACTATATTTAAAGGAGTATATTTATTTTTAGCTAAATTTAATTTCTTATGATGACTTTGGTTACGCAGAAAAGCTCTTGAGGATATATTGCAAAAGGGTTTAATATCACTTTCTTCGACTGGTGGGGCATTTTTCTTCGTATTCTACTTTACCTGGAAAAGACATTTTTATCTTAAAGTTTTGACATCGCCTTAGCTTATCTACTCTTTTCTACGTTTTGTTTACTATATGATATATGACCTAAAGATGAGTGTGAAGGTTTAGAAGAGGAAAGTTCAAGTGACGAAGTGTCCCTCTTCTTTAAAGGAATTGAGGTATTTAGCTTAGGGCTTCTATATTAAGATAAAATTTAGTATTTTTTCCTTTAGGACGAACATATAGAAACTTTTCCTAAGCACTATAAAAAGGCTCATAAAACAAAACCTGTATATTTTGGGCTTTTTTTTTTATTGGTTTATTTGAGTAATATGAGCCATAATAAAGCTTGAAAAATCTTCGAAAAATTCAAAAAGTTGTAAAGCGAAATTCTGTCGAAGCTTTGCTGTCTTACGGAGTCCCTATTGCAGAGTTTACTTAGTTTTTTTGCTTTAATTTATCAAACCTTTTTTTTGCGGGGAAGGGGGGGGGGTGCTTAAAAAAATTTATTACTAACTTTTTTGCAGAGGCACACACCACTTGACCCAGACTCAGGTCAAATTTACTGTGTCTACGTCGACAGTAGAACTGGAAGACGGTGTCGCCAAGTTATTCACCTCTCTCAAGCTACTCAACTTTGTCATCACCACCGAAAAAACGAAGGTTTTTATTTATGACTTTTAAATTCTTATTGGACTACTGGAGTAATTACCATAGAAGTCTTGAGAACTTAAAAACCTAGTATCTGTTTTACAGTCTGGAGGAAATACTAAAAATATTATAATAAAGAATCAGCTGGCCCAGCGCATAAATTCGGGGCCCCCTTTTCTAAAGGGTATAAGCTGCAAAGGGACTTTTTATAAAAACTCTTTAAATTCATATTTATGAACCTAGCCATGTTAAACTGAAAAAGACTGGATAAATACCTAAGTGATTTAGTACTTCCACCTCTGTAGAGTCCCACGTAACCTGGCAATGTTTATAAGCGGCGTTGCTAATTTTTTATTCTATTTTCACATAAATTATATTTCGAAGCCATGCCTAGTTTAACAATTGTAAGCCCATGATTAATAATTTAAGGAGTAGCGAGAAAAAATAGCTACTCCGTTACAATAGTTTTTTGTTTTTTGACGCGTACCGTTAAAACGATGAAATTAAACGAAATTATATTATTCAAGGCAATTTCTTACTATCTGACATTGGCTGAAACTGCGTGTTAGCGCTTTTGCCAAAAATTTTAACCAAAACTATTTTATAAAGGCCGAACTAGACCAACTATTAGAGCCTATATATATAAACACTAGAATTATGCATTGAGAAACTTGGTTTAAGTGTTGGCGAAGTTTCAACAGCCCTAAATTAATTCCAAAGTTTCCTTATTTTTGGCAGAAGACAAGACTCTGGAAGGTCGTAAAATTTCTAACTCCGCTTTAGACAAAGTTATCCCATATAATTACTTGCTCACAAATAAACTTCCTCTATGAAGTAAAGAGTTAAGTAGGGCAAAGTTTTTGTATAAGTTCTTAACAAAAATTCTTAATATTTCACCTTATAAGGGCAGTTTTAATACAGAAAAGCATAAGGACTGTATTTTTCTTAGGTTTGCAGAAGTATTTAAACTTTTTTTTAAAATACGACCCCAAAGAATTTCAAGCGGACTGAAAAGTTAAATTGGAAGTTTTCCACGTTATTTTGAGGGGATTAAGATAGTAGACTTCTACTTCTTGTCAAGAAAAACACCAAGATGAAAAATTTTCCCTTCCCTCCAGGCTAAGTCCTTTTAGGTCAAGTTGTCTTTATACATTCTAGTGAACTCACTTTACTTCTGTAGGCTGAAACTTTAAAGTAATATTTATGTAAACCTTAGAATCGGCTCGCCAACTTTGCTTCAGTGTAACAAGTACAAAAAAGAAAAATACACAAACGCACTATTCCTTGTAATATGAGGACGTTTGGGGTTCTTGAGCAAGCAGTTGGAGCACAAGTGGCCGTCCTTTATTAGGTAACAAGACCAAGTAAAGTTAGGAGATTTAACTATTACGAAAACAAATATAACAGAAAAAAATCTGTTTTTTTAATAGCCAAGCCCTCTCTCAGTTAATGTTATAAATATTACATCAATTGTTTCATTTTGGACATAGTATTATTAGTTTAAGATAGAATAATTTGTTACAATGTCAATAATATAGTTTCGTATTTTACATAATTCACTAGTTTTTTTTTAATATTGGACTGAACGATATATCGTGTTTTCTGCCTCGTAAGTGACTTAGTAAACATATCAGCAAAATTATTTTCGAATTTATGAGAAATGTGGGAGTTTTGGGGATTCGCAATCATACGATATTTTTATGTGAATATAACTCTTAAGATTATGTCATAATAGAATGAGTTGTGTATGCCATCTACACGTAAAACAAGTCTGTCAACTGTTGGATTATTGCGAAATTTTTAGGGCTCCCAGAGAATTTAAGCGTTCCAAGCAGTAGAACTTTCTTTGCAGGGTTTTCTTTAAAAGTTTAACCAAAAAATTCAATTATCAGTTAAGTACAAGTGCAGAAAGGCTTAAAAGAATGTCGATTATCTAGCAGGTAAAAAAAGTTGAAAGAAAATTAGAAAAGGGGGTACTATTATAAAACTTCAATAATGTATAAGAAAAAATTTAGACTTGGTGATAGAGAGTAAAAATTAAACGAAATAAACATGGAGAGAAAACGGCTAGGAAATAAAGGAAAAAGGAAGGACAAACTCGTGAGCCTTGACGTAAAAAGAAGAAAATCGGTTGTTTCCACATCGCTAGCCATTTTTCCATATACACCTTAAAAAGAATGAATAAATAAAAAAAGATTCTAAAATTAAACCAATAAAAAGTTCAATCTTTGTTTATAGTTTTAACATTATTTATTTGATAAAATTAAACAAAATATCATAGGTTTATAATATATTAATTTGTTTCAGCATTATTAAACTTTTTCGAGAAGCTGAGGTCAACAGAGACCATTTTCTCTATAATGTGGTGGAAAATCACAAAAACCACTAACAGGTGCCCAGGACATAGAGTCCTGAACGCACACGTCATTTTTTATTTTATTGAAAAATACTATGCCGCAGTGCTCTTTCCTTTTTACATATTTTTTGTCAATGTTTTGTAGATGGCGGGTATCAGCGACGGCCGGCCCAATGCTATCAAATGTAATATTCAGTGCTTTTAACCTTTAACTAACTCTACATTATATTTTTTTGTAATATGGTTATGTACTCTATTAATTTATCGTTTATAACAGTTCCTGTAGCTTTAAGTCTATAAGATCGACATAAAAAAATTTAATATACAAACTAAAAAGATGAATATCAATCGAATTTTCGTAACGCTCTTTATTAGTTTTGTCTTCTCGCGAAGCTCGGGTGGCAGAGGTTAACAACAAAACTTCAAGCCTTAATTGCTAGATATAGTTAAACGAGCACAGAGACACTTTCAGTCACCATTATCACGCCGTTATTAAGTGGCGATGGGGTTTATTAATGGTAGTTAATTTGTTGAGCGATGCGCAAAACGATGCGCAAAAAAAAAAGGTCAATCTTTAGCCGACCTCTACACATACATTCTGCAGTGTTGTAATAGCATTAACTAAAACAGCTTGTGGCGTCACCAGCAATCGCAAATTTATCATCTACCCAGCGATGCATTGAGTTTTGAGTATTTAATACCTTACGAAAAAAAAAATGACAAGCTAATTAGCACAGTATTGTATTTGCTTTATTAAAAACTATCCATGCGGTTTTTCAAACTTAAAATGGAACTTTTAAGATGCGTAGTTCTTGCATTCTTCGCACCTCAATGAATTCCAAATTTAATTTTTGAAGTTACTACAACTCCAATTCGTTATTGTTAATTAAATAATATCAAGAAAATACTGAAAAATAAAATCTTTATTTACAATATTATCTATTAACTAGGTTATTTAATCGATCACTAGGAAGATCAGCCTATAGATGATCAGTATATTTATGTACTGTTTTATAATTGGATCTAAAACAATTATCATATTATCATAGCTAAAACAAGAACCAATTTAGGCCTATTAATTGGGACCCCAAAGCCGAACAAAAGTAATATACGAGGCGACACAAACCAGAGAGCAAAGAAAATTTAATCCCTCCATTAAAAATAGCTATGTTTATATATAAATGGTGCGGTTTAGTATATACTGTCGATGTAATAATTGATATACAAGTCACTATTGTTATTTCCACGTGAGCTAAACGTTGTCAAAATTAAATGGTAATTCGATCATTGTTACGTTTACTAAATAAGCGTTAATTCCTAAATCGCGTGCTGATGAGCGATCAGTTTTGATTCTCTTAAACTTTAACAGTAAGGCGATATAATTTAAAATTCTGTTCCATTATTAACTATAAAATCGTGTTTTTTAATTATCAATATTAATACATAAATAATAACATATAAAAATTTAAATTTTTATTTTTAACCATTTATATTTTAACAAGCTAATGCCATGTTTAAAAAAAAAGCTAAGTATTTACATTTTGTGTATATTTATTTCAAAGCGTGCGGTATTGTTTTAAAGCTTTTTCTATTGGTGTCTAGTCTAATGAAAGTTTTAAGTGGCATTATTTTCTCTTTGAATATAATGTGGTTTGTTGCACTTGTGGGCACAGCCTTATGGCTATTTTTATCTTTTTCTTCTAAGCAGGTTTAATTTTTTCAAAATAATATTTTTTAAATTAAAGCTTAATTTACTTGAAGTTCCATATCCTTCAACCATAACTTTTCGCTCTCAGGTTACTTTTTTTTTTTGCTCTTCCACTTTCTACTGTTCAAATATTTTTAATTATTGGAACAGCCTTATTTCTTATTTTTTTATTTTTTTAAAAAACATAAGATTTTTTTTAATTGTAAATGAAATAGCTTAGTATTCCTGGGTCTTGGTATACCTCTGGCAGAGAGGCACTACGGTTATATATTTAACACCTTATTTACCTGTCGAGCTGCACTTTATTTCATTATTTTCTTTGCTTGTTATTATATTTATACATTAATTTGTTGCACCACAAGGAATTTTTATCCTATTTATAGCTTATTTTTTTTAAAAGCTCCTACTTTAATTATTTTAAATTTACTTAACACAATTTATTTTAATAGTTTTGTAAACAAAGCATATTTGCATTTTACATATTTTTTTTAAAATTAATTATTAAGCTTATGCCACTTTTGCCACTTTTCTTTACTACAGTACTTCTCTTCCTTTAGTCAATATATAGTTATTAGCCCCGAATTTTAAAGGCATGTGCATCTTTAAATTCTTAATATATTCGTACATTTATTATAAATGTGCAATTTTATTTGTAAAATACTTTATTTTTATTACTCTTATCAAGAAATATTTGAGCAAAGGATATCCAATATGCATATCTATAACTGAATTTATTAACTATGAATTATAAAAGCCTTCTAAATTGTCTTATTTTACTTATGAAAAATTTATTTTAGAAATGCCCAGTTCGCATGTTTATATATTTTTATAGAATCCATTTATGTTAATATTGGTGCAATTTCTATGTAGCTACTACTTATTTTTTACATTTACAGCTCTTTATATACGTTAATTTTTCAATGCGCAGCTTTTTTATAGTATTCTGTTTATACTATTGTTAAAAACATATGCAAGTATAACAGCCCTTTTAATCTTTTTTAAGCTTGAATTGTACAAATATTAGGTCATTAAATTTAGCTCCCTTTCATCGCTTTTTTGTTTGATTTTAATTCTCTTCTTTCTTCTTAAAAATATTCAATAGTCTTTACCTCTAAAGATTTAAGGAACCTTAAACCTTTAGAGGTATTGTTTTTAATTTATTTTTATTTTGTTTTCTTTTACTTTGCCTTTGTGATTGTTATTAATTAACTATATTTGTCTAACGAAAATATTATAATATAGCTATTAATAGTTTAGTTCTTTCTCAGTAGTTGCTTAGTTTGCTTTTCCTTAGCTGTTTTAGTTTAAAAAGAAGTAAATAATAATGGTATAAAAAATATATACAGTTATAATTATATAGAAAAAGCATAAGAAAATAATAATAAAGTAGTTGGACCTTACAGCTTTTTCCTATTTCTAAAATTGCTTGCCCAATTTCTTTGTATTTTAAATGTAATATTTAACAATAATAAGGTTAATTTTACACCGTCGTTATATTTTCTATGCATTTTATTCTACTTTGACGACTATTTTAATTATACTAGGAAATCGTAATTTATTTGAATGTTTTATTTTCGTTACACGCTAAGAATACTGAGACAACTTTTATAAAATCACTTTCTTTGTATAATTTATAAAATTATATTCCTGTGTTGTTTAACCTATCAACTTTTATAACCTAGTTTATATAAAATAAATATTTTTTGAGTTATGCTTTTTATATAACATTAATAACTAAACTTATTAATTCTGTGAAATTGGAATTAAAAAAAGAAAAAGCCCAGAAGAATTCTGCAGATCTAATACAAATGATACATAAATTTATTTTATAATTTTATGTGTAACTTATATAATAAAATATCTTTATCATCATAACTATTTTAGAAGAAAAAAATTTATTTACTTATCTCTAGTAATATTATTTATATTGATTATCAAGGGATCATCTGGTTGTCTTTCCGTATTATTGTCTTGAGTCTTGTCTCTAGGTACGTTTCTGTTTATTCCATTTATGGCTTACCTTTCTCTATTTTAGGGTACCACTTTTTATTAGGCTTCTAATATAATTATAAATATTATCGCCTTTTTATTTTAGATGTGTTGGAGTACTGTTTATTGTAATCTGGCGACCGTAGTTGTTCAGCCATAACATGATCAATCGCTCTTGCGTGAACATTTATACTTACTGCCTGCGTTCATGGGCTTTGTTGCTTCTTGTATATCACCATTAAACGTTTTTACTGGCAAAATAGTCTCAACTAACAGTGAACCATATTAAAAACCTATTAAGTTGTTTACTTTTTTCAGATAATTATTTATAAATATAATCCACATTATTAGTAAGAAAGACGGTTAAAATACCTTTGTGGAATATTTCTTGAATGGAAGAGGAGCTTACACAGCATATTAGTTATACTTAAACTGCATTAAAAGTGGGCCAACAGGAATGTTGACCGCAAGAAAAAATAATAAAATAATTAAAATACATGAAATTTTAACATTTTTTTTAAACTTTTTTATGTACAAATCTTTCTATAAATTTTTTTTAATTAGAGATTTTTGATTTTTATAACTCTAAACATTATATTAATTATTTATTTCAAATATGTAAATATTATAATATTGACAGTTATAAATAAAAAGTTTTATTCATTTAATAAAGACAAACACATTCAACGTGATATAAAGACAGGAAACCAGTTTTATATATATAATTTCTGTCTAAAGTTTTTTTTTTATAACCGTTATAAACGAATGCCGTCGTGCAATAGAAAAGCGTTAACAGCTCTTCGATAAATTGTGTACATGCTCATATCAACTGTTTTATCCAGGTTTTAAACAATTTTAACTGTACTCTTCTGTGCCTGGCTAAAATACTTCGTAAGCTAAGGCTTACGTCACAACTTTTTTTTATTAATGATTCTTGCGGATGCTCGGCAAGCCGAGCGCAGACCACGTCTTGATTCGGGCGCAAGTAGGCGCCCGTACATCCCCAGGGCTAGGAGGAGTACCATGAATGCACCGATTTTATAGGGGGGAAGTGCAAAGTGGTTAGCCTCCCGGTCCCCCACCGCAGACTAAACGATGTTCAAAAGATTTGGCTTCTCAGATCGGACGGGTTGGAGTGCTCTTCGTCAGTGCACTTCCCCAAGTCACAGCATTAAAGTTAAAACAAGATATATATACACTATCGTTAAAAATTGTTTATGTGTTAAATTTTTTCGTTAAAATTCTATAAGGCTTTAATTAATTAGTTATATTGGCCCCTTATATATAAGTATAAACTGAGATCTATTTAATGTAGTTTGTATAGAGGAATTGCTTTCTTACTTGTTTTTATCGCTTTTTGAAGTTCAAGTATCGATTGAGACGATTATGCATGTGACCCCCTTCTTGCAAAATTGTTTGAGTCTTTCTACGAAATTTTCATGATCACTCCGCCGTAGAGGGTTATTTAAAGCTTCTGAGTAACTATAAAGGATAGCTTATTAAAAGACCTTAATTTAATAATCCGTTTCAATCGATAAAGAAAATGATGTAAAATGTCTTTTAGATCAAGGCAAGCCTTATACTGAGATCGCTCGTGGATATGATATCAGAAGGCCATATTATTTCGGATCAAGCTTAATATGGTTCAAATTGCCCTTGCAATGAACCTGGGCCTCAAAGATCTTGAAAAACAGGGATGTAGCTCGAGTTATACGACAAGTGACATTGGGTGCATTTAAATCTGCGCAGATAGCTTTAAAAATCATAAAAACAACATTAAATGCACCAGTTTCAGGACGACTGTATCGAGAGCATTGCATTCTGCTGGTCTCCATACGAAAAAAAAGTTAATTAAACACTTTGACAGAGCGCCACTAGCAACTAAGATTTGAGTTTGTAAAGAAGTACGAAAATTGGTCCATTTTGACTAGGAAAAAGTAATTTTTTGGGACGAGATCAAGATCTTTCCATATGGTTCAAATGGTTTTAGGTGGCGTTGGAGGCGATTCGGCGATATCGAATACTTGATCAGGAGATACAAACTTATAAACATGGGAGAGGATCGGTTATGATATGGTTCCTGTGTAACAACTAAGGGGGTCGGATATGGAAAAGTGACAGGGAGCATCACCACAAGTACGTATTTATAGATTATTAAGACTAACCTACCCAGAACATGCGATTGGTATGGCCTTGGTCTTGGTGAAATGGGTTTTCAGCAGGATAATGTCTCATGTCACAATGCATTATCGGGGCGATCATGGCTCCAATTACAGTCGTCCCATGTGCTAGACTGACCTCCTACGACTCGGCTCCTGCTAACTTTAACGAGCTTTGGACATGTGTACAATCAGAATGGACAAATATAACACCGGATCAATGCTACAATCCGATTCCAGTATGCCAAAGAGGCTACAAGCAGTGATTATGGCATAAGGAAGCTATACTAATTATTAAAACCTGGTTTATTAAACAATTTTTTCTACGTGCAAAGTTGTTGCTATAATCTTTCATTTTACAAGCTCATATCTTTTCGAATATTAAACCAATTTAAGATCAAGAATTAACAAAATGTAGCTAGGACATAAAAGTTATGGTGTATAAATTTTAAAGTAATCCATTACTTTATTGAAAAGTTTTTTTATGTTAAATGGAAAAATGCAAAACATTGAAACAATTTTGCACGATAGTGTACAGCATTATTACACGGAAACACCCACAAGTCATATCCTTAATGAAATATTCATTAGCTTTCATAGTTAAACTTAATATAGCCAATAATGGACAAAAAGATTCAAAACTATCTTGCTATTGATTCAAGACACCTATAATACTGACATAGCGTAACTTACAACAACTGTATAATCCACTCTGAATTAAAAGACGTTGAATTAAGAGATGCCTTTATTATAATATACGACGATACTTTATTTATTGGCGATTAAAAACAATGTTTAAAGTTACTAAAGACTACGATATAAAAACTACTAGATAGTTAGAAAGAACACTGGGAACTGACGTCGAATATAAAGTCGTTTCGCTCTAAAGCAGTCTACTACGTCAGTAAATTTGGAGGGATTTTAATTAATAAAGAAACTGTTCTAAATTTTATAAAACGAAAAATAGTCTAAATTGAGTCTTAAAATACAATAAAATTTTTGGAAAAAACAACTTTAGAACACTTTCTCGACAAGAGATAAGGATTGAGTATAGAAAGACATTTATGCTCCCATTAATTATGTAAAGCTTACGATTACAAAAAGTTATCACAAAAAGGGGTCTATAATTGTTATTTTCCCAAAGGGTCTGGCACCTTGTACCTAATTAGTAATTCGGCAGGCATGAGCAATATTGTTGCACGAACGAGTTTATAGCTAGCCTCCCCCCTTGGTGGGGGGATTTTAGGTTTTGTTACAATTCTTTATAGTAAAGCTCTTTGTTACTTTTGTTCTTGACTTTTCTGCTTAACTCTCAGTTGTTTCCCATTTTTTCTTATAGTTTTAATTTAATATAATTGCTTTTTTCATATTTTCTGATTATTATTATAAATTTTGGTTACTTTACTGTTTTTATCGTCTTTGAAATTTTTATTACTCTTATTGCTGTTACTTTCGCGCCTTTTATCTCGATAGAACATTATTATCTTTACTTTGATTAGAATATAACAGTTTGGGTAAATGGGTAAATCTTAAAAAGTCTTATCCAGAATAATTACCAACGTTTACCTCGCAGCAATTATCAAAGACCCACTTTAATAACTTGTATCCTCTTAACCTAATAGCTTCTTGAAGTAAAGAACTTCTGAAAGAACCATAAAATATTTCATGGCAGGGCCTTTAATAAATTTTTGGTAGAACACTTAAATATTAAACATCTATGAAGGACTTCTCCGCATCAAGACCAACATCACCATTTACTAATTAATCTTAATTCTTCGATTAAAATTAATGAGAGTAAAGAGATTTAAACTAATTATAATAAAAAACTTATCTATCAATTTTTTTGGAGGAACAATAGCAATCTAATTTTTTATAACCTAATAACTACAAGGTCTTACCCGTCTCCAAATGAAAAAAGGATTTTGTCTCAACCCTAAATGTGTCTAATTTTTTTTTTTAAAAATTGTGAATTTTCATCTACTTTTATAGGCAGATCAGATCAAAATTTAATTTGGAAACAAAAATAGGCTGTGAAGGAGAGTTATCATAAGTTATAACAAAAACCCTCTTTATTCGTATAGAATTACTGTTTGATTACTATATTATAAAGGAGGCCAGCTTTCGACTTATTCAATTATTAAATATAATCAAAAAAAATTATTAAAAAATTTAGACACCTCAAGTTCTTTAATACGGAGAAAAATCAAGGACCAGCAATTATGACAAAGGAACAACATAAGTCTGAAAAGTTTCCTTTTCATAAGATAATGGAAAAAGACCAAAACTCACCAGACTACTTAAATACAAACCCTACATAAATGGAGGTATATATTCAACCTTTTTATATAGTTAACTATGTGCTTTTTCAGTTAAATGAGCTCTAATGAGGAGTTACAAATTACTGTGCACCCGATGATAAGTTTAATTTAAAGATAGCGTTATTTAAAGTGCAAGAGCTAATTGTACTAGTTATAAAAATATTAATAATATGCGCGCCTGGGAGCCGCGCATAAAACCTTGTAACAACGTACTCGCTCGAGGAATTGTAATCTGTCGGGTGTAGTGCGGAGTGGTTTACTAGATGGGTTCTAGTTCTGCAGTTCCCTTTGCTACTTACGGTTTGGGCGCTATAGTTAAAACGTAAGGATTACGCGAGCGAAGTTTCGGACTTCCAAAAGGTAAAGCGTAAAAGTCGGCATGCGGAGGTTGAATAATTACTCAATAATTTGAGCCTTTGTGTTACTGGCTTTCGTACGGAAATAGGGTATTTAAATGTAAGTCCTGTTGGACATGAACCTCCTACTAAAATACTACGTCAGTTCTAATTACACTTTATTAGCTTACTTTTTAATTTGTAAATTGCTTAAGTTTGCACCGTATATATTAATTCATAAGATATACGGACGATACGCTACCCAATTGGAACAATAACTCTAATGCCCAATATTGAACTTTACTGAACATAAGATGCATCGTACCAAATTGCTGAACTTATGAAAATGCTATCTTATTTTCTACTTAGACCTTATATAAAAAATGAGCAAGGGCCGTGAAAAAGAAAGTGCAAATCTTTTTAGTATATATATAGGACTCTTACTGCTGTGTACCCAACAAGTGGATTTTTTGATTTTTACATAAAAATAGGATAATTTCCTGAAGAGGTTATCTTAATAGGTATTTAAAACCTTAAATGATTTACACTATAATTATTTTAAAAACCAAAGAACACCACTCTGAACAATCACAAAAATTTTGAGGAATCTAACGTTTCTGGTTGAAGTAGATATTTTTATATCCGTTTACGACCCATTCGAGATTAAAAAAAATAAGGTTTTAAAATATTTTTTAAGCAAAAGATTTAGAGATTTAAAAATTGAAACTTATAATTCCAGGATCCTACCAATTTAAAAAGATCTACTCTTTAATAGAGCTTGTTTATCTTCATATTTATAAAAGTAACAAAAATGTAACCGTTACTTGGCTAACTTAAAAGAATTTTCTTACCAAAAAGCACCAATTCAAACCACAAGCACCATTGGTAAGCACAATTAAACTTTTGCCATCTACTAAGGGGAGCCATGGCAGTACAGTGAGCACCCAAGCTTAAGGTACAGTCATAATAAAAGTCAGGACTACCACTTTTTACTATCTTTTTTTTTCGTTCACAACTCGGGTCTCATCTCAAGGGCTAGACGCGCCCTTGCTTCTCTTTTTAATATAGAATATTAATTTTATACTACAAAAGGCACAGGAATGAAAAGGGGAACTAAAGTGAAAGCTTTAGTAAAACTTTATAAAAATGCAAAGCAAGGCTTGCAGAACTTCAAAAGCGGTCCTCCCTTCTTTCATTTAAAATTTAAACGAAGCGTCTTTCATAGCCCTGCCTTATGTGTTTTTGTCTAAAATATAACCGGTGTCTATTAGCCCCATTAGTAAACAATGGAAATTTATGTTTTAAGTTAAAAAATACTTTTGACATAGACAGCTTGAGTCCGAACGGTGAAGCACGGTGCAAACTTAGTTTGTGTTGCAGAACTAGTAAAAATAGGGGCGCTGTGGTTGCAATGATGTATACTTGTGATTGGTCAAGCGTTAAAGATTGTAAGTCGTCTTTTTTTAAAGTGAAAGTATTGAGTATTTTGTAACAACTATAAAATAAAACCTACGAAAGGTTGGTTGACATTAGGAAGAGTTGAAAAAGTAAATGCTAAACATAATTTAGAAAGTACATTTAGTTCAAAGTCATAGCGAGTCTGCTATACAATTTGTTTAAAAACAAACAACGATATTACCGTAAAAACTGAGGGAATATTGACCATATGAACCCTTTTTCTTATATTTATTGCAACTAATCATTACTTTTTGAATAGTCATTGTTATCACCTGTTTGGAAGCTCGACCATCCACTAAGGTATGCCACACTTAAGTACAGCTGGTGAGAATTTAATTTAAACCAAACACTATTCTCGGTTTTGGTTTCTCGATAACACAGAATAGAACTTGTAATCTTTGAAGACAAATTAAGGGATTGGGGTTTATTCAACTTATTAATAAACTGTTATTATTTTCTTATTGTCTGCCCCTTATAAGCGTAGGTTCTCTTATTTTAATTACTATTAGATAATAAGATTCTGAAGGCACTTATTAAAAATTAAAGCCTACTGCTATTTGCGTAATACTCAATTTTAGACTCAAATTGTGTAAAGCCCCATTTTCGAACAATCTTTTCTCTATAACACGTATTTCTCCCTAAAAACTTTGAAAGTAAGTAATTTATAACTTAAAAGGAAACCCCATAATGGTGTAATTGAATTCGCTTACATATCTACCTTCCAAACTTTTAAAGCAATATTGTAGTTCAATTTTTTATTATGCAAAAGCGAAACACTAATTTTACAGGCTTCGAAAAACTTCGGATGGAGCGTAAATGTTTACGATAAAACCCCTTTTCAATCCCGTTGTAAAAAGTGTACTTTAAGTAAACTAGACTTAAATACTTGCAGAGACGATGCGTTTCAAAGGTTTATTATATGTATTTCATAAAACAAAACTAAAGCGGAGGCTACTAAGATAAAAGTTTCCACTTCGAATATTCCTCCATCATTCTTTCCGTTATGGAAGGACGACAGCTTTCCATGGCAGCTTCCAAGTCTTCCTTGCATATCTCCTCTCTATCAGGCTAAGAAATTAATGTTAAACGTAGTAATGAATTGTGAAGCACACAGTAAATATAAATTATAAAATATTTTTTACGCCTGCATTATATATACAAGCAGGCAAATCACTGCTACTAAAGCATTCTAGAGATAAAGCTGTTATAAAGCAAAAGAAAAATATAAGGCTACCGAGTTCTGCAAAATTCTTTTCATTGAGTGCACGATTGCTACCTGTAATAAATGTTTTAGGTCGGCCCCTCCAAAAAAAACATATTTAAAGATTTCATTATTATGATAAACAAGATAGTCAACCAGTAAAAAGAGGGGTCTTGGCCGCAACCAACTTTGTGTCCACCAAACTAGAAACGGGGCGGCCCGCAAGTAGTCGCCTTATGAGCTCCTCTAAGAGTAACTTGTCTCTCTTGAAGGGTTGGGTTTTAGCCGCGCAAGTACGGATACCGCGAGTGTCGAGGTCGGGCGGAGAAACAAAGATGGCCTCGTCGAGCCGTCCAGGACGCAAAAGACTGGGATCAACTGACCATGGCGCGTTAGTAGCCGCTGTGTGGTATAGTTAACAGGGACGAGGGCGACTAGAGCAGACGCAAAGACAACGGGCACCCAATAAAAATACTCCAGAGAGCGGAGAGGAGCTATCAAGCTCGTATAGCAGTTGAGAAAGTACTGTCCTTTCAAAGGTGGTGGAAACATCGCGATGGCCAAATACTGCTTGCATCTGACCAGAATATAGATTAGCTTAACAGGGAGAAGTGCTTCCATCAGACTAAGAAATATATGTATCGATTATAATCAAACTCAGTCTATAAAAAGTAATAACCTCATCAAAAAATAAGACACAGGGCGCCATTGATCGAGCTCTTGCATAAATGGTAGAGATTCTCTTTTCTGATTCTCCGATCTGAACGAGCTGTTGAACAAATTGAGTTCAATATAGCAAGTTATAGAAGAAGCCTCTGAGTAGATGAGTTCAGGTATGTTGAAGGAGAGGAACTGTGCACTCGCCTCGTAAGCCAAAGCCTTGGCAATCATGGTCTTCCCGGTCCCCTAACGGTATCATTAAATCCAAGATAGCCAGCGTACAGCGTACAGCACAGCAAGCACGAACGGGAGGGCCGTATAGTAATAATCCGTTGTTCAAAGTAAACTTGGTTTGTCCAAAGAGATCTCTGTGCCTAAAAGAACAACACTTTTAATAGGATGGTTAATGAAAATAAAAATAAAAATAAAAATAACTTGAAAAAAGAAAGAACAGTGCGTCTTAAGCTTTCTTTAACGTGTGAAAGACCGCAAATACTGTCGAAGGACACGTGGTCCACCATCTATTATATATAAAGATCTTTTCATAGAAGCAGAGTGGTTGGGCATAAGACGGGCTTTGTCCTTCCCACTCCTTCTTAGACGGATTTTCTTCGATAACGCACGGTAGTCATCAAGAGTGACAGGAGTCGAACCATCACAGTCGATTAGGCTTCGGAAGAAGAGAAAAAGATCAACTGCTTCCAACCCTTGGCACACTTCGGCGAGGTCTTCTTTATCAACACCTTCTAGGCGTAGTCCTCAGTAAAGTTATAACAAAACCACAAAGGAAAAAAGGTTCACCGAGGCGAAAGCTGGTGAGTTTTTCCTCGAGTAAAGCTATGCGCTGACATTGTGAAATTTCCTTTATACTTACCTAAAAAAAGGAGCGAATAAGCAAAGCGAGTCGCCACGCAGGAAAGATGGATCTCACCTTATCTATGAACGCGGGGAGGACAGAAGGATGCACGTGGCTCTCATTGCTGGTGATTCCAATGATGCTGATCTCCTAGGAAATATGGAAGATGGTGACAATCGTTTAAGAAACAATAGTACTTCGTGAGGGTTCGAGAAAAGAGTGACGAAAGTGTAACGCAACTGCAGCAAGTCCTCATCATCCACACTAAAAGGAGGGGTGGGCAAAGAAACGACGCATTAATGTAATAAATTTTACTTTCTGGGGAAAAGACTCTCGAGATCATCAAATAATATGACACATGGCCTCTGCAAAGCACGTCAACGAAAAAAAAAGCACTATATATGGTTTTTACTCTAATAGAGGCTCGTTTATAGAACCCCTTTAGTGCAAAAGAAAGTTTGTACTTTTCGCTTGCGCAAAAAAATTCCTAAAAGTATATTTACACACTATTATGTAGAAAAATATGTACAACAAAATGCATAGAGATAAGCTGACCTCAGTGGAAATGAGCGTGCTAAAATCGATCTCTAAGAAATTTTTGCCGCTGGTACAGCAAAAATTGCGGATTAGCGTGCTTTTGTCTGCTTTTTTTTAAAAAAAAATTAACGACTTCAAAAAAAAATTTCAGAATTTACCAATTTTCGAAGATCCACTAATTAAGATTCCAGTCGCAATATTGGAGGCTAGAAGGGCTCCGAATAACTTAAGATCCGGAAGAAATAAGGTGGAATAATGGCGCAAAGATACAAGAGTTTCCGGTGTTTCTCTCTGCAGCTCAACAGTAAAATAGGTCAAACCAGCCACACTCTTAGAAAATACTTTCAATAAGTACGTAAAGCACCGTCACTACAACTGAACACTCGCTCGAAACCGCAAAAAAGTCATCCTTTGTACTTTTGAGACGGCTTGGACCAGAAAAAAAGATTTCGGTGATCGCCAACAACAATAGACTGCCGTCCAGTAAGCGTAAAGAGATCAAAGAGCCTGCAACCGCGTGAACCAGTAACCAGCGATGCTATAAAGAATATATAACTTTACCTTTTCGCACTATTTTAAACATCAACTGAGCAACTACATGGCCAGGAGGCGGGAGTGTACCAGGGTTGTAGCGATACTGGGAGGTAACTGGCGACTGCATTAACAAAAGATTTGTCTCGTTTGAGAGAATAGGAGAGAGGATGACTTCCTTCGCCACTGAGAACCTGTAGAAGGCAGAAAGATCCGCTATTTCAACAACAGTAGACGACGCTGCACCCTCATAATTGTTAACGACGCAAGAACAGCTTTTACGAAGACAAAACCAATCTATAATGTTCAACACCACCACCAACTCTTCACTTTTATAGCTATTATTGCTACTACTCCTAGTAGTATTGTCAATAACCTGCTTTTGCAAATTTAGATCTTTAAACGAAAAAGATTTTACGGAAGTTTCATCTTTTTCTCTTGCCGTCTTATTTTTTCCTGTTATTTGGTTGTTTAGTATTTCCCGCTAAATTATTTGCATAGTTAAAAAGTTAAAATAACGTTTTGCATTGGCCTTTACAGGATTTTCATTTTCTAGTGAGGTTAACTGTTTAAAATACAATCCGTGTAGACTTGATAAACACCCTTTCAACTGAATAAAAGTAAAAAAAAAAAAAGGTTTTACGAAAAAAAAAGTATACTTTAAATTACACTTTTGGAAACATCAATAAAGACATAAAGTTGTTCGAAAAAAAAGTAAACAGTTTCTTGGGAAGATATAATATAAGTTAAGAATATTATTAAAATACGAAATAAAAAATATATATTATCAAGGAATAAAACCTCTAAATTACAAAAATAATTTATTAGAGTTTTTAGGGCAAATGACCAATCTATAAAATTATATTTTGTTGATTAAATATGCTACTGGAACACAAAACTATGTATATATTGAGGTAAAATATAAAGCCAGAACTAAGGAATTTTAAAAAAAAACAGAGAGAAGAGAAATTGTCCTAGAAAAAGGCAAAATATTATAGGCAAAATTGTAAATTAAGAACCTTAAGTAAAATATATCTGCGACTTAATGCATCTTCAATTGTGGCGTTCAAGAACTTTATAAAGCATTCACCTTCCTTTACCGTTTTTGAAAATTCAACTTTAAGTCCATTATACATGAGGGTTGTGATCCAAGATATTTCTATTTCTCCTTAAATAAAACTTGCTGTAAATGTCTATTTCTTCTGACAAACCCACCTGCTGCAGAAAATTTATAATTATTTTTTACTAAACGAAACTACTTTATTTGGTTTTGTTTTTTTCAAATACGTTTTATATTAAATTATAGCGCCTTATCAAGGAGTAATAAAAAAGTAAAATAATTATATACTGGACTAACCTTCACACAAGGAAGTTAAACATTTGTGTATGCGCGGGGTCGAATTATAACTCACTAGAGTGTTCATCAACTTGACTTTTTTTTTAGTACTGGCATACTACCATCGATCTTCTTACTAAGACCTTCAACCGGTTAATCTTGTTCCCTTCTTCTGCAGGGGTTGGAGGCAAGTGTCCGCCAGTGTAGACTCTCTAGAGAGCTATAAAGACTGTCCCGAAGGACTGGAAAAGCGGAAGCATATCTGCCCGGACTCCAGCTATTCGGCCTAGTGTGGTGGGGACCGCTGAAAACCACAACCGGGAGAGGCAGTCTTAGGCACAAGACGCTAGGCCGCCTGGAGACACAGGCCAGCACCACTGTGAGCCAGGCCTCCCCGATATTGATCAATTTGTTTCATGCTACAGCTTAAATTTTTACAGTTACTGGTTACTATGTTTACCTTTTGTCGACTAGGTTCAATTTGCAAGAGTAGGTCTATGGAAATCGACCCTAAACGACAGGCTCGGTCTCTAAAACAATCTCTGATAAGTTTGAGTACCATGTTCTTAGGGATTAGGCAGCAATCCACAAAACATGAAAAAAGTGATAAATTTAGTTACCTGTGAATGTAAAATCAATCTATTTTAAGCCCCAGAATTTGGCCTGTTAAGGTTAATACGCTTCACAAGCTCTTTTTAAATGACTTTGGAACATTATGAAAGGTTATAACGTGTCCCGAACATGCTAAACCCTCAGTAACTCAAAATTATTCTAGACTAATAGGAAGAATATAAATACAAAAAATTTTAATATAAATAAATCAGCCCTCATTTCTTTTTTTATGGTCTTCTTGTTGAATTCCGTGACTTTGCAGTTGCTCCAGTACCATTGAGCTAGGCAGCTTTGGCTACTGAGTAAATTAAAAATATACAAGTAAACCAAAAACTATATATAGCCTGTTTAAGATTTTCCCTCCGGTTCAAAAGTGAACGGCGGCCCTAAGGAGGTAGGAATTTTATTATTAAAGTATCAGGTCACCACTCCCTTACCTTATTAAATGATCTTAAATTATTAACTTAATTTCGTTTTAATTAATGCAAGATTTATACTTAAACATCACACTTAGTACTAACCAATTTTTTCCTTGGGAAGGGGGAGGGGAATGCGAAAGGTGACTCGAATTTCGAGCAATCGAAATCAAGTTCTTAGCTTTCCCACCACGCCAAAAAGTGGACGACTCTTTTTACCAATCAGCGAAAAAGCATCATATTGGGGGTTTAAAATAAAAAAGAAAGAAGGGGAAGCCCATTCAAGGAGCCGACCTCAATAGTAAATCATTAGAGCATTGGGCTCTTAGTCTGTAAGAGTTCCCACAAAACTTTAAGTGGAAGGCCACCTTAAGAGGGAAAAAAGAGTCACATAGTCAAATTTAAGGTTAGGAAAAGAGCTGATCAACTTCATTGTAAGCTTACGATTTTTGATGATGGTTTATCAAGCCCACAGCCCACATGCAGCGTGTCGTTTGATCGCGCTTCTTCGGTGGCGGTAATTGTTTATATTAGCCTTCGCTACTTTTTAATAAACGCCAATTGTCAAAGATGGAAATAGTTAAAAAAACTTGATAAGGAAGACAATAGAAATAAATTTATTTTGTTAGGTTACTTTTAGCATTATACTATTTTATTTTAATGTAATTATAAATTACAACTTCGGGATATGAAACATATAGGTCTTTAGTGATACAACTAAATCTTCAATGTTTGTATATGTGGATTAATTAGGTTTATTTTTCAAAAAAATTACAGCATCCAACAGATAGCTTTGGTGTAGAGGGGTAGGGGGATTTTTTAATTTATGGCTGCCTAGCAGGGGTGCATGTGGTTATCAATTCCACGCATTTCCTTAAAAATTTATGACTAAACGAAATGAAGGTTAGGTAGTATCTTTTTTTTGTGAACTGTATGTCTAGTTCCTCTCGGCCTTGTTGGAAGTAGTTGCAAAATAGTTCGATAAAACCTGCTAATTCTATTTATAATGTGTTTATTATCAACTGGAGTAATTATGCGGTATTAATTTAAGATTTATTGGTCATACTTTTTTCCTAAATTGGCTACTATCGAGGACAGTGGCTATAAAAACCTAGATATATGTACGCCCAAGGTAGGAATAAATGTATAAATAAATTTATTAAACAAATTATAAATAAATTACATGGTAATTGGGGCTGCCCCTCTATACCACGACACATTTCACGCAGGAAACAAAGAACAGAAAAAATTAAATCCCCTCCGGTGTGGACGTGCTAGCTTTACTATATACATTGCTAATTTAATTCAAGTGGCTAATACTGCTTCCAGTTAATTATGATGTGTTTAATAATAACATTTTAATTTAGAACTTTTAGAGTTTGTTTATTTTAAAAAATTTAATAGTAATATGGTGGAACTATAATCTTTTTTCAGCTGGTTACATATAATATGATTTAGTGGAAAAGTATTTTGGGTTTAACCAAACAAACGGGGCCTAATTTTAAACCATTTATAGCACGAGACTTAAATACCAAACATGGCTTATGTGGCCACTTTTGGTTATTATATACTGTGAAGCTACCATTAAATTTTACAGCGTATGTCATAATTAGAATGGAAAAACCCAATTTTGTTTTATTGGCAAGCAAATACCCCGATTTTGCTAAATGGTTCTCCATTCGACCAAAAAAATTATTACTTTAATAAACTTACGTTAAGATTTACAAAGCACCACTAATATATAAATATCCTTTATCGTTTTAAATTTTAAGTTTTTTTAAATTTAATATTAGCTTAATTTATAAAGGAAAAAAAGCGACTTTAAATTTTAAAGACAATAATTCCGTACGGTCCGTTTCTTGTCCTTATACTTATATATATCCTATAAACTTTTTCATATTCCCTGAACTTGTTTAGCTATTTTTGTGTACATTATTATTGGCACACGTTTTTCGATGTTTTATTACAGACAGCTGACATATGCTCTTCTTAAAGATCAGTTTGAAATAAACTTAGAAATTCCTGATGGCTACTTAATTCCTACGGTAAACATAAAAATTTCACTTTATTACTAACTCAGATAACTTAAAATAGGTTACTTCTAGATATAAGTATATACTTTGGGTGCATGAGTTATTGTTACAAGTGGCAGAGTACTTTGATGCCAAAAAATCAATTATAGGCCTTGATGTGTTAGCACCTTTACTTAATTAGTTTACTGAATGTTTCTTGCCATTTGTGCCCCCCATATACAGAGGCACGGGCGCTTCCTGTATATATCCGTTATTAGGAAGTAAACTCTTTGGCTGGCATTTTCGAGCCAGTGACAGGTGCGCAAAGGTAAAAGTTTTTATTGTCTGTTGGCCTTTAGTAAGTTTTAATTCGAGGTTCTCCAGCTTGCTTTAAAAAACGTCACGGCAAACAAGCTTGAAAACCGCATCTCACTAGTTCTTGTAGATGAAGACGATCCTCCCTTATTAAAACTCGTCGACCAGGCGAACAGGTTTTTTTTTATTAAATTCAGTGGGAGCTCTTGGTTTATTTATTTATCCCTCTTTGTTAAACGGCCACTTTATTTTAAACGTAGATATCACTTTTGTGTGTGCAATCCGCCTTTTTTTAACAGCAAAGAAGAGCAGGAATCGACGCATCTGCGCCAAACAAAGCCGCTCTCTGTCATTGCTTCTTTTGTTTCTATTTTACAACCTTACTATTCACAACCATGCAAAGGACAACCCGGGAAAAGAACATGAAGCCGTGACTCGAGGTTGGAAGTTCCTATAAGGCCCTTTTTATCGCAAACTTTTTTTTTTAGGCGGCGAACTTGAATTTATAGAAAAGCTATTACAGGATAGTTTGACCTTAAAGAAAACAATTATGTTCCTACTTTTCTTAGTGATCGATAACAAGAATTAAATTCAACACTTTACAGTTGGTACACGTCGCTAGTCGGCAAGAAGCGCAGCTTCCTAAGCATTGTAAAACGACTAAAAGGACTGAGAGAAGTCGACTTTCAATCTGCGTATTTTCTCTGCCTTAATTTGTTATCCCAGTAGGTAACCACCATAAAATGGACCCAGTTTACCCAAGGAAAAACCACACGATGGGTATCCACTTGTTTTTTAAACTTTGATTATCTGGCACGACACTTAATAGGCTGTGGCGTGGTCATTTTATGCCATCTATATTGACGAGGAGCGAATGCAAACAGCTCCAACTGCGCTGCCGGCTAAGCGCTTTAAGAGTACCAGCGAAGAGAATAAAGAAGTCTTGAAGACCACCCAGCTCTTGCTTAGTGTTGCGAGCGGTACAATCGAGCCCTTAGGAAGGCGCCTTCGCCTCTTAAAATGATGTTCAGGACACAAGGAAGAATTATTGGACGACGTGCGCTCTATATTTAAAGAATATGAACTGAAATATAATTTGGAGAGCGCCCTGCTGCAGCTTTTTAAGGGTATTCCATCTTATAGCACTCGTGTAGTACACTAATGCTCGAAAAGTGGAGGCCCGCACCTGCACGTGGAGTAGGAGAGCCCGTAGAAAGAAGAAAAGACTCTCCGACTTTCCCAGCGAGCCGAAGGGGCTGCCGCCTTCAGACTTTCCCATCTTTATTGCATTATTTCAAATTCTTCGTGGCGACGACAAGTCGCTGGCCCGTCCTCTGCAAGTGACCTTGTGGATAACGCTGTTAAGAGGTCCGCGTGACCGCTTTCATAAGTCTTAGGATGCATTATTCCTTTGTGGTGCAGGCGATTTCGGGAAGTTTGTCAGTTTTGAGCTGCACTTCGCTCGGGCATTGGAAAAGTTTGGTAAGTATAAAGTTTTAAATTACAATGTGTATGGGAGGAGTTTAACTCCTATAAAAAGCGACTTGCGTTAACGTAGCACATTTATTGTTGTATTTCGAATGTATCAGCATAGTTGCAAAGTAGTCTATCCAACAGCCTAATACGGTTCTTCACTAGTAGTCCACATGTTCTCTGCAGGCAATAGGGGGTGTTAGTCTTCACAAAGCGAGTTAAGCATGATCAATAATACTCCGCAATTATCGTCTTCCAAATCGAGCATAAGTCGTTCAGCAATCAACTCCAGTGCGAATCTGCGCAGCAATAAAGAACAAGTAAACCAGAGGGTCCAATAGCGATTAAGTATGTCCTTAAGAAACCTTCCTGCATGGCTAAGCTTTGTACTACCACGCCGGCTCCATCTCCGCATAGCAATGTCACAGCCGTGCAGATCTCCGCTAAATACCGCCCTGTATGCGCTCAAAAGGTCGTCATCAGTTTCCGCTATGAGTGCATCCAGTGCTACGGCAGCGGAGGGGTCTATATGTTCTTCTCGGACCCTATCAGTAAATAGCGAAGTGCCTAAAAAACACGACAAGAGCTAAACCAGTGAAATATCGGCAGAGGTGGAATGGCAGCACATAATTAGCCAGCACGGCAGGGAGCGACGCGCGAAGGAGGTTATCCCTATCGAGCTGCCCGAACGACAGGCATGCTTCAGTGTAGTGGCCGTACCACAAAGCGTGTGAGGCCTATCATACAGGTGTAGGCTCCGTCTCTACTAACACTATTAATAGTTTTTGAACCTTTGCTTCGTGTATCCATGACAGAGGCACACCGATATTTCCAAGCCATTCTATGCGGGTGTCATTTAGCTCGTGGGCATGGCGGGTCAGTAGTTCCCGCACACAAGCTTGCACACTGCGAAACGCAAGGAGCCACCATCAACCAAAATCAAGAAAACTATATAAACAATTACTTCATCTGTTCCAAGTGAAACAATGCAAAAACTGCCCAAAGCCAGAGACCGCAGTATTCCAACTCACCGGCAAAGTTGCCAGTCAGAAGCTCTTCCACGCCTTCGAAGTTTGTAGTGTGGTTGCTTAAGATGGGCTGAAGTGTAAAACGTTTAAGCCATGGAACCCGCTCAAAAAAGGGCAGAAAGGAAACCTTTAGGACGGAGAAAAGTTGCCATGCTGGTCGGTGAGGACCCAGCAACTCCACATCAATCAAGGCCTGCGCGTAACTCAGCGGGGAAAAAAGGCGCTTCAAGTGAAAGGCCCCAAATTTTTTAGCTACAGTGAAGGCGTGATAAAGTGATCATCGAAAGAATACAGCAAAGTAGAGACTTTTTAATAATATGAGGTAGAAGCAAGTGTCCAAAGGCCTCTTATAGTGGTCCAAAGAGACGTCAAAGCATGGAGCCACCGGACGGTTAGGCGAAAGAGCCCACGAATAAATATAAGCGTCTAACGCGGCGTCCACCGTAGACCCTACAGGAGGTCACATGTTTACGTAACCAACAGAATAATAGGAAAGTAGACCTGGAACGCAATGGTAAAGTAGGTACATCATGAACGCTTGTTTCCAGTGCATGTGGTGCTCCACGCCATCTGTAAATGTAAAAGTTAAGTTAGCTAAAAAGTTCAAGCTCACTATCCGGAGTCCGTCGAATTTTACTCAAGTCTCCAGTTAAGAGGCTGTATAGATCCAAGTACTCGCTGCTGATACAGCCCTTTAACTCTCGATCTCTAAACAATGACACCTGCAGGGAAGAGCACTCTCTTTAACCAAGGAAAACTGCTTACTACAGACACTTGCCTGCTGACGGAGCAGAGAGCGAAAAGCCTTCGAGCCACCCGCCTGTGTGAGAAGAATGGCGAGGCGTCCGTCGCCATTCGAGCGGGCAGTTGCCACGGCCTTATTTGTCTGTCCTCCTACAACGGTAACAAGTCAAGCAATAGTTTATGAGGGAGAAAGTAAAAACACGCGCCAGACAAGAGAGTAATCAACAGATCTCTATACTGGTCTCGCTGGCGGGCATCAAGAGAGGCAGTTTTAAGGTCGACTTCATGCTCATTGGCAAGTTTAAGCCTGTTTAAAATAATAAATAAACCGAAATACTTACCACAATCCGAAAGTACACCAATCTATGAGAAAGCGGAAAAGACGTCTGCCTTCCTCCGCATTATCAAGTCCGTTGCATCCTTCATTGCGCCAAAGACCTTTTTCATAGCCATAAATGCAAGTAAAATTCCGAAGCATTACTTTTATAAATGCCAAGACCTGCCACAAGCTTCCACATATGCGTACTATATGAGCCCTCGGCTTGTGACTATGAGAGAGACGAGAGAGGAAGAAAAAGTAGATAATCTACCAGACTCCTCCAGGCTAGCAAGTTCCAGGCAGAGATTAGTGGCTGCTTGCTGGAAGGTGTCCTCTGAGGTTTCCGAAATATCGCTCCTCAAGCGCCACCTGCGCCAAAGGCCTCTATAAGTGCTCGTTACAAAAGTAAAATGGCGACGTACGAGAAAAGAGCTTCGGAGGGACGTCCTAAAGGTGCGCTCAATAGCTTCTGAGCGCTCAAACACTTCTCGGTTTTATAAAGCGACTCCCTTTCAAAAAACTTGCGAGGGATAAGTCTATTAAAATAATTATCATTAGAAAGCTTGAGATCCATTCATTGCTAATATGGCCGACTTTAACTTTGGGGAACACTTTGTCCTTAGGGTCCCCACAAGAGCAAATGCCTTTACTACACCACCACCTCGCCTTGAATCGATAAAGAGGGCAACTCCGTCTACCAACCGGAATGCACTGCGGTAGGACCGCCCCAAATCTGCCAATGGGAAAAACGCCGCTAACGCAGAAAAGAGAAGATAATGCTAAGAAACAACCTCGACGATAAAATTGACTATTGGCGAATGGTGGCGGTACTTGCAAAAGTTGTTGCTGCTCTGGAGCTACGTAACAGGGCATCCACGAGGTTTCCTTTTCCTCCGTCCCAGCTCCCGATGGCTCGACAGGGAGCAGAGAATGCTCATATTTCATTTTATATATAGAAGGCGGTGGTGATTGCGAAAAGGGGAAGAAGTTCATCAATTGCGATTCGCAAGTTTTGCAAAAAAGAAATCGTTGAAGAAAGCGGATCCGCCGTGGGTCGAGGCCAAGCACGTGAGAAAAGTTGTCTCTTGTTTGCCGTTTATAAGGAGGTTTTACTAGTGAGTTCTGAGCTAACACCACGTGGTGCGGGCGGTCACAACCAATGTCTTCCGTCTCTTCGTCAGAATATAAGTTGTCGAGGCCGTATCTAGTAAAGTGATCCACCTGACGGCAAAAAGAAAGTTCATTGGCAGAAACGGAAGGGCCGGTCACAATCAAAACCTCAAACTTCCACTCGCCAGTGTTGCGGTCGTAGGAAATAAACTTCATCCCTTCGGCGGATCGCTGCAGCTTCGCTTCGTGTTTCCTAAGCTGTTCTGGGTCTGTGCGATCTTTAGGGAAACAGCTAGAGTGCCAGACTACTGGTCAGAGCTTGCTAGCGTTAGGGAGCAGCCAATATTTACTTGTAAATGGAGATGCGGGCACGCTTGTTCAGTTTCTCTCCGACCGATGGTTTGCAAGCTTCTTCAGGGTAGACGGTCACGTGTCTGTCCTCAATATGCACAACTGCGTCAAGATCCAACCCAGAGACGTCGCTGAGCCCTATTGAGGAGATTGGCTGGCGAAGCGGTGGAGCAGATGCGCACGAGGCATACCGGGCCATTCAACGGAGGCAACAATGGGGCTCGTGTCAATCAGATCGTCTTTAGTTTGGATTCTTCAGCATCAATTAATTAAAAACTATAGCAGGGTACAGTGCTATTGAAAACCTCCATATTTTGAAGTTTTCTATGCTTTTCTGCTGCTCGGTAGTCATCTTATTAATATCTTCAATGCTCGGAGCTGGATGGCAAACTTTCACACCGACGAAGTCAAAGCAACCATAGAAACGTACAACAGCGGTATTCCGGATGCAAAAGTTTGACATTCGCTTGCGGTTTCTCCCCAGAATCAAATGTAGCTGGGAAATCAGAAGATGAAGATGATGCAGGAAAGAAGGGCTGCTCCTCTCTGAATATCAACAGGAAGCGTGAATAAAAAGACAAGTAACGGTACGAACAATGCAGTAACAACAAGCCAGTAGTTTCTCCGCCCCCTTCGCACATAGCACCGCTGGCGACTCTAGCCTTCTCGTCCGCAATGGGTGAACCCGGCGTAGGAGTTGCACTTAAGGGAGGAGGAAGGCCGCCCCCCACAAGGCGTAAAACTTTAACAGAAAGCTTAGCGGAAGTGCGTTCTGGCGGTTCCTCGTCGCCAAACCCGCCTGCGGGGCTGCCAGGAGACTAAACAGAAATGGAGCCTGCAGACAGTTGAGCGATACACGATGATACATACGCCTAAAGCAATCTTGGGGAGAGGCCTGTGGACATCAGAAAGGATCGGCGCATATGCAGATGGTGATAAGTGGTTCCCGCCCAACACACTGCTCGCTGGCTTAGCTGGTATATATAAACCCACGAAGCAGAGCAACAGGGAAATGCAAGACATACCAGTAGTTGTAAAAATAGAGCTACCCAAAACAGCCTTTTCGCGGGCAACTTTCACGCGGTCAATAACGGGAATGTGGTTCAAACTTTTCTTCAAGTCAGTGGCTATAGGAAGAGAATATGGCGACTGTAGCCCGACTAGTGCCAACGAGGGTGGTGGCTGCGCAGGAGTTGGAGGGGCAAAGAAAGGCTGCTGGTATGGGGTATGCGTAGAAAAAGACTGGGGTGTCTGCTGCTGCCCAAAAGCGTTGCCGGACGCTGTGGAACTGCTTCCGCCAAAAAAACCAGTAGATGGAGTCACGCCGAAAGACGTGGATGACCCGCTGCCCAACGCGCTAATTGAGGTTGCTAGCCAGATTCAAGTCAATGGATTCTTCTTATAACAGTATAAAACTAATATCGTACACTGGCCGGGAATAGTTGTATTACTAGCACCAAACTTCGGAAAGCCTGTAGACTGCTGCTGACCAAAACCAGTTCCCAGTTGATTACTGGTGCTTACATTAAAACCAAAGCCGCTTTCGGCTGTATAAAGAGAAGACTTGGTAAAATATAAGAGAATGGGGTAATAAGAGGAGCACACCCGTCCCGCCAGTGGAGCCGCCAAATGCAGTAAAACTGGACTTGTTAGGCTCAAAGCCGAACCCCCCGGGAGCTTGTTGAAAGGCGCTTGCGGTTGCAGGTGGATCTAGAAAAGTAGTCAATTTCCACGTGCACATGAGTAAGAAGTAAAAACAGAAGAATTTACTCTGAGCCCCGAAAGCACTTCCTCCAAACACGCTGGGCTGCGAAGTGGCTTCTGCAAAGCTTGATTAGCGCAAACCTAGAGGCTCTCGAGTGGAGAGCTTACCTTTATTCTGACCAAACTGGTTGCCCCCAAAAGGTGCTGCGGAAGGAAGGCCGGGGGGCTGTTGGCTTGTAGTGAAGCCAGAAGTCACGGGTTGGTTACCAGAAGCGCCTCCAAAAATACCGCCACTGCTGCCAAAAGCGCCGGTAGGGTTACTCGCTCCTTGTAAAATAATGATGATATAAAGCACGAAAGTAAGTATGTACAGAAGTTGCGGCCACCAAAATTCGTAACGGCGCTCTGAGAAAAGCTTGGCACGTTAGTCTGAGTATGACTCGCTGGACTGCCACCAAAAGCACCAACTATTAAATAGGTTAATTAACATTAAAGACGGCCCAAAGATGACCCTTAAAAACTCACAACGGCCAGCAGTGTTGGAGGGCCCGAAAGGCGACGGCGCACTTGCCGAAAGCTGAGCCCCAGAAGTCATAAAGCCTTTTTAAATAGCGACGTCTATGACTAACACGGATATCTATCCATAAGTGAGGCCACCTGCGCCTGTCGTCAAAGAGGGCTTGCGTCCCGCATTGGCGTCTTCGTATCTCAATTCCTAGGAAAAGGGCAACGCAGCTATTGGTTTATCCGAAGAAGCAAAGACAATACTTCGACCTCGTAAGATTTATCGCCATAACAATTCATAGCACAGATCGACTCGATTTGTTGCCGCACCATTTTTTTTTGCGAATCGAGTTCTTGCTCGAAAGTTGCTTGGTAGGGTGTATTAGCTGTCCCTGTAGCGCAATATAAGTAGATGCGACCAGACATTACATATTAATAAATGCCTCCTGCAGGCGTTGCACCAAAAGCAGAGGGCACTGTGTTTGTGGGACCGCCGCCAAAGCTACTTTTGAAGGCGCTACCCATGAGGCTCCCGACACCTTATTATAATTAGCTAAACTTTTGGTATGAGGCAGAGGACACTTATCACCTTGAGAAGAAGTTCCTGCGTTGCTTCCAAAAAGTCCGGTACCGCCAAAAGTGTGTGCACTAGTAGGGCCTGCGATAAATCCAGAACTTCCTACGCTGGAGCTCACAGGCGTCGAAAGAAAAGACTTATTAAAAGTATCTTGAGAACCACCAGAAAAACCTGATACGCAAGTATGCAAGTTTGGAAGTTGATAAACAAATAAGAGCCACAACCTCCAAAGTTGCTACTAAAACCATTTTTGTTGCCACTGAAAGGAGAGGCCGAAACGTGGGTGCTCCCAGCTAGAATAGTACAAAGCCGTCATTAAAAATAACTATTTAAAAGGAGATAACTTAAAACCTGCACTAGAATTTACCCCAAAAGATGAACCGAACAAACCACCGGAGGCAGAGGGAGCAAACGTAGTAGTACCTATACGTAACTAACGTTTAAACGTACAACTACTATTGTAAATCAATTCAATATAATATTTAGTTTATCAATATAATAATTAATATAATAAATAATAGTATAATATAATGATATATATTTATATATTTTTTTCCTTTAGGATATATAATGGTTAAATAAAATTTTTGAAAGTCAACATCAAAGTAAAAAAGTATAAGTAATATAATAAAGAATAACAAAATTAATTATTTAATAAAATTTAAAATCATAAAACAGACAGGGAATTCTTTTGATTTATAATTTATTAAATTTTTTTTCTATTTATATGTATAAAGCACTAATTATTTTTATACTTTTTTCATACGTTTACTATAATGAAGATAAGTTTATAAAGAATTTTCTGTTTTAAAAATTAATAATTTTAAGTCAAGTATCTGTTTATATAAATATATTAAAAGTAATAAAACTCCCTTAAATTATAAAAAATACCTTGACTACCACTCATACTAGAGTTACCGCTATTAAAACCGCCCCCAAAGTTATGACTTTGGGCAGTGCTAAACTGCCCGGTAGTGCCTCCTAAATGTACCATAATAAATTTACTATTACTTTAAAAAAGCAGCTCAAACCATATAAATTTTGTGTTTGAGTAAAATTGGAAGAAGCCCCGCTTCCACTTCCTCCGCCTATATAAGAAATGCAAGTAACTGACTCCCAGTAACTCAAAGTTAGATAAGTAAAAAAACCAAAAATTCCTGTAGAAACAGTGTTAAGCCCTGAACCCTGAAAATTACCAGTTCCTGAAGTAAAAGGAGTAGCACTCCCAAACACTAATTATTAAAAAAATTGTCGACAGTGTTAAACGGCTACCTCCTAGCCACTTAAAAAAATATATATGTGGAATATCTCTATAAAAAAACCTCCTTTTCCTTGGTTAAGATTATTTCCAGTAAAAGAGTTAGCATTTGCTATTAAGGAAACGATAGGAAATTAGCGGTATGTCCAGATAATATATTTATAATACCAATAAAACGAAAGAAGAAATTAAACCAAAGAAAATTTACAAGTATTATAAGATGAAGCACTAAAAATAGGAGTAGTACCAAAACCTCCACCACCACCGAACATAAGTCTGTGCGCCAAATACAGTTTACTAGCAACTCGAAGGGATATTACCAGTTGATTCACAGTTTAGCCAAGGGAACGGCGATTCGATTATTTTTAAAAGCATGCTTCATACTGATTAGCTTAAAATTTTGCTATTCTTAGAAGTGCAAGCCATCTTGCTCTTAGAAATGTTTAGCTTTCTTTCAATCTTTAACGTGCTCGCCCATTAGAACCAATATTTTTGTTTAGTGATATACTGTATTTGTATTTATTTCATTTACTATTAAAACTAAGACCGTAATTATATGAGAGTCGTGGCAAAAGTAAGTTTTACATAATAATCTGCTCAAGTATACGTTTTTAGTGTTATAAATATAGGTAAAACTCTAGACTGTAATTTAGCATACTTGTTATTGTTATAACTTAAATTGTATTTAAATATTGGGGGTTTTGATAGTTTATTACTACTTTCCATTTAATCGGGCACTAAGCTGAGATACCTTTTAGTAAGATTTGAATAATGTAATCTCGTTTCCTTTCAAAAACTGTCTCTGAGGAATTGCTCAAAGTTTGTTGCACAAACATGGCGTCCGTGGAAACGGAACGGATGTCTAGTAATTAATTTAATACGTGTTCGTAACAAACACATTTTTTTACTTGAGGTATAATTACGTAAAAGGTTTTCTACCAACAGTTTTTAATAACTATGCATTACGAAATTATAAAAAATAAATTTTTCTTTCGATATAAAGTTAAAAAAATATATACTATTTACTCATTTAATCACTTATTTAATTGTAATTATAGATTTGCACCTAGTTTTAGACTAAAGGGGCCTCTTTGTGACCAGATATTTTATACTATGATGTTTTAAAAATCCTCTGGTATTAGTTTTTCGCAGGCAAAAAAATTATTTCTCCCATCTTTTAAAAAAAGTTAACAAAAATTAAACATTGGTAAAAAGATAACTCTACTTGTTTAAATATAAAGTAAGGGACAACTTATCAACTATCCCATTTTTTGTGTAAAAAGGGCTTTTCGTAGTGAAAAAAGCTATTTTCTGAGTAAAAAAAAAGGTTTAATTTCAGAAAACACACGAGATTTGTTATTATTACTTATTGCAGAAGTTCCTTTTGGTTAAAGAAGTGGGCTTGTGCTGAATTTATGACTACTTTATGACAAATAAAATTAAGGTAATTATTTTGAGCTAAACTTAATATATAAAGTCCAAAGTGAAAGTGCTAGATAGAAGAGCTTACTTAACGTAAAGAAATTATTTTCTGAAAAGAAAAAGAATTCTTTTAGCGAGCATCGAACATAATCTTTAATTATTATTAATTAAAAAAGTATAGTTAACTTACTAAATATGTGCAGGCATATCAAACCACTTAAAAATTCGTAAACAATTTTTTTGTGTAACTTTTTTTTAGTTAATCGTAAAAAGTAAATTTTTTTATGAACTTAAAAGTATTTCCCAAATTACAGCACTAATACTATCCATCATTCCCCAATTTTTTCAGATCAACTAAAAAATTTTCGGGAAACCATTTTGCGAAACTTCTTAAAAAAAATTGAAAGCTTAATCACTTAATTTTTGACAACATAATAATAATATAATTACTTACAATCTTTATTCTAAATATTTATTATAAAATAAGTTTATTTTCTTGATTTAACCTTTGTTTTTTAATAAGTTTGACAATTTCAATGATATTTTACAAATATTGTATCACGCTAAAAAAACTGTTTTAAAAGTTTGTTATATTAGCCATAAAAATTATATATCAAACTAAATATAAAGATTACAAAGCAATTTATTTTAATTTTTTATATACTATGATTAGCAAGGTTTTCTATTTTTCTTATTAAAAATGTTTATTTATTGTGTTCAACCATTAATTTAGTATTCAGATTCCTATTATAAAATATTATTGTAATCATAAAATACCTTTATCATAATACTTTTTTAAGTTAACTTATAATATTGTTACGTACATATTACTTTAATCAGAGATGACAACTAATTATTAAAATAGTACCAAACCTTTTGTAGTTGGAATAAAAGTTTTTAAGTCCCCTACGCGAATCGCTCGTTGAAGTAATTATTTTTGTTTTTAATACGATAAAAGTTTTGATTCATATAATTCTTATCCATTTTCATTGTCCGTTCATTATTGTGTCAATTCTTTTTGTTTTATTCCTTTAAGGTGTATACATATTATTTGTTTTTGTTGTAGGTGTTTAAATTAACGTCAATTGGTCTGTGTTATAGCACAAAATTACTTGATTTCTCCGTGCAGTGAAGTATTAGTTATGTTAAATCTGGAATGCAGTGTTATATGGAAATACATAATATAGCATGTGATGTGCCTAGGATTATTCGGTTTATATGTATTGTAAAATTACTCATCAACAAAGGAGTCGAGAGATTTAAATAAAAGTATATCTTCGAACCTCGCCCATTAGACTTACTGTACTTATATACTGAAACTTTGCCGTCCAGTGGTTTTTGAGTTATAAATTTTATCAAGTAAAATCCTATTTTATGTTTGGTGTTAAACGGTTATAGCATCTTGAGAGCTTTTTTACTACTAAATACCTAGTCACATACAGCCTCACTACAGTGTTCTGACTATAATTTAGCTTGCTTAAGTATGCATTGTATCATGGATGAAATGGTTTTAGTCTTCTTTCACTGAACAAACATGAACTGTACCCTTAAGTACGGAACTAATAAATTTCTATCTTCATTTATCCTGTTTTTAAATTTCTCAGATAAAATTACTCCTTTATCTACTTATTCCTTCGTATAATGTCGTTTTATTGTTCCTATTATGTCTTACGTTTTTTGATGTAGTTGTGATTATTGATTTAACATGGTTTTTTTATTTTTTATAATTTTTTAGTAAAAGTAATAATTGTATGTTTGAAACGTGCATTAGTTCCCATTACTATGTACTTGTATCCTTCATGTGGTAGATATCCCACTCAAGTGTGTCTACGTAAAACCTTTGTTCTGGTTATCGTTGATAAGGGTTGACACTAATTTACCTCCACTCGTCCCTCTTCAAATTGCTTTTCGCGCACTTGATTTAAACTGCCATTTGATTTCGTAATTTGCTAAAACTTCAAATTCCCTTGGGAAAAATGTGTAAGTAGCCAATAACGGTAATTTTAATACAAATAAAATATGTTCTTAGCCTCCAATCATCACGCTAAGAGTGCGTAAGTTCACTGTTACTAGGTCATCAGCGTGTCCAGCTAATTCTCTCCTTAAGGTCGACCACTGCTTAAATGAATATGGAAGTAGCTCAACTTGTAGTTCGCGGTTTAGTGTTTCATTTTATTTTGTCGCTCTTTAATCGAGGACGCTAACAGCGATAGCCTAGGCAGCAAAGCGTAGGTTATGAGAGGTGTCGAATACCCAGCACAAACAGCTTACATTAATATTCATAACGAAATCTTACTTTCGCGTTTGGGTCGCTGCCTTGACCTTAGTCACCACTTAATTCACGTTCGAAAGGCGTTAGAGCTTAAAATATAATGACCCTAAGACGTTTCGACTGAGGGCAACACTGAAAATTAAATACCATTGAAGATTAACAGTGTCGGCAGTGTAGAGCTTTTCGCTTTTATTAAAAACCTGACTTGCTTTTTCTGTGTTATGGATCAAGTTTATATATATATTTTAACTTATTTCGGTACTAGCCGATTTTTAAATGAATCCTTACCGCTTACCCTATTTCCCTTCCTCATCACACGCAGAGTTAAAACTTAAGTGTCCACTAGCACACTCTCTTAAAGGAATCATAATAGCTGTCCTAAGGAACCCATTATGCGAATTTTTTATATCTTGAAATAATATAAATGTCATAAAAAAATTCATAAAATACGATTAATAATAGTTGCATCTAATAGCTCGCTCTTAACAGAATTTAACTATTTATAAGATTATTTTTTCTTATACCTCAGAAGAAAATTTCGAAAAAATTACATTTTATTAATTTACCATGCTAGGTTTGACGATTTTCCTGTATCAATTCGACGTCTCCTATCTCGTAGAACTTACATTTAATTTATAGCGCTGTATAAAAGTAACAGGAAAAAAAGGAAAACAGGTATTATTAGATTGCCTCGCTCTCTTTTTTAAAAATTAAAGCTGTCTTGGAGTGCGTATTATAGACATATGCATATGGGTTTCAGGTAAACTTCCTAATTCCTACTCCACTCCTATATATGGTAACTTATTAGCCCCCCGTGAACTTTCATTGTCCAAACATCCTCTGTAGGTTAATCCCTGATACTCATTGGTGGCAATAATTTAAAGAGTTTGTCTGATAAATTACGGTTTTCGAAAAAAGTTAAAGATATAACATTTCCCTATTGGTGAATATTATCCAACTCTAACTTTGGACCTTGTGTCAAATCTAAAACTGGCAAAAAATTTTAAAGTTCAATTACTAATTAAAACTCCTAAAGATTTTATTTCATGGGACCCAAAATTCTAGTTAGTAAATATGCTATATATTAAGAGTGTATCCTAACAATATTATAGAACTAAAGCGCTTTAAAAAAACATTATAATTAGTACACCGATCTAGCGGCGTAAGTGCATTACATAAGATCTGGGTTTTACTGAGTACACAAGTCTAACTTCTTAACTGAAGTTAAATGCTCATTTGAAACATATCTTTTTGGATTTTATAAATTTAAATTTGAACAAATATTAAAAGTAGCTTCAGCATCCTAGTGGTCTAACCACCAAAGTAAATAATTTAGGAGGCAACTAAAATGTATTTGTGAAGAAAAAAGTGCAGGTTACACGTTCATGAGAAAAAAGAAACAAATTGAATAGATACTAGAGAGGGAAATTTATATGAAACTATGTCAGAGTATACATTAAAAATTATATAACTATAATCAAGTACTAAGTAGTCTGCGCTCGACTTACCGAGCATTAGAAGAAGTCAAAATAAAAGTTAACCACAACATTAATTGTCTCCAATAAATGCATAAAGGCGTCGCTATGTAAGGGTGGTTTCGTCTAATATCTAGAAGCGTAATAAAATTATTTTATTGTTGCCAACAGACGAAAATGGAGGTAGTTATAAGATTAATGCTTTAAAAACTTAACAATTTAAATTCAAGGTTTCTTTATTTCGTAAGTATATACATATATTACTTTTCTTAAAAGTTTTTACCCCACAACTTTGTAACTTTAAAGTTACAACTTTATATTAAAAATTCTATTCTAACGTTGTGCAAATTGCTAAGTAAACATTAAATTATTGTTTCGGTTCTTTAGCTCAAACTTATATGTATAGCTGTTAATGGTCTTTTAATAAAACCATTATTACCTGAAAATGCAAGCTGTAATTACTTTCTTACCCAAGCAGAATGATAAGATCGTTTCTTTATTTTTAAAAAGTATTCTCTTTATGGCAAGCTATTCTTAAGTATTGGTGTGCATTTAAAAATAATTTAGATCGAATTAATTAAATTTACTTTGTAACCAATACTGTGGTTTACGGGGTCCTCTGTATACATTTTTAAAAGTTTTGTCGCTTTAAGACCTTTTAAACCAGTTCCGAGTTAGAGTTTCACTTACAGAAATGGGTGATGGTTCATCGCGTCTTCTTGATCAAACATTTGTTGATCGGTTACGGAAGGTCCTTGGTCTGGTTTTGTTATTTAAACTTTGTAGTTTTATACTTAAATAGTAGATGTTTGATATTTCGGATCCTCGTTGCCTTCTTCCTAAAGTATTTTTTGGTATATCAACTAAGGAAGCTGTTGATCTTGCTTTGAATCCTGAGCGTTCAGACGTTTCGTAATAACTAATAACTTTAACTCTATTTAATAAAATCTATTTTGACGTTTTAAAGTAAAGAGATTCTCCTTGCTGCAAAGAAAATAAGAGCTGCTAACGTTCATCCTGACACCAACCAAATAATCTTCCCAGCTTTCAGGATGTGCGGTTACGCGTTATTTAACGCTCCCATTACTTGTGGTAAATTCGTTATTATATTAATAATAATCATTATAATATAAAATTAAATTATTTAATTATTTACTTTTTTTGCAGGAATGCTTATTCCAGGGCAATCCTTATTAAAGCGTATTTTTTGGCAAGCTCTCAATCAGACTCATAACGCGGCTATTAACTACTCTAATCGTAACGCATCTCAAGAGACGTCCATGGCCACGGTTCTTCAGGGCTACTTAGGTTGAAAAAATAGTTTTATGGCCTACATTTAATGTATATAATACTCTAAAGTGTCCGTCTTCTAGATACCAGCTGTTGTATTGTTAAAAGCTTAGATTGTATTATTATGGCAATTGAAGTACTTCGAGTACAATAGTTTTAAGCTCTTATCTAAGCCACCCCCTTACAGGCGCCCTTATTAGTTCTGTGAGTATAGTAGTTGGCCTAGGCGAAACAGTAAAGCGGTTGAAATTCTCAGCAAAAACGAAAGTAAGTTTAAAAATACGAGTATGACGCGTGATTTTCGTCACTTAAAGTTTCTAACAATTTTATAGCCTTCTCCCTATAACTCTTTAACAGAATAGTTGCTTATATGCAAATACTAAAGCCATAAATATGATATAGTTTTATTTTAGAATGTGCTAAGCAGGTTCATCCCGTTTCCTGCTGTTTCTGTTGCTGCTGTCTGTAACCTCGTTCTCATGGTATATTTGTGTAGTGAAGGTAAAAATTTTCTATTAATTTTTTAAAAGAGAAAAGCTGAACTGAAGACGGGGATCGACCTCTACGATGAAAGTGGAAAGGTGCTTCGCTGGATGTGCAGCGTATAACAAAACAGTTTACTGGTTGAGATCATATAGCTTTACGGGAATTCCCGAGTTGCTGCTGCGGAGGGGCTCTGGGCCACTGCGCTTACGAGAGTCGCCTTGTGCCTGCCAACTCTGTTGGTCCCTCCTGTCGTTATGCTGGCCTTAGAAAAAGGAGTGCTGAAGCGGCGCCCCCACTGGCAGGTCTACTGTTGCTGTCCCTTCTCTCAAATGTCTTGTTGAGGATGGTGTTGGCAATAGATCCCCGTGCAGAATATAGTGTGCGCAGTATCGTTTCTCGTGGGTCTTCCGTTTGCAATAGCTTTGTTTCCGCAGGTTTCGATAGCCTAAAGTTGTAAGGCATCCTGAGGTTTTACCTACTTTTCATATAAAAGGAGGGCTCTATTGAGGCTAGAAAACTTGAAAAAGAATTTCAAGGCTTAAAAATTTTAGATAAGCCCGTCACTCGGTTTTATTATAATAAAGGTCTATAAGCGCTATTTTATAACATAAAACAGCTTTGAAGTACGGTGAAACTCCCTTTTTTTATTTATAAGATTCATAAGACTTCAGTTTCCAATACGAACTTGAGCTTTCTTAAAAATTCTAATTCCCTCTCTAAGGCATTAATCTTCGAGTTCAATCTAAAAATTGTATATTCTACTCTCTATTGGCCTTGGTGTAGCAAGAAAAGAACTCTTCTCTTATATTCAAGGAGCTTTCTGGCGACAGTATACAACTTAAGCCGCCCTCACTAGTTTTTTCTGCTTTTCTATTGAACATAACTGATATGAAGTAATATAATAGCGGGAGCATTTCAAAAGAACGATTCTACCTTTTGCCCTTTTTAACTGAGGGCTCAGACAAACGTTTGAGAACAGTAGATCTCCAGACGCCTCTGAAAGTAACTTTCGAGTGCGTACCTCCAAATATTCTTCAGACTCCTGCGAAAAGACTAAGCAAGTTTTAGAAGGAAAATTGACCGCTATTTCATAGGAAACAAATACCTGCAGAAAGGATGGTCACGGGTAGGGCAACGGCTACCAACGCTGTGACCATGGTGATGGAAGCTATTATCTTTCCTAGAGTCGTTCTAGGCGTGAGATCCCCTGTTTTACAGAAGTGTTTAACAACAGTTATCAAGGCAGAGTATATTAACTTTTTAAAGGGCGAGTACCGTATCCTACCGTTGTAAGCGTAACGATGCACCACCAAAGCGAAGCTGGAATATCTTGAAAGTCGGTAGGTTGACCTTTTAGCTTCCCTTCAGAGTGGATGTAAAGGCCAGTAATAGGGTCTGTATTCGCGTAACTCACGATCACTTAATATTTATTAGCATTTGAAAACCTCTAGTGCAGGAGACCGTCTCAGCATAATAAATAAGTGTAGAGAAAAACACCGTGTATATTGCTATAAATATCAGTAAAAACAAAACACCTACGTTATGTTAATGAGGGGATCTTGGGTGAGTATAGGATCAGGGATCGCACTAAAAAGATAAGTGATAGATATACCTTTTAAAGCAATTTTTAGGGACTTTAAAAGAATCCGAAGTATGTTGGAATGCTTTGCATATTTAAAGAGGTCAAAAAGCCGCAAAAGTCGTAATAAGTTTACATATCTCAGTTCTAATATAGCAGTAGTAAATAATATATTAAAGTAGATCTTCACAGGGAAGCAAGCCCTTTTTAATTAAAATAAAAGCTTTGTTTACCTTTAGGACCGAGCTCCCCAGCTCTCTTATATTTGAAGGAAATAATAAAAGGTACGAACGAGAGGAAATCAGATAAATTATATAGATCGAAAAAAAAAATTAATGGTTGACTTGAGGTCATAAAACGACCGAAATAATCCACAACAAATATGGAGAAAAAAAAAATCTCGGCTTTTAAAAAAAAATTGTTATTTCTTAAACTCCATTTGATTAAGTTCCAGGAAGATTCTAAAAAGATAAAACAAAAGGCAAGAGAGCGACTGAAAGCTGTAAAGTTGTGAATGTAGTTTACCTAATACGAGACATACACTGGACAATAGCACGGTAATGATCATGAGAAAATGCCATACATATGAACATTTATTAAGTCCGCTTAATTCGCTCAAAGTGAAGTTGATGAACTGCCTAGTCTTCTCGATCTTCTCACAATAAAAGCAGACTTTAATGTTATACAAAGATAGAACCATATCTTTATATTTATTAAGTTTACACTTAATACTTATCATAATAACTTTAAAATGAACTGCTATAATATTTATAATGAGTTTTTAGAAATAGCACATAACCACAAAAACTTAGGTTTAATTGATCCTCATATTTTTAAAGTTCATCTGTTTAAATTTTTTAACATTTTTACCAAATTTAGATTAAGCAATAACGTCGGTGGTAGTGTTGTATCAAGCCATATTCAAGATAAAATTAATAAATATTAACGCATTAATTCCATATAAATTTTTTTTATAAATTAATCTTCATATCCAAGAAAGTTAATCTTACCGATTAATACTATTTCGGAAATTTAAATATATTTTATATAAAAAAATTACATCCAGTAAAAGTAAGCTTTACTAGCGTAAACAATTTTGTCTTGAAAAATTTTTTACTAGATTTTATTTTTATTGATAACATATGTACATTAAATTCCATTAAATAAAGGTCAACTCACCGCCACTACAGCACGTAAAGTTGATTTTTGACTTAACCGCTTTCCTGATGGATTGAAGGCCCTTACCTGCGAGCGAGGACGCCTTATTCGAGTAGCTACGGTGTCAGAACGCCCCAAAGATGAATTAACACTTAATGGACTAATCAGGGCGTTAAGTAAAAAGCTATTGGCGCACCATGTAGGAGACAAATTTGAGTAATATACGGAACACAACCGTAACGTCGCGTTTTTTTTCTAAAAGTTTATTAGGTAATACAAAAACTCAGCGCGTTTACCATTAACTACTATGGAGACGGTGACTTTGTAGCTGAAAATAATGCTGACAGAGGGACACTTTTTGTTGCCCACCGTGCTACCCAGTATGCGCCACCTGCTTGTATAGCTGCTAATGAAGTGCTTTGGGGTCCAACTTCCCGCCGAGGTCGAGGAACAGATAAAGTCGAGAATCATACTCGAACATTGAGATTACTGATGCTTTACCGAGATGAAAGAAACATGACCTCGACGTTATCGCCAACGTGATGTTAAAGCAATTACTAATGGTTGCAGTAGGAGGTCTATGCTGCCTCATCTTCATTGCGCTGGAAGACGTCAACTATTATAATGCTCCCAAAGACACCACGACCAGCATTTACGCTAAGCAAATACAGGCCTATCAGCCTATTATCAGCCGATGGCAAAGGTACTGAGGCTCCTTGTCAGAGCTCCTGTTTGGATTTCGACAAGGAACTTGACGACTCAAAAACTCCTTTCCCCGTCAGAGTGGAAAATCGATGCATTCAATGTTGAGAAGGCAACGAGCACTATCTTCAACCGACTTTGGTACAAGGGTTTCTTTCACCAACTGTTCGCCGTAGCTCTTCCCACTGTTCTTTTTAACGTGATTACATCTTTCCTTGAGGGCTGCGCCTTGGATATAAGTGCGGGCGATGCGCGCTCAACCACCGGAGCATCACAAGGATTTCTTTTATCACCCCTACTCTTTGCACTTTAGGTGCGCGGAGTCCCACAGCCTGACGACCCCTACGCGTTGATTGCCTTTTATGCGGATGACATGGTTATCTTCTCCTCGTCAAAGTCATCCTCTTTGTTGCGCCAGCATCCGCAGTACTACCTACTGACGCTTGCTAACCGGTTAGTTGAAAAGTACTATTAATGCGGAAAAGAGTGAGGGCCTTTTTATCACGAAAAAGCGCACGAAAACTATATTGCGAGGCAGTACACTAATCAAATACCGGCAGTGAATGTAAATTACGAAGTCTGGGACGGCGCATGCTATCGCCGACCACGCGATAGACTCTTCATACATAATATGGGTTGGGGGTAGAATTATTTTTAATATGTATGAGATTGCTCTAACCCAAGCTTAAAGCTAATGTGTACACTATCACTTTCTATTGAGAACTTGTAAATCAGGTGTTTTCTTTTACGACACGATCAAAAACCAGGAAAAGGTATATTCTTAATCATAAACTTGCTATACGCCGAACATGCTAGCACCGCACAGTGCACTTTAATTAAATTATTTGCGTTTTAAACGTCATTGTTGCTATTTAAAGGTTTAGAAAAATCATTAATTTTTTTCTTAAAAAGAAACTCTTTAAAAGATAATTATGATATCGATGCGCACTGCTGTTCTATATATGATATATTATTTTAAAAATATTAAGGCCCCCTTCGGGCAGATACCTTTTTAGGACCACTTGACTTTCCTACTTATTGATATCAAATCTGCTAAAACTGCTGAAGGCTTTAATTATATGCCATGGCAAAGAAGATCAAATAATAAACTGTCAGCGGGTGATCCATTAAAACCCGCCAATACTTTTCCTCAAAACACCCAAAAAATTTTAAATATAATCGTACTAAAAAAAATTTCTTTTAGTCACACTATGAAAAAAAATATATTTTTAATTTTATCGGTTCAGCAAGATATGATTCCTGAAAACTTCTTAGTCGTCACTGTAAAATAACCTATAACGTATTTCCGAAAATTGAATATTTAGTTTTAAAAGGCAGCTAATGAAAGAAACATAACGTTTAACGCTACAACGCCGCTACTTCGTTATATATAGGGATTAACTTTAATTACGTAATTAGTCACGCGCCATAGCGCTTCTTACACTTTCTAACACCTCAGTTACTTCATACTTTAAACAATATTTTACAGTTATTAAAAATTCTCTAATATCAAATAAAAACTGGCGCTTTAACAATGAATTTTTCAAAAGAAGTATGAAGGCAGTAAATAAGGTATTCTCCAAAGGGTTCACTCTTTATGCCTTAAAATGTTTTTCAGTAAGTCATAAAGTCTTAATGAGATGGGAGAAGTGATAAACCCTAAGCACCTCACTAAGTTTAAAAAATATTCCACGACTTATTAATCCAATGTGTTGTTAGACAGACTAATAATTTGATACCACAAAAAAAACAGGGGCCGTCGTACGACGCCAAAAAGCGTTTGATAACATTTGGCAAGTAGAACTGGTTGATAGACTTTGTAAAGGTATATCAAAGAGACCTATGAAATCTGCTACGCAACAGAACAAATACTCATCACTTTCCCTCTCTATTAAGCCAACTAAATAATTTTATCGGGGCTGCGGCAACTCATTTACCTTGTCCAAAATTAATATTTGATGTCAACGCTAAGAGGATTAGAGCGCAATACTGTTTCTTTAAAATAAAATATGAAAACCGACAGTTTCGTAACTTAAGTTTATTTTAATTATGAGAGAAAGCAATTTTATAATTTAAAAATTATTATGTAAAAGTAATAGGAAAATGAATCTAGCCTTCTGTTATTTTCTATTTTGATTTTTTTTTGATAATTATGCTTTTCTTATCCAAATAAACTACGGTTCACGACTTGGCTTATAAGTTGATATATATCATTTAAGACAGTCATATACTTAAAAAGTTGAGAGGCCTACTTATAAAGGTGGGCTCCAACATCTTTAGGGCATGCTCTAAAATATAAAGATTTGTCTAATATGATAACATATTATAATTTTATGTTTTTACTTATGTTATCATTCTGTACATTATTGTAGGTATTCACCCAACACTTTAAAAACAATACCGAAAATGTCTCTATATACGTGTAAATACATTTATTTTCAAGGTTGTTTCTTTAGGCCCTCTTTACAATGGATATAATTCAACTCTTAAGTTATTTACTATTTCCTTCAAGTAAAAAAAACAATAAGACATGAAGTAATTTCTAGGAAAAAAAAAAACTTTAGCAACTTTGTGACTTCGCAATACAAATACTCTAGCTATTATTTCCGTATCAAATTTTTTTTTAATACATTTAGTGAAGTTTAAGCAGAAATTTTTTTTTTTTCCACTTCATATAATTTTTTATTCAGGAAGGATCATCTTGAGAATTTACACTCATCTTAACGACTAATACAACAAAGTAAAAGTTAATATCATCACAATTTGGTGAAGATTTAATCGCCGTTAATAGCTTCATAACCTGAGGTCAACTGAATATACATTTTCTAGTTTTCCTTTAATTTTTTAATATATAAATAACATATACCCAAGATGTATATGCATTTTGGTAATCAAGAGGATAAAGAGGTCAGGAAAAGATAATTAAATTTCCTTAAGTTTTTATACAATTTATTAAAGGTTGGGCCATGTTACAGCGACCAGATGTATTCATCGTTATTACTTTTCTGCCACGAAAAAAGTTGTATATAGCTTTCTCTTTATAATTAATTTTTTTTAAAAAAAATTTATTATTTAAAGTACTTCCAGGCCTACAGCTTCCATAGTTTTCTAGGTTAATCTTGAAAGCTTTCTGCTATAAATAATCGATCCAAATCCTAGAGAATTTCATGCACTAGCTATTATTTTTCTTAAAAATTAAAAAAAAAAGATCTTCTGGTAAATTTATGGCTTTGAAAAGGCCGAAAATGTTTTTAATTTGGCGAATTCTTGTTTCCCAGTCCTTGTAAGGTTACATTTCTGTGATCTTTTTAAGCTCAGCAAAGTTTCGGCAAGCATCGATATAATCGTTGCCTTTTAAAGTAGTTCCAATGGTTGTACATCTAAGGTAAATCTTGGGATTAAGTTAGCCAAGAAGCTAAATTAAGAATTTCAGTTGACCTTTTCTCTCTATTCAACAAGCTAACACCCGTACGTACAAGGTATTTATAATGCAATCTTTTTAAAAATGCAATGAAAAGTTTAAAATAATTTTTAACAAGATTATAAAGGCCAATTAACTCAAACGTAGGGACTTCAAAGGAATGTATGCCGGAAGTTAAAATGCAAATACATGCATAAAGTATCCGGACTTACTTGTCCGAAACAAAGATTTCTCGTGTGTAATGCAAAGCAACTTAACAATTAATATTAGTTCTACCTAGGCTTTTTTCGCTCTTTAGTTAAGAGGCGCTATGTTATATACGAAAGGACTAAAGCTGAAGGGCAAATTAGAAATAACAAAACAAAAGAGACCGTATAACTGCATTTAATCTAAAACTTTAAGGCTCCTCAAATAAGCTAAAGTACATTAAAGAATAGGGTATGTCCGAATTAAAGTTCCTCTTTAGTAAAATTTTGTAATTTAGAGTAATTTATAATTAAATTTAAGATATTGCGAATTTCTTTGTTGCCAATGTCGTACCAGGTCGTTAGGACATCACACCTTAGTGGTTGATTTCTTGTTTCTTTTAGGTAGGCATCACTTTTTAAATTGGTGGATATCTGATAAAGGTAGTGAGCAAAATTTTCGTTTTTTCTTATTAAAGAATTAATAGACTACAACTTTTATACGCACATTATTTCTAGTTCACTGTCAGGATTTTTTAATATAGTATTTTAAGAAAGAGATAATAAAGAAGTAGAGTACAAGCTAGTTTAAATGCCGAAACCTTTAGAGGGTAAGGGTAAAGCTATTAGAGTAGAAAAGAATTTACCAGCAATGTTTTCTATTAGTTTAGAGAAGCAACTTGTAATTTTGAAGTCTTGGGTAGTTAACGGTTCAAGTATAGTTACTTGGACTAGATTTTTCAAGTTAAAGTTTTATATCACTATGAAAAAATGTTAGGAACTTTTAAAATTTGTTTGCCCCTTAGTAAGTTTATTAATTAAATTAACCTTTTTATCAATTTTTTTCGTTCCGCATAATGTATAATTTCTTTTACAATTATAAATAATAATTAGTATCTCGTAAGTAGTTAATTTAAATAGTCAACAATTATTTTTAATTGGATTTCATTTATTATATAAGTTCCTTCAATTTACAAATTATATTACTTTGTTTAAATTTATTTGACTATCAGTAATAAAAGCTTTTTTTTGTTAATATAAAGCCTTACTAAAATAAATATTTTCTACTAACTTTGTAATTCCTAATTACTTCTAAACAACTAAATAATAAAATAATCACTTTATAGATCAAAACCCCTTACGTTTTAGCGCTGTAGATCGGAACCTATAACATTTACTATTAGCTACAATATGGACCAATTAAATTATAAACTGGAGATCAAAATCGAACAAAATACAAGTCGAACAAACACAAGCAGACAGCGAGCGAGTCACTTTTTTATTTATAAGACTGGCTTACTACATCGCGGTCTTTTTCAGCTAATTAATTACGCTCTCGGTTAAGACCTTACCGCTACTTTGTATCTTACTAAAAATCTTTCCGTTAGTATTTGGTTCCACGTGATATGTAAACCTATACATTTGTGATATGATATTATTTCAACTTTTATTAAAAAAAAAAGAAAAGTTAATTCTAACAAGGCATGCGACAGCCTTCTCTGTAGAAGTATATTTTTATGTTACTACATTTCTAGTTTTTAGTTAATTTCTTTATGAAATTGTCTGCTAAGTAAACAGGTACTAAACGCGTGATTTTACTAGAAAACGGTTTTCTTACACCCTTAACATGGAGTTTATAATGGACTTAGGTGCCGAGTGGTCTTTATTTTTTGAATATATTTTTTTTCCGCTGTAATATTTCATTATGCAATTTATAAACAATTATTCAAATTTTAAGTACTATAAAAATAATCTTTTTAACCTTTTATAAGTTCTCGATGAAATAAGAAATTACATACATAAGAAATTAACCAAATTATTACGACGGCACATTTATTTTTTAAATAAATATATATATACTGCATACTCTTCAGATAGCAAATTAACTTTTATTGTGAGAGGTCCTCTCACTTCTTTGTTGTTTGTTCGTTGTTTCAAAAAAAAAAATTGCTAAAATTAAATTTAGCAATAAATTTTAATCTTTTGTTGCTTTTAAGTAAGAGCCAGCTACTTAGAGGTCAGTTAAAACCTACAATAACTCTAATGATAAGTCGAGGTATAACAGCAAATTTTTTAATAATTCTGAGCGATGTACAAATGTACTACCTCTATTGGTACGCTAAATACAAGCGGTCAGAACATTTGCCTATCATAAGCTTAGATTATATTTAGGTGAATTTATATAGACTGAAAATTCTGATAAGCGAGCTACCATTCCTTTATCAACTCTTATGAGGGCGAGTTTATTTAAAAAATGTTAAAGGCGTAATAGAGAATAGTGTCGGTGAAATCTAACTAGTGAGGAACCATCACACTATTATTTTCTGTTAAATTTAACTATACCCATCTAATTTATTTTAAAGGAATCTAAATACACACGAAGTACAGCCTAATAAAACTTGCTCACTACTACTTATTTTTCCTCCCTTTTACCCTCGTGATTTTTTTTTGGGTGCACTAATTTTTTGACATGTATATTTTTAACATGTACCCTCATCATTTTAAAAAATAGGCCCAACCCCCTCCAAACCTTTGTAAGTTAAGTAATATTACTTTAAAAAATTGTGAATATGCAACCCAGCCAAAAAATAAATATTCTTCCCAGCTTCTCATGTATGGAAGGCCCGGAAGAACTTTTTACTATGTTAAATAATAATTTAACTATAACTTTTAAAAAAATGGTAAACAAAAGAGTAATAACTAATAAATAATTACTAGTGGTAGTAAATCAATATCTATAATCAATAGTAATAGTTAAATAACCATAGAGTAAATTACAGATATTATAAAATATTTTTAACTACTGTAGAAATGATGGAGTTTTACTAATAATCTTTTAAATTTTATCTACAAAGCCAGTGAAAGTACACTCTCTACAAAATTTTATAATCAATGCTCAAAGGAACTTCATAATATCGGCATAAGTTACTCATGGCACTTACAGGCATCTCTGCAAGGCCAATTTATTAGCAACGACTGTAGTATGCCAGTGGGATAAACTTTCTTACTAAATTATGTGATAGGATTATAACTTTGTGATAGTAGTACTTTTACCCTTTAGATATAGCTCTAAACATAGAACTTTATCCAACTCGAACTTGCCGTGGCTCAATGTATATATTTAAAAATGCGCTTATTAGCTAAGTGTGAAATTGTTTTTTGCTTGAGCAGTATACGTGCCTTTTTTGGATGTGGCTCTGTGCTCCTCGGCCTTTTAATTAAGATTTACACTATATATTATATCTGTTTACATAGTATTATATAATAATATTAACTTTAACTACTTACCTTTATGATGCATATATTAACGACTTCTGTATAAACTCTGCTGCTATGAGCCCCACTCTGCAGGCTACTAATTAGCAAATATTATGAATTAATAACCAGGATTAACGAGCTAAGAAAAAGCTAGAGGCCTTGAGAACGAAAATAGCTCACTTTGAGAATAGAAGTTGCGACAGTAATTTTTAAAAGATGTGTGGAAACTTTGGAATTACCCACTTACACCCTTCCTGAAGTTACTGAAAACCACTTAGGATAAAAATAAGCCTAAAAGGTGAAAGGAACTTTTTGATAAAATAGCTAATTATGATAATGTATATTTGGCCTTACAAATTCTAGATCAAGCAAATGTTTTCGGAGTGATACTTTATGATAGCGAGACTTTAAAGATTACAAAAGACGAGTCCAACCACGGTGAATAGATAATATTAATAATGATAGTAGTAGTAGCTTTAATCTTATTACTAATAGTTCCCATAATAGCGTCATTAATAATATAACTGTTAGCAACAACAGTAATAGTAAAATAATATATAAAGTAGTAAAAATAGAAATATTAATAGTAGAAATAATAGCAATGAGTATAATCACAATAAATATAATACTAGCTCTAATGAGGGTAACGACAACTTGAAAGGTATTAAAGACTCAGGGAAGTCTCTTTCAAGAACTACAAACTTAACTTATCAACAAATAGAAGACAAGTCACTAAATTTGATGCCTGTGGAATTAAAAGTGAACTCGACATTTCCATCCTCGAGGGGGGCCTGCGCACACAAAGCACCACATGACTCCGACCGGCTCGGATGCAAACGGTGGACGCTGTTAATAGTTAAAGGAAGCGTACGTTACCAATAGTGCTGGTGCACATACCCAGAACCGAAAGACAAAAGCTATTAAAACTGAAAACTATTTTTCATCATTAAATTAAAGTAAAGAACTTCGAAAAAGCAATCGCAATGGCCAGTACCATCGTTGCCAGATGCTTGGTCCCGCTGCAAGCTTTTACGCTGCGGTACCTCGGTGTGGGTCATTTGACCGCGGAGTGTCACCCAAAACATGGTACTCGTCTGCTAGATGTGCGAATTACGGCGAGGTTCGCGCCGCCAACTTCTCGAAACTGCAAAGGTTACCCGCAGAGGCCTTTATCAGTCGACCAGTACGCGACCACGACATCCGATTCCACTCCGAATTCTACCATCACCCCAACTGTGCCCTGTGCTTTCCACCAGAGAGCGAGACCGCACCAAGCACCCCCTGCAAAAGATTTAACATTGATAATGCAGACTTAGCTACTCAAACAGATAGTACAGCAACAGCAACCGACTTTATGACAACTTTTAACTATTATGACGATAAATTTCTCGACCCTGCCCAAGACTGCGAAAAGCTTATAATTTGTTTGCAATAGCTTTATAATTTTAAACTCTTAATGACATACGATCACTTTTTTGGAACGCAGAGAGCACCAAGAAGAAAAAATGCAAGGTGAAAGAATAGATGTCTGTGCCGTCTGCGAGATATAGCTCTCCCCAAATGTACCATCTAATATTTGAAACTTTGCGACGAAATCCCCAGGCTCGGTCGTGCGCCAGTGGGGAGGAGTAGCTATCCTGATCAAACGAAATATCTAACAAAATTAAATAGCATTGCCAGCTCTGCAGGTAATCGAGGTAGTTGGAATTACTCTCAACCTGGCTAGAGAGGGACCCATGACTGGATTGCAATCTGTCAACCACTCAGCCAACCATTTATGTTGTTCGATATTGACGCTCCTTTAGTGACTCCCCAACCCTTCTAGCCGGTGATCTTCACTGTAAACATTCTGCGTGGAACAGCTGGATTGCATCGGAACGGCTACATCCTTGAGGCTTAAGCTGAGAAATGCGGTTGAGAGGTTCTAGGGCGAGGAAGACGGCCACAATGGACGTGCCGGATCTAGCCGTGTTATAAATGTATACCTTCCAAAGGTTATTGAGGCACTGAATGAATTTTCGTCGGTGTTTGGACCTTAATTATAGTTTAGAGAAAATAAAAGTTTATGTTGTAAATCATAAACTACCAGATGGCTTCTATATGATACTTAGAGAAGAAGATCTGAGTTAGCTACGAGTAACAGGTAACTCGAAAAAGCTCGAGAAGAAACTTGTAGATTTTTCAGATAACGAGAAGGAAGAGTATATGTAAATACCCTTATATTTGACCGAATAGAAAAAGAACCGAAAATCTAGGAAAAAAACGAGGTGGAAACGGCATTAAAGAATTCATCAGATATATAGAGAAAAATTTTACGTTTGATTTGTAATAAGGTAACGAAATCTATGGTTCGAAGTTTGGTACCAAGAATCTATAGACTACGATGAGAACAACATAAAAAAGTACCATGAACTTAAACCCATAGAAGTTACTCTTGTATGGCGCAAGTGTAATACAAAAGATAGATTCAAGAGAAAAGCCTTCATTAAAGAATGCGAACAGCTTCTTATAGTAAGTCTACCTGAACCTTCCTTATAATATGATTAGAAACATTGCTTGGCTGTGGTGGTAAAACCTGAATTAAAGACGGCAACTAAGAGAAAGATTGAGAAGGGGCCCGAAAAGTTCATATGGTTGAGTGAAGCTTAACAAAACTTAATAAGCATTGCAACGTAAAAAGGTATGGTGTTTTCAAAGAAAGATTTATAAACTTTAAGGCGAGAAGGTATAAAATTTTTACTACTCTTGACTTTGCAAAGGGATTTATCAACGAGAATTTCACAAAACTTCTCGAAAATACTTCGCTGTTAACTTGCCAAATGGAAGGAGGTTCCAATAGACTGTAATACCATGCTATTACGTAGATGCACTTTTTAAATACCAAAAGGGTATGGACGAAGTGATTTCTGGAATAGGGAAACTTTTGTGTTTGCAAACGATTGTCTAACCAGCAGTAGAGATGAAGAGGGTCACTATAAAGATTTGTTAGCTTTAGTAGAAAGATGAGGTATATGGTCCAATTTTTTGAGTAGAAAATGTAACTTTGTCAAAAGTAATGTAAGGTGGTTTGCCAAGAAACTACGCATACGTTTGAGAAAAGAAAAAGATAAAAAAAAAAGAAAACAAAGAAGAATTAACAAGTTTCTTACAATCTTTGAACTACTGGAGAGCCTGCTTTCCCATTGAATTGATTATAATTGAGCCTTTAAGTAGTATGTCAAAAAACGGTAAATAGTTTGAGTGAGGGAACAGGAGGTTATCTTAAGCAAGATTTTTTCCAGCTTGTAAAGGGGAATTTATGAGTGGAGTTTGTACTTACTACTTGCCCCTTCATATTACAACTCGTGCAAGCGAAGTTGAAGAAGAGAGTTGCTCTGGCATATTATGTCGCATTTGTGAGCGCAAAACTTAAAGAAGCCCAAAAACGATATAGCATAGATAGAGAAGCTTTGGCTGTTTTCTGGTCAGAAACTATTTACAAAGGTCCCTTAGGATTATATAAAAACGAGTCTGATAGTGAAATTGTTAGGGGAGAGGACGTGTAACAATTAAAATGGGAGTTAAGATACATACCTAGTAGTGATACTGTAATTTAATACTTCAAGTCAGCTTTATAAAGATCGATTTTATGAAAATTCTACATACAATAACTGGCCTTATCGACAGAGTGGCGCAAGAAAGCGTTGTATGTATAAAATATAAAAATAGGTACAAACCCAGAGGAAAGTTAAACCTTAGAAAACTCCCCGGGACACCGTTGGACAATTTGCGGTAGATGTTATAATGCCCAAAACAAAGGATGGGTAAGAAACCGTACTTTAGTTATAAATCGTTACTCAAAGTACTTTTAGGCCTAGGCTTTTAAAAAGGATAAATACTGAGATGGTGAAAACGGAAAAGAATTTCTTGAGGAAGAAACCGTCATATTATAGTAAATGGTCTAAGGAGTGACCTTCACGAGCAAGATTTCAACAAAATTCTTGGAGAAATGTAATACCTGTGTATTATTATAACCACCAACCACCACTAAGCGAACGGAATGGCGCTAAAAACCATTCAGAATTTAGTAAAGGGTTAATTAAAGGAGCCTATATAGAAAGGATTCAAAATGGACTGAGTTGTTAGAGGATTATATCTACTTCTTAATAAATGTTTTGGGGGTGAGAGCCCCTTAAATAATGTTCGGAGGGCCTAGGTCAGCTGTAAGAACCTGATGAAAATAGACTCGATATGTAAAACGGAGTTAGACGGCTCCACTATAAACGATTTGAAAATAGTAGGGATAAATCCTGAAATTACTACCTCAGAAAGTATTATAAGGGTTAAACAGCAACAGTTAAAGAAAAAATAAAGTCTTCTTATAACAGAAAGACGAATGTTGAGAAGGGACAACGTGTATATAACTACAAATAAATGTCTAAAATCAAATACTGAAGATTGGGATGGCCCGAGCACACTTTAGGTGTCAGGGAATAGCAAGTATGTAGTAAGCTAGGAGGGTGAAGACTGTAAATATAACTTGTAACTCCATACAGCTTTAACCCTATTGATCAAAGCAATTGATATTTTTACTCTATGACCTTTGCAGCCCTAGGCTGGGGTCTTCAAAATCTAACAATGATAAAAAAGCAATGCAAAAACCGAGCTAGTTGGCTTTATTAATAATAATGTACAGATATATATAATATAAATACGATAATGTTCGAGAACAATCTTGGGTCTTTTTTTTTAACCTGGCTGGATCTTAAGTTATGTTGCCTCAAACAATAAAATGACTTGACAAAACTTTTGAGGAAGCTTGTGTTCCCAACGTACTCCAGTAATGGTCTATTCTGTGTGCTGCATAGCGGGTCATTTCAACAAGGACGAAGTGTATCATGAAAACTAATTTCATAAATGTCAAACCCTTGGCAGGGTAGGAAACAAAGTATTTGTTCCCAACTTTTTAAATCGGGACAATTATCTTTAAAAGAAAGAAGAGCTATTAATTACATTCAGGAAGAGAAAGAGACGCGACTGGCCCGCAGGAGTAGCCGTATGAGTCTATTAGTTTAGCAAGCCCGTGGTTATAAACAGAGATAGCACACCTCGTAGGATAATAACATTTTTTGCCTTTGGTTTCCTACGCGGAACGTGTTGTAGTGTAAAGGGACAACCTAATTACTAAATATTTATACATTTATTCTACCTTGGGTAAATATATAGTTATTATAAATGTTATTTATGGTATTAATTGGTTTGTATTAATAGTTTATAAACTAAAAAAAATGCGTGTACTATTACGTTAAAAAGGCAGAGCGTGAAGGCCTTTTGAAAATCGTGGAAGACTTGAAGCAGCGGGAAGATAATAAGTTTAGATTCCTGTCACTAAAACTTTGGAATATTTAGTAGTGATTAAGTATTGACTCTGCCCCAAAAAATACCTTATTGTAAGAAAAGCTGAATACGGTTTTTTCAGCTTTTACTGAATCTGAGTAGTGGGAAAACCAAACTGTGTTTCGATGACAATTAGAACCCAAAAAAAAAAGAGGGCGGTAACAGGGTAAAAGAGCCTGGCACAACTTCTAGCCCAGGCAATAAACGTCTTAAAAATTAACATTATTATAGTACGAACAAAGTTATCTTTCATAAAAAATTTACTTTGAAGACTCTTTATTTAAAATTATATAAATTAAAAGTTCAAAAAAGTTTGCGTACTCTGTCACTATACCACCCTTAAAGAAAGCTATGACAAAAAATTTACTAAAAGTTATCCGCAACCTTCGTACTACTCTAAAGCCCTACTTCAAAGTAATACCTGTGAACTCTTGAGAAAGGTGTATAGAAAAGAATACAAAAAAATTATTTAGGTAAGCCGTAAAATTATATTAAGGGAGAAGCCAGAAATATAGCACATAGAATTATTAGATGAAAGTATTTATAAAAGTAGGGCTAAACTCAGCACTTTAGCTGAGCGGGCCCCTTTAAAGTTGATTACTAACTTATTATTTTAAGAATTTAATAAGAAATCATTTAGAAGTGAAAAATTAATAAAATAGTATAGTATAAATAAGTAAATATCTAATAAAAATATAGTAAAAACTAGTTTTTGTACTAAAAGGTTTAAAAAAAATAATATTTATTAAGTGTTAATCTCTCTGATTTAGTAATAAATTCCTTGAAATTTCGGAAGTTTTAATAAATTTTTTAACGCAACGCTCCAAACATTTCGATTCACCTAGACATATAACTTATTACCCAAATAAAGGTATAATATGTTTAAAAAACCTTTAGATAATTCTTCTTCTCTATATGATAATTGTTTTAGGCAATGACTCAAACAATTTTTTTGCATACTAAAATAAGTAGCTATAAGTACTTCGCATGCATAAAATAATAATAATAAATTTAAGAAAAACTGATGTTCATACCTAGAGGCAAGCGAGCTAAAGTGGGCACATCCCCGTAGAAATTTATGAAAGCCTGGAGGCTCCGCACTAGCTACGCCCATCCACAGCACTCACTGCGCTAGTAGTTGTCCATCATTTATTTGACCACCGCGTAAATAGTCGAGCCTCTCTTCTTACTACAAACGAGCTTCAAGTTTTCCTGCTTTTTTTTTTTAAGTTTTTTAAAGCCACCTATTTATAAGTTTTGTGGATTAAATATAACTCACCTAACATTAGAACATATGCCCTGTATTTTTACCGCCCCGTTCTCCGCTTGGTTTTTCGCCTGCTTAACACAATTATTTTTTTAAAACCGAAGACGATACTGACTACACTGATTGGTGTTTATTGGCGTTATGTTTATGAATCGAGGAAATACATGTAAAACTAGACCTGCAAAATTTTTGCCACCACTGATTTTGAAAAAGCTTGCTCTCGGGCAGTAATATGCTAAACTTATTTGGTCCAAACGTGTTTTCTTATCTTCCAAATGCTCTTATTATCGTAATAAATCGAGTTCATCTTAAAGGGGTCGGAATTAAAATTTCCTTCTTGTGTGTGTGGAGCTCCGTTCATAGCGGCCACTACTCCCCTTAACTATATTTTTCCTTTTATTCTAAAAACAAGTCTTTCATAATCCTTTTCATGCTAGCAATTATATCAACCTCGTTAATGAATAACTTAACCGACGCAACTTTAAAAATATCAAATTCCGTAACTACGAACTGCTATACTTGTTATATTGTCATTTCGGTTTCTTTCCTGCGAATTCCACACGGGGAATCTGAAATTTGTTCAGCTCTTAGAAAGCTGTATACGTAATTTATCGCCCGAAAATGTGAGTTGTCACCGAAGCTCAGTAATGAGAGCATTGTCAATCGATAAATTACGTATACAGCTTTGCTATACCCTTATCTTCTTAAGGTCTTCCCGTCTTTGACTCTAGGCGAGTGTGTTTTTAACTGTAAAAATTTTGTTTATAGAAAAGTTGTACACGTAACCACCAAACCAGAAAAATACCAGTCGACACCGACGGTATCGGGCCCACGACTTGATATGGCGCGACAATGCTCCAACCTCTGAGCTACGGGGGCAACTCACATTTTACTTTTTGATCGATAAATTATGTATACAGCTTTGTTAAGCTTTATTATTTTAGCAGACCTTCTCCAATTCTCGCCTTATCGCTTACTTTTCGAAACATCGATGTAAACGTAGTCGCCAACTCTAAATATCTTTTATCCCATTGCCTTCTCATGACCACTTTAGTTTGTTTATGTTTTCATCCCTCTAAGTGTGCTATATGCATTAAAGATTGACAGGTATCACGGCTATCTAACACTTTATCTACGCATTTCTCTATCTTATAAACTTTTAACAGCTGTTTTAGCTTCATTTTTCTATTTGAATAAATTTCCGTTAAGTATTAGCAGCTGCTATAATTTATATCATTAACTGCCAACCATGTTATCAGCTTGTTTGCTTTCTCCCGAGAAAAATCGTGAAACTAACTCTTCAATTATATTACTTTTTTTTAAAATATACTTTAGAACCTTATATTGCTCATTACTTATATTATTCGATGTAAGCTGTTGCTTTTAACAGCTACAGCGTTATGTTCACTAAGAAAATAGCAGTAGATTGTTAAGAAGTGTTTCTTAGTTATTGACTTGCTTGTCTGTGCCCGTAATCTATCAGTTTGTTAGTACAGCAAGACGCTTCTAGAGTTTCCCTTGTCAGTAAACGCCATCTTTTTTTTGTGCTAAATTAAATTTGAAGCTTGAGAAGGCTATAAATGCATACGGCCATCGCATCTCTCTGAGTCTTTGCATTCTTCTCTCATCTTTTGTGTAAAAAATTTTTTTTTTGTAGTTTTCCGCAATTTTTTTAACTAATTCCACTGTTCTTCACTGTTGGGATTCTTCATTATACGGTCGGCTTACTTTCGAGTCAATTAAATTACAGTTACAATTACCTTTCTAAAACTTTGTAGATTCTTTGTGCCGTTATATTAAAAGCGAAATGCTCTTCTAACTTAATGTAATGATTTTCTGTTGTGGTCGGTTTCTATAATAATTTGGACTATGTTTTATTGAATCAGGTTGTGTATTATTTATTGTATTGTCTCTTGGTGTTCCTCAGCTTTGTAAAGGTATTATATCGATATTATAATGTTAACAGTTTTTCTTTTCCTCTTTATGTAGAGTTGAGGGGACGTGACCAAGTAAGTGTTGGTTTGCATGTTTCCTTGAATAGTCTATTTTTGTAAGTTTTAATATTGTGCTCGTTCGGGTATATAAATATTGGGTAGTAATCTTATTTAAAACTTCAAGTGTGTTCGGATGGTAGAGAAAGATAAGAGTAGGCTAAGCCCCTTAATTTATTATCTGTTTTGTATGACTGTTTAGTACTATGTAATCGTCGTCGTCGGAGAGTTCAGATTTATAAAGTAATATACCTTCAAGTATTTTTTTTCCTCCGATTTTCCTTTGTAATTTTTAATGTGTACATTGACTTTGCAACCTAGTGATTGGTATGACAATTTTTATATTTAATCCATATAACTTATTTTGGAAGATTTTTTATTATAACCACGGCGTCACGCATAAAGTTCACGCCAAAGTTTAGGTGGTAGTTAATAATGTTTTAGTACGCTACGAATTTAGGTTGCTAAAAGTTCAAGTGCTTCTTTCTTCAGCGCGTATTGTGGTATAGCTTTGGGAACTACGCTAAGTAATAGGTCTTTCGTTAAAAAACTCACATACTTATTCCATATTTTAAAAATTAATTGCGGTTTGCGTAAATTTTTATTTAGGTATTATTGTTCTTTAACCTCTTATTTAAGTTCTCTTATAATATAGTTATTTTTGTTAAATTTTATAAAAAAATTTTAGATAAAGGATCTGTGCCGAGGATAGTGTAATTGTAACCTTCGTCCAAGTTTGTGGTTGTAGACCAACTGTCTCAGTTTTCTGTTTAGGCGCACATAACTTAAGTCCTTGTTATTCTTTATTATTTTACTATTTATTAACATTTTGTACTCTTCGCGGATTAGTTTTAGTTTAAAACAGTTTATATGTACGTACACTTATAGCTAGACTGGTAGTTGGTAGTATTTTATATATGAGCTTTTGAATTTTGAAGTTATAAGAGGAAAAACAAATTTTTGGTATTGGTACCTTTTTTCGTGTTCTATATAAGTAGACTTTCGTCATAAAAATAGAGCGCGTAGATCCCGAGTATTAGCAGTAGTTTGATCGATTACTGACTTTTTTCTTCAATTAGCAGATTTTACATATGGTAATTGAATGTTCATAATTTTTTTTCGACTGCTCGCGCTCATTATGTTCTTTTGTGTAACAACAGGCATATATAATTAAAGATGGACCATTAGCAGTAAGCTTTGGCCCTGAACATCTAATAGAAAAGAGTTTTTTGTTTGACTCTATGGATGTGCTTTATTTTTGTTGTAAAATGAAGTTAAAGCTAGAGATAAAGTATTTACATTATAAATGTGTTTTCTGTTATATGCTTCTAACACAACGTTTCCCGTTATTTTGCAAATAAATCCCATTTTTAATGAATTTCTGATCGACTTTACAAACTTTTCGGCCTTTGTTATTTCTTCATAATCTAGTAATTTCGTTAAAAAAAACTTCTTCATTTCAACTTCGATGAATGCTTCGTCGCCGATTCACCCGAGGAAGAATCCTTCTTTTCGCTTTCAGCCCCAGTTACAATAACTTCTTCCACTTTATCGTTTCCTATTTTTTTTGGAAAGAACTTTGAAGACCGCTAACTGAAGGTCATCAAGGTAACACAGCTGCTGTTCTACAGAAAGAGACAAAATCATTTATTAAAGCAAAGTAAATTTTTAAACGACTGTTAAATTTTTAACTCAACAACACCTAGCTCTGCATTGCGCAGTTTCCCCTTTCTTAGCATTACACTAGCAACCATCATTACAAACGACTACTATATCTTTTTCGAATAATAAATTGAATTTCAATGATATTCTCGGCAGGCATTTTTCCTTTAACACGAGCAGCCCTAAGTTGTAAATATAACCTGAATTTTTTAAAGAGCACAGAACATTTAAGTAGCGTCAATTTCTTTTTGTCCAAAGTTAGTGAAAATCTACGATAAAAAAGATGTTATAAATACAATTTAAATAAAAAACAAAGAAAAAACTACTTATGATTCTGGTGATGCAAGAATTCCTCATACATTGCATTTTGAACGGAATTTCCCTATTTCATTACTATAGTTCTAAAAGTATGGTATGAACCCAGTAAACTCCGCCCCGATTTAACGGATAACTTATTCTTAAATCCGCCGAAGCAATATAAGATTTAATTGGAAACCCATCTAATGCCGCCATTCGCGGTATCATTATCTCAGTTCTTTCGTTTTTATACGATGGAAAACAATCCTCCAATTCTTTTTTTTTGGTTGAACGAATCATGTCGACTCATAAAAATCTGCATCCGGATTTATTTCCAGATTAGACCCCTTTTTAATACTACTGGAAAATGCTAATTCCTTTGTAAATTTTAAATCGATCTTATGAACGGTTTTCAAAGTGAGCATGTAATCCTTTTGTCGATCTAGCACTCAAGTTTATAACTCCTAAATATCCTTTGCACTATGCTGATTTTTTATCCCTACTTATGGAAAAAAATTCCAGGGGAACACCAAACCCGAAACCCCTTAATTCGAGGTATCTACCTTCTTTTTTTTCACTCATAATAAAAAAAAAAAAAAAAAAAGAAACAAAGTATACGAATATGGGCTACAAGCTTAATTTTAAGTCGAAAATTAAAAGGGGTGCGAGTTCATTTCGCATGGTAGGCTATTACTAAAAAACACGTGACCGATGATACTGAACAGAACATCTTGGAGTCATGAGGCATAAGCACGTGATAAGGGGAAAAATCATTTGAAACACAAATGAAGGGGCTTAAATTGTTTTGGATTTCTGCAAAAATTGATTAATAAAATAATTTTACAACTTTATTTTCAATCCCGCAAAGCGGGGATACCATTTTGCATTCCCGAGATACATTTGGATTAATAGATTTACTTCCTTTTTAAATTTTCATTTTATGCATATATCACAAATATTAGTAGTAAAAGGTTTTACGTTACGTATCGTTATTTTCAAATACTTATAACTTATGCGCTCATATTTGAAGTGTTCTTCAGGAGTTTAGCTACCCACTTTAGATTGCAAAGTATTTTATAGCAATGTATTAAATTTGTGAATCATGTTTAGTTTATAGATATTAGAATTTATGAGGGTAAGGTTATATAAGCGACCATCACAGACCGAAAAAGAGCGTCGCGTCGGTAGGAATCGCGCCCACGTCTTTGAGTACGCGCGTCAATGCTCATAACTTCTGAGTTAGGACGACAACCCTCGATCCCGGTATGGTTGCTTTATGTATTTACCCTGTTAATATATTCCCTTTTTTTATAAGCCATGGGCAACAGGGGTTTTATTCCCTTTAAAAATTACTTTTCTATCTCCAAATTTGGTGGTATACCCATATACATCTAATTTTTTACTTATATTAAGTTATATCTGAAAATGGGATTGTAAATTGCCTTTTTTTTAAGTTTAATGTATCATTAAATAATTTAAAATATCTAGTTCATATATCATTGTTAATTTGGGAATTGAATAAGTGTTAATGATAAATGTATTGAGTTTTCATTTATTTTAACTCTTGTTACTCATGGCCTGCTTACAAAGTTTCTCGAGGTTTATAATATTGTTGCCGACTTACATAAGCTAACACTACTGCGAAATAAACAGCAGATAAAACATTTGAGTTACTTTTCTCGGTGCTAGACCCTTCGAATTCTAATCCCTTTAACCCAATAATACAGTATACACAACACCTAAGACAATTTGATACTCGATACAAAAACACAATATACGGAAAACACAAAACACAAATAGAAAAACAAAATAAACATATTAAAAAAAAAATATTGTGTAATACATTAAGTATAAAGTACACGACCTTAAACATACGGAAAATTAAAAACACGAAACACTAACCTAAATTTCACAGGAAAAGCTCCGTGATTAAATGAATCAGAAACCTGAAAAGCAACCAATAAAAATGCAAACAGAAATTAAAAGTTCAACACAAAAAATTGAATACAAACTAAACAAAGTAAAATTTTATCTGATCCAATTAATTTTACTGTATACATTCGAAGCATAATTCGGCCTTTTGCAAAAGTATAAATACAGACAGAAACCGGCCAATAAACTAGTTTACTTTAACATACTTTTTTTATATATACCTTTTTTATATAAATTTTAACACCCTTCTTTATGATTAGTCGGTTTAATTATTTTTTACATTACTCACATGTATATATAAAATTGATCAGCAGGAAAACTTGAGTTTCGTTTACTCTTCCTCAGGCAGGTTGTCGTCCTTTGACTTTCATGCTCTTGTAGTTTTATCCTTATTCTTATATTTATCCTTGTTATTGTTCGTGTTCTTCCACTTTTGGTTCCATACCGGACCTAACCATATATCTAAATAAAAATAATTTTACTAATTATTTACACTTATATTTGGTTGCACAACGCCCTTCAATCTTCATTACAGTAACTTCCTTTAAGGTCATAACACACACTGCATTTAATGAAATAAAGAGCGCTTTACTCTTTATCTTGTTTCTTTTCGTTCCCTGATGTCCACACCAGTTACCGGTTGTTTAAAACTAACTTCGCGGATGTTTATTATTTTCGGACTTTTCGCCAACGTGTAGACTGCATTGTGTTGGCAGATTTCGAGGCGCGTTTGACTCCCAGCAAATGGTATTACCATGTTAAGCGAATTGTCATATAAAAAGATTGAATGTTGTCGACTTAACTCGGTCAGTTAATAATGTTTTTATGTCGTCATCATTACATAGCTGTGTGAACTGTTAGGAAGGGTCATTCAACGCTGTTCACGTACAAATATAGTTACATTGACCGTGTGGGCTTGCTCTTTGAAGTTACACGCTTTAGCCCTCTACCCCCAAAGTGTTTGCTATAAACAAAAGCATCGCTTTTTTTTTTAAAACCCTTAACCTTAATCTAACCATTCGTGAGGTTCTCTTCCCTCGTACACCCAAGTCTTCTCTAAATGCAGAGGATACACTAATGTACTCGTCGTTAATGCTACCCGCCCTTCTTCGCAAGCATTTGCAGTCTAGCTGGACGGATTTCTAAATTCTTGCCGCTGATGGAGGGTTTCTATCAATACAACGAACACTAAGATACTTTTATCAAGAAGCACTACAGCACTGAGAAGCGCTGTTCTTTGATGACACGATAAGATTACGGCTTCCATAGATCAACTGCTTCAGAGTTATCGTAAATATATTTTATTACGACGTGCATAATGGCAAAGTATGAAACGCCAACTCATGAACTCTACTTCCTTACAAACAGGAAACAAAAAAAAATTGATTATAAATTGAAGAAAAATTAATAATATTACAAAACTTTATAGTTACCAAAGAATAAAAAAAAATCAATATTAGAAATCAGTATTAGAAATTTCGTTTAATCATCCAGGACGAACCCTTATAATTTGGTAATAATAGTTTTCTGCCCTTTTAAAAAGCAACTTAAAAGGTTAAATACGTAAAATCATTAAACCGGGTAGGGAGTTGTCGTCGTAGCTCAGCGGTTAAGTGCATTGACCGCAAACTCAAGGTACGTGGGTCCGCTTTCCATCGACGTGACTCTCTTTTTCGGTCTTTGATGGTCGCGCACTGAACCTCGCCCTCATAAATTCTATTACAGTTCGCTTCCAATTTCTAGGGCACGTGCTCTTTCCTTCGTTTATAATTTTGTTGTTGATCCCCAGGGAGATAGTTTGAAGAACTAAAATAATATAGGTTTAAAAAAAAAGTATAATATAAGAAAGTCGATTGACTAAAAGAAGCTGTTAGTTTATTTTGACGAGATTAAATTCTCTTAAGTGCTTTGCCACTTCAAACCAAGGGCGAGTAAATACAATACCGAACAAAAAATTGTCAACTCGCTTATGTAATACGCCCTCGGGCGATTAAACCTAATGCTACATGATATGAAATAAAAAAACTATTTTTTATATTTACAAATTTCTATATCCGTTCGATGAGTTTTTCAGATTTTTCAGAAATATTTACCGAATACTGGCTTGATAACCCTATTAATATAGTAGACTACTTGTTTAGTTAAGTACATACAATTTTTTTATAGCTTGCTCAAAAACAAAATAAAAATTAGGTACTGGACAAGATGTTATCCGATCTACCCTTGATAGCTATGAAAGTTTACTTTCGGATATTAACATTCGCCTAAAAGTTTTTATTACTTTTATTAATAATTTTGTTCTATTTTAACTATTATTTTATTAACCTTGCACGGAGGTCCCTGTTCTAAACAGAATAACAAATTCTAAGCGAGAAAGATATATTGGTAAACTAGTGAAGTATACAGGAATGATTTATGATATGCGAGATCCTGATTACTATTTTCCCGAATTTGAGTATTCTTGCTCGCGCACTAATTTGCAAGTATATATATACCATTAATAGTTATAAGACATAATAAAATTTTATTGGATTTTATTATTACTTAGAAGAAGAATACTTTAATTTTTCGGGAGATCAAATCCTTGCAGGCTGAATATACTTTTTAAAAATTTTATTTTATTTATAAAATTTAGTTTTTTAATTTTTATTAATGATTGTTTTTAAGTTTACAATAAAAAAGTTGTAGAAAATATTTTTGATTCTATAAAGAAGTTAAATTTATGTTAACTAGAAGACCAATTTTTTTTATCTTTTTACTATAAACTATATTTTCAATTTTTTTTGCCTTTAATTTTTTTTAATAATTTTAAATTAGGACGTGAATCTTGAAACTATTAACTTTTCTCATCAACGATTAGCTTGTCGATCTGTTTACTTTTGTAAATTTGAAGATTCTATTTCCACTTGGGTTCGCGGGGTTAAGTTTTATAGATTTTTTTAACAGTTTCTTGTAAATAGTTTTTGGGGGTAATTAAAGAATATTATTTATAATTTTTTTTTACTTACAAATTATTATAATAACTTTTTTTTGGTTATTTTAAAATTATTATTTATACCTTTTATATGTATTAAGTTTATTTATATAACTTAAAAGTGTTTAAGTTATTTTTTTATTTTTTTATAATTAATTTTAAATAAAATTATTTTATATTAAATTTTTACAAAAATTTTAATATTTGTTAAGAATTTCGGCGGGATAATAGGTTATTAATACTTTTATTCGGAATTTTGAATTTTTTTTATTATGGAGGAGATTATTTTTGAATATTGATAATTTATTAACTATTTGCAGTCAAGTTAATTATTTTTTTAACGGAGATTTATAGAGTAATAGTAAAAGTTTTTTTTGTAACTTGTGCAGTTAGGGTGGGTTTTGGTTACGGGTTATAAACGGCAGGTACCAGGTAAAGGCACGTGTGTGTTCGAAATTAGATAATATTGTTTTGTAAATGTATATAAGCCTCTCTTAAGGGTAAGGAACAGCCTTTATAATTTGGTTCCCAGGGTGGGCGTGTGGGTCGCTGTTCCACCTTCAAAGGGGCATCTTGTTTTATCACCTTTATCGATCACGAGGGTCTAAGTAATACCACGTGTAAGGACAAACACAACAGTATAGTCTAATAAAATTTTTACTACTTTTAGGTTAATAGTTTCGAAGAGAAACAAGACTATTGCACAGGTTTTATATATTTTTAGAATTTTAATATAATAATATTCCTAAATTTTATGGAAATTTATATTTACTATACTTCTTTATATATTGTAAAACTTTTTATTATTATATATTTTAGTTCAGAAGAATTTTTTTTTTGTTTATATTATTTCTATTGTTACTATTATACTTTTTATATATTTAAAAAATTTTTATCCTTATATATTTTATTTGAGTTAATATTATTTTAAAAATAAATGTTATTATTTTATTTTTATTATATGAACCTTACATCTTTATTATATTTTCATGATATCTTTATATTTATATATATATTTATATTTATTATTGTTATTAGAAAATTATGAGTAACATAATATTCTGATTTATCATATTTATATATAATTTTTTGTATATTATAATATATTATTAATATTATTGTATACTTTTCATGTGTTTATATCTTTGTTACTATTTTCTTTACTCCGTTTTTTATTATGTATTATCATTTATTATAATTTATTTAATATTATTAATGTTATTATTATAGTATACAGTTATTTATTCCTTATTATTTCTCTATATTTCTATTGTATATATTTTTATATTATTATACTATAATTTTTTTAACTTATTATATTAATATTATAATCACTTTATATATATTTACTTTATTAATATAAAGAATTCTTTTACTTATAATTATTATTTTAATTTATTGATATTATATTTCCCTTATTACTTTATTTTTTATATTATTATATATTTTCATTTCCTTATAATTATTATTTGATTAAATATTTATTTATACTACTTTATTCCTTATTCGTATATATATTAAACTTACAATTATTGTTTTTTATATATTATTTTACTAAGTATTATATCATATTATAATCCCCTTTATATATTTACTTTGTTTATTTATACTACTATTTTAATATTTATAATATATTTTTTACTTATTATTATTTTAATATTCCTTGAATATTATATGATTATAATCACTCTTTATATATATTTTCCCTTCATATTTTATTATTATAATATATATATATTACTTGTATTATTTTAATTATTATTTTTTGTATATTATCAATTTTTTTTTATTCAAACTGATTAAAAAAAACATTTACTTGAACTATTTTATAAAATAAAGAATTTTAATCTAATTTTTTTATTATTATAACAAATATATAATTTTTTACTTATCATTATCTTATTATTACCTCTTTTATATTTACTTGCATTATTTATTTATCATATAATAAAAAGTTTATTTGTAGTTATCCCTTTTATTTGTTATTTTTTTATTCATAAATACTTTTTAATTATATGTTATTATGTTTCTGTAGGTAATATCTTTTTTTACTTATTATTATTATATTTATCATATTTAAACATAATTATTATATATATATACTTATGATTATTTTTATAATAGAATGTCTTATAAAAACATACAACGAAGTGTATAGCGACTTTTTTTTATGTGGAACTTTTGAGTTTTACGGAGTTTTATATGAAACGGACGACGCACGTGCGCTTCCGGTGCTTCATTGCATCGCTGCGTATCCGGCTGATTCCACTGCGCTTGTTTTGGCGGACTTATCGCAGCTTCAAAGAACTTTTAGTATTTAATAATATATTTTATTTCTATTGATAAATTTTATGTAATTTTACTTATTATATATACATTATTACTTATATTAAAATTTTTGTATACCTTCTCTACATATAATCTAAATTCGTATATTTAATTATAAGTAAAGTTATATTTATATATATATCTAACCTTTTTAATTCTTTAAATATTTATATTTCTCGATATTTAAAGTTATATCAATATACATATTAAACATATTTAAATTTTTTTATCTATTTATATATATAGGAAGTTATATTTTTAACTAATTTTTATATTTAATTATCACTTTATGTAAAGTGATATATATATTATATATACTTAAACTTTTTTATTTTATTTATATATTTTATATATAAATTTAACTTCTGTCTATATAAATATTTTTATTTTTAAATTTTTACATCTAAAGTTGTATATTTATTATATATATATTTATTTAAATATTCTTCTATAAATTTTTACTTTTTATATTTATATTTATTTAAAGTTACTTTTCTATATTCAAAGTTATATATATTATTTATGATTCCACGCTTATATATTATTATTATATACACATTTACTAAATATTCATTGTTTTTATGTTACTTTTATAGTTATAATTATTTATTTTTTTTTGTCTATAATAAAACTCTTCTATATTTATCTTTATATTTTATTTATTTTTTACAGACATAATATTTATATTTATATATTTTTAGACTTCTCTTATATTTTTTTGTTATTTTTTATATAATTTATTTATTTTTATAAAAAGGTTTAATAGCTTTTTTATACTTTTACTACTATTATTATTTATTCTCATATTTACTATAAAAATTTATACTTTTATATAATTGTGGTATTTATTTTTTTAACGTATTTATTATTTTATAGTTTTTATATACTTTATATTTATTTTTAAATAGTAGTTATCTATTTATTTAATGTATATTTTATTTTTTTTGCTATATTTATTAGTATATATTTTTTAAATATAAATATAAGTTTTCTAAACGTTTTTTTAATATTTTACACTTTTTATATAAATATTTATTAGAAAAATAGAATTTATAATTAAAAATTAGAAATAGCACTAAACAGTATTATAATTGAAAATAGTTATATTTATTTTCTATCCTTTTTCTATTGACTATTATTTTATATATAAATATTTTTTGTTTTAATATTTTTATAATGAAAGTTATATTTTCACTCATTTTCTTTCCTATTTTTTACGTTTTTCTATAGTTTTTGAGTTTTTATGATATTTTTATATAATAAATTTTATTATTTTTCATTAAAAACTGAATCTTTTATATTTTTGGAGTCGCATTTTGAAGATTCATAATTTTACTGAACCCTTAAAAGGAAATTCTTTGACAAATTCTGAACCATTATTTGTTATTATTTAACGCTCTTTCAATTTTTTTTTGGTCTCCGCATTTTTACATTTTATTTATTTATTATTTATAATGATCATATGTTTATTATTATTATTTGTTTACTTGATATTATTTAATTATTATTAATTATATATGTATTATATAATACTTATTATTACGATTATTTATAGACTTTTATTTTAATTATTAATAAATATAATATTTGATTTTATTATTATTTTATTAGTTATTATTTATTTTTTATAAATTTTTTTAAATTACGATTATAGGTACATTAATATTATTTTTTTTATTGTTTATTACTATTATTATTCATCATTCTCCAACTAATATTCCTATTACTTATTATTATATTTTTTATATCTTGATTCTTATTTAGTTATTTTCAGTACTTTTTATATTATTACGAACTTTTTTTATATACTTTTTTATTATTACATTATTTATTGACTGTTTATTATTTATTAGTTTTAAGTAAAGTGGAGGAAAACGTTACTCATTATAGGGATCTTTTATTAGAACACTTTTCGGAAGCTTTAGGAGGAGACAAAGAGGCTGCTACCTTTTTGTTACTAAATAATTTATCGAGAATGTAAAACTTTTATAATTATAATTGTATTAAAACAAAAATAAATAATAGTTATATTAAAAATAATAATGAATTATATTAAGTATAATAATAGTTGTAACAATAATTATTATAATAAAAATAAATTTGTATAGTTAGCAATAAACATTCTTTTATATGTAATAAAGCTTTGTTATATTGATTATCATGAAATTTTATAATAATAATTTTTTTTCATAAGTAATAATAAAAAAAGTTTTTTGTCATTATTTTTATATTATTTACTTGTTATTATTAAAAGTAATTAATAGAATTTTTTATATTTATATATATTTTTGAACTTTTTTTAAGAAATAAAGTTTTATTATTTTGATTTAAAATAAAAAGAAAAGTTTTGTTTATAATTGTATATTTTACTGCCATAATAATATTTATAAGGAAATATAAAGTACTACCAATTTTATTTTTTTACTTCCCAAGTGTATAATACTATTAATTTTTTATAATTATTATTTATTTGTTAATTTTTAAGTAATAGAAAAACTTTTTACTATATTTTTATTATTTTTATATATATTTTTTAAGTTATTTATTTAAATAAAGTTTTATATATTTATATAAATGTTATAAATGTATTTGTGCATTTTACTTATTATTATTTTAATATTTTAAATATATATTTAAACCTTTTTTTTAAAAAACTTTTATAATTATTATATTATTTATAATTATTCCATATATAAAGAAAGTTTTATTAATCTTTTAATATAAATATAAATATAAAAGTTATTATTATTTTGTTTATATTATAAATATATTTATGCGTTTGGTTTTTTTTAATAAAGTTTTATTATTAGTACTTTTATTATTTATTATTATAATAAATATAAATATGTTTTCTAAAAATAATTTATAGTTATTATTATTTTATTCAACTTTTATATAGAAAAATATTTTTTTATACATCAATAAATAAGTTTTGTCATATATTTGTAAATATTTATTTAGAAACAAGGTTTTATTATTATTATTATTATTACTACTTTTTTATTTTTAGTATTATTATTTATATATTTATTATTATTTGTTCAATAACTATTATTATATCTTATTTCTTGTTGTTACTATTTTCCATATTTTATTATTTTTTATTAATTTATTTATTATTTATATAGTTATCTCCATTACTATTCTTATTATTTATTGTTACTTTATATATTTTTAATATATTTATTTATTACTAATTATCACAACTTATTTAAATTTATTATTTTTATTATTTACTTATCCATTGTTATTATTACTGCTAACTATATATTTATTTATTATTTTATTATTATTAAATATAATTTATATACTCGAATTATCTATTATTTACGAATATTAATTATTATTATTTATATATATACATTCTGTTATTATTGCTATTTTTTATATATTATCATTCTTGTTATCAATTATTATTAATATATTATTATTAACTATTTTTTCTAAATATCTATTCTTATTTTTATTATTATTATTTACTTTCATTTTTCAAGACATTGCAGAGAACCTGCTTTAGTAGGAAACTTTTCACTTAACTTTATTAATATCGACTCCAAAACGGGTGCCTTTTTTTCTTTTCAATCGTATTATTTACTTATTATTATTATTTACGTAATAACTTTTCTTACTTTTTATTAATAATTTTTTTTATCATATTATTATTATTTTATTGTTTTCTTATTTATCGCCTTTTTTTACTTTTATTGATATTTTTTAAATTTTTTTATATTATTTCATTATTTTTTTGTTTTACTTCTTAATATTATTAACTTTTACTTACTTTTTATTGGCCTTTCCCTTATTATTCTTTTTCCTTATTACATTATTTACTTCTCTTTGGTTTTTTCTTTAATGTATAAATTTTTTTTTCTTAATAAATTTATTATATACAAAAAAAAACTTTTCTTTTTTTTGTTTACTTTACTTTTTATTAGTAAACTTTTTAACTTTTTTAATAAATTATTTTATTTTACCATTTTTTGTATATAAATTTATTATATATTAACTTTTTTTTATTAAATATTTTTATTATTATTTATTTCTGTTTAGTGGAAGTTCTTCAGGAAACACTAGAATATTTTCTTCCAAAACTTTTCAAGCTTCCTTTATCTGTGGAATATCTTAACAGCGAACGACTTCAGCCTTTTCAAGGCGCTTTTATTATTTATATATATAAAAAAAACTTTATAAAATATATAAAAATATTAATAAAAATAAAATAATAAAGAATATATAAAAATATATTATTTATATAAATTCATATCAATATAATGAATATAGGTAACTACAGTTTTAAAAAATATGGAAGTTTATATAAAAATATATATGAAAAAAGTAAAAAAAATATAAAAATATCGTAAATCTATAATATTAAATAAAAAATTTAAAAAAATATCATAGAATATACATTTATATAAATACAATAAAAGTTAACTTTACGAAATATTGTTAAAAACTAAATAAATATATATAAAAATAATATAAATATGTATAGAAAGAATATTTATTTTTTTTTATTATAAAAATATATCAAGTCTAGAAAACTAAAGTTAATAATATTTAATATAAAAATATATAATATATATAATATAATTATATATTATAATGTAAACCCTAAATATTTACTTTGAATAAGTTAACATAATAGTATTTTTACTACAATCGTTATTATTATATATTAAGAAAATAATAACGAGAGATATGTTTTCGTTATTACTATTGTTAAACTTTTTTATAACATAACCTCTTTAATTTTACTCTTGAATATTAAAAAAAATTTTCTTTGTAGTTTTACTTGGGATAATTTTTTATGTATATTTTGTATGTCTTTCATATTAATTTTTTTTTATATTTTTAAAGATGAAGAAAGCTTGGAACTTTTAAAAAGTGGCTTGCAACTTTCTCCGAATACTACTGTTATTATAAACGAAACGCTTTTGGAAAACGGAAAACTTAATAATCTAGGCAAATTTATAATAATAGTAATAATAATAATAATAACAATAACAATAATAATAATAACATTAAAAGGCTGCGAAAATTTATTGTGCTTGCAGAAAGCAGTAAAGCAACAACTTTTGAACTACAAGTTTCCTTATTATGAAAAGGTTTTCTTTGATCACGCGTTCTTGCTTATTATGATACGCTTACTTTTTATGTTTTTTGGTTCTTTTTATTTTTAATTTTGTACTTATTTAGCCTTTTAATACCGACTTAAGGTTCATTGTTTGTTCTGAAGGGAAATCCATTTTAAAAGTATGTAAACTTTTTCTTCCTCTTTATTTATTTTTATTATTGGTAATTATTATTGCTGCTTATGTTTTTTTTATTAATCTCTAATAATATTGGAAAAGTATTGATAAGCAATGAATAACCAGCCGATTTAGTAATTACAGCTATTAATTATTTTTTACAAAGTTTTTATATATTAATATATTAATTTTAGTGCGACTATATCGTGCCAGTTTGTAAAGTCCGTCCACCTGCTGTGCGCCCAGTAAAAGTTATTATTCTAATTATTATTTCTTATTTTTATAATTGTTATGATTATTATTATTGATTATCAACTTAAAGAGTTTATCTGAAGAACAACTTCACTGCGCGAGGGTCTATTTGGCTTCGATGTCCCACTCAAACTTTTCTATCAGCAGCCAATTGAATGAGGTTATTCCATATGTATATTTCTGTATTTTTAAATTGCTCATTTCGCGTTTTTTGATTTCTTTTATATTTTACGGGCACATTATGATTTTTGCTCGTGGCAGTTTTTTTGTTTGGTTAGTAGACGCATTTCATTATAATTGCAACCCATTAATTGCGCTGAATATTATTTATTTGGTTAATTTAAACGAAGATGGTATTTTTGCCTGCCCGATTGTCTCTTTTTTAGATTAACCAACCAATTATAATATTTTGGTTAATCTTTTTGCCTTTTCTGAAAATTTGGAAATTCAAAGCAGTCTTTACCTACCATACTGTTGCCACCAATTATGCGGAACTTAATTATTATTAAAGCTACCGAAATCTTAGTTTAATGTAAAATGTTTTGCCTCTCTTTTTATTGTTCTTGGCGCTTTTTGCTAAATAGCGCATGTAATTCATCAGGTACCCGTAAATTAGTAGCTGCCCATAACTATGCAGTTTGTATTGCTTAGCCATCATCTTTTTTAAGTTATACTGAATTATACTTTTCCCAATAAGCTCTCTTATAAAACTTTAAAAAAAATTATGATTGGTAAATCAGATCATATCACGTGACTTTGCTACTATGCGACAAATGGGCGTTGAGTTTACTTCAAACGATCTTGATAAGGTTTTATGCGTAGCGAGATATATGTGCTTGAGCGATGGCGCCAGCGAGCTGAAGGTATTTAGTAATATTTTGAATTTATTTTAAAAATTTTTTATCCATTAGTGAAAATACAAGCATACAAATATTGGACTTTTTTTAAAATGTTATAGTAAAAGCTATACAAAACGAGTATTGCTTTAATAAATTTACACTCAAAAACTCCTTTTCCTATTAAATTATATAGATAAGATATTTTATCACTTTATATTATGATTGAAAAATATATTAACGCGTATATAATACATACTTTAAAGCACGTGGATGAAATTCACGTATTTTAAAAAGCGCTAATGAGTCCAATAAGGGTTTACCCGATCCAAATCAGAGTAATTTGAGAGTAAACGCGTTATTAAGTAAAATAATATGTAGCCGATCAATATTACTTTATTAGTGTAACTCTTCTTATTTGTTGTTTATAAGTCAATCATCGTTTGACAATGGACACCAATTATAGTTTTGCCTAAAATTTAAATTATTCTTTTTTAATTTTTAACATTTTTCATTTATTAATTAAAATTTGGTTTTATTAAAATAATTATTAGTTCAATTTTACGAAGATTATTATATATTAAGTAACGAAAGTCATCTATTTTACTTTTACAATAATTTAGAACTTGACACTATTTAATTTATTTAAGGACTTTACCAAATTTTAATTTTAATAACGAAAGTAATTTAGTTTACGTTTACACTAAATGAATTTTTTAGTTGAGCTCTTTATTTTATTATAAAAAAATTATACAACTTTACGATTTTATTTGTGCAATAACAAAATTCTCCCAATTTACTTAAACAACAACTAATTTTAATAACTAATTTTTCTTTTTAAAATTTAAATTTATTATATAACTTTTAATACAAATAAATAAAGACTTTTCTTAATAACAAAAGCCATTAAATTATTTACTTAAACAATTTAAATATTTTTATTAAATTAATTTTAATTTTTTAAAAGAGATTTTTAATACAACTTTACGAAGTTTTAAATTTTTTTATTTTTTTTAAAACTTTTAGTTAAGATTAAAAAAATAAACTTTATATAAAAATATATTAATATTCACTTTAAATATGAACTATAACATTCATAATTTTTAAAAACTTTAGGAAATGACAAAATTATTAAATTTACTAATTAAACTTCTTATATAGTTAAAATTCAACATAATTATTATAAAAAAATTTTAAAAGAAATGAACATAATTAATAAAATATATTGAAAGTCATCTCATCTACGTTTATACTGTTTTTTAAAGTTTACTTTAATTTTAAAAAAATATTATAACTATGTTTTACTAAACAAACGATATATGTACTTTTCTTATGACGTTAAAGTTTTATTAAATTTTAATTTAAATTTTGACACTAAAATTTTTGGCTTCTAAAAGATTTTATATTTTATTATTTGAATATTGAGTCGCTTTGAATTTTACTTTACAATTAAATTTTTTATATAAAAATTAAGATTATTTTTTTAAAATTATCGTATATTGTTTAGACGGAGCACTGGACTTCTGCTTTAGCACTTGAGCAGCTCAGAAAAAAACGCCTTTAAAGATGCTCTTCTTAGGATTTTTATTCTTTTCTACTTTGAATTATAAACTTTAATAAACATTTATAAAATAATCTTTTTTTTTATTTTATATTATAAAAGGTATTCTTTTGGCTTGTTAGTAGCAGTAATAAAAGATAATAGAAAAATTAAAATACGAAATGTTAGTAATTGCAGGCAAATCCAACATTTAAAAAATTAAAGTAAAATATATATACGAGTTGCTTTAACAAATCAAAAAATTGTAAGCATAAAAAAATATTTTTTAAATTTAATTTGAATCTATGCTTCATTATATTGTTTATGACAAAGTATTTTGGAATTTACTTACTCGATAACAAGATAAATCTGCTATACTAATTTAATATACTCAACAAAGTTATGCTACTTATTATATCATAAAGGAAGTATAAAATTACTAGTATGCTCTATACAATTATTATTTTATATAATAATATAATAAATAAAAAATAAACGCAAAAAAGTTATTTTCAGTTTCAATTAAAAATTAGAACTGTTAGCAGTGAATTGTTTCTTTTTAATATTATTTTCGTTAAGAAGTATTAGTGAAATACAAATGCACACAAGACAATTTTTCTTTTCTTTTAAATGCTAAATACCATAAATATATAAATATATTAATATTTTTATTTCGTGTATATGAGTTGTTTCTTAAATTATACAAATTGTTTGAAACAAGAAAGTTAATCTTGAAAAACAGTTTTATTGCGAAATTAAACAACATCAAAAAAAAAATTTCTATGTAGAGAAGTATTACATCCACAGTAAGTCTGCAATAAGTTGCTGAGTTCCCTTATGGAATTAATAAGAGAGAGAAGGTAGAACACTTTTGCCAGACCTTTTAGGCCTTGGCGGGGCGCCTCGGTATTTTCATAAACCCGGCTTGAAAACAATTTTTTCAAGTTCTTGAATTTTCCTTCGACTTTTATTTTCTCTTTTGTAAACAACTGGCTTTAAACTTTCTTGAACAATTAAATTCACTTAATATTTTTTCTTCTTCTTTATCCTCGGGCCCGCCCAACTACTGCTAATTTACAAACTTAGTCATGAATTTTTTATCCTTTCTAAGAGTGGAACGTGTAGTTCGTAATCAGTTTAATAAACGTTATACTTTAAGATTTGGCTCTTTCGATTTTAACCATTATCAAGTTTTTGGTCTTATTTAGTTAGGACATTCGTTTATAGAATATTTAACTTTTTTTTTTTAGCACAAAGATTCATTTCAATTACACGTGAAATTACTCCCAATCCAAATTCTATTAAGTTTTTTCCTGGAAAAGATATTATAAATTCAGGAACTGTAATTTTTAACACTGTAGAAGATGCTAAAACGTCGCCGCTGGCTAAATCTTTATTAGAGATAAAAGGTTACCTATTAATTAAAGTTTAAAAACTTTTTGGTTTAATCTTTAAAAATTTCAGGCGTGAAGAGTATTTTATACGGCAAAAACTGGATTACCGTTTCTAAATTTGAAGAGTATAAGTGGAATCTTTTAGAGAAAGTTATGACGTTATTTTTTCTTGTCAAATCTTTATAACTGTTTATATAGAAAATTGAAGACACTATTAAAGAGTTCTATTCTTCCGGAATATCCGTCTTCGTAGGTTCACTACCAAATGAAGAAACGCCTGTTGATCAGTTGGATAATGAAACGAGTTAGTTTGAATTTAAATTTTATAGTAGTTTATTTCCAGTTACTAAAGGATTTTATAGTTTTACTAATAAAAGAAATTTTGGATCACAAAATTCGTCCATTTCTTCAGGAAGATGGCGGAGATGTTACTTTTGTGGATTTTAAAAAAGGAGTTTTGTATTTAAAGCTTGAGGTAAATAACGTTAATCATTAGTTAATAATAGCGACCGTTCTTTCAAATTTATTATAAAGTCTGCTCATTCTTTTTCTTAAAAATTTATTTAAAAAAATAATTTCATATTTTTACTTTATATTTATTAATTGTTAAGTTATCAAAGGATGCTAAAAATAGGTACAGCTTTATTATTATAGTAAATTATCTTTTAAAATTACAGTATATTTTATGTCTACTATAATTCTATGATAAATAATTGCAATATATTATTAATTTATATTGCGATTAATACGAATACAACGCGAGTATACTATACAGCGACTAAAAAGAAAAATAACATTGGAGTAAGCAAGTTTAACTGATGTTAAATTTTAAAATTTTAAAGACATTTTTTTTGTAGCAATTTTTATTATTCGTTATATTCATTACATTTCTTGAATATTTTTATGGAAAAGTAAACTTTTTACCCTTCCTTAAGCATACACTAATATTGTTGTTGACATATTTTAATTTTTTGAGCAACGTACCTCTTACCAACAATTTTTGTTCTAGAGTATAGATAGGATAGAACTTTATTATTTAAAACTTTTATTTAGTATTTTTCTTTAGGTCTCTTGTTTTTACTTTCATTATTTACTTTTATTATAATAAGTAGTTTGTTGTGTTTATTATATTTTAACCATCAACTATTAAAAAAAGTTATTTTCATTTTGAAAATAAAACTTTTTGTAATTTCTAATAAAAAGTAGTTGTGGTTTTTATTTTAACCATCAGTCAGTTATTTATAAATTTTATAATTGTTATTAAGATAAGAATTCTGAAGTCAATTCTATAAATATTTTTATTTCGAACAATTTAAATTTTTGCTAATATATATAAGACTATTGGTCTTTAATGACTTCGCAAGACATACTAAGAATTTATTAAAGTTCACCTTTTTGCTAATCAATAAAATTCCTTAGCTGAAAGTTTGGTTAGGGTATAATAAATCCTTCACGCTTACATATAAAGTATTATTATTATTTTTAAATCTGCTCATATTATTAAAGAAAGTTTGGAGTGGCGCCCTCAGATTTCTGATTTCCACAGAAGTAAAAAAATTATGTGGTAGAATTTATTTAATTTAACTAAAGACGTTATTAGAATAAGAATGTTTTACTTTTTATATACATCATCCAATTTATGCTGTTAAGGTTATTATTAACAATAGTATTCCTTTATTTCGGGGGACATCAACAACTTTTTAAAGTGATTTAATAAAAAATATACTTCAAGCTTAAAAAAAATGTATTAGAGTTGGTGGAGTATAGAGACAAAATCCCCCTTTTTTTCAAAAAGTTACTTGATCACGAAAACGCTTTTAGGATTTTATATTTGAGGCAAAAAACAATTTTACTTGGATTCACACAGAAGTAAAGACCACAATAATATTATTTTACTTAAAATTTCTGTATGAAAAGCATTGATTGAAAAAAAATTATTTAAGTAAAGGAATTACCTGTCAAATATTAATATATATGAATATGAAAACCTAATAGATTACTTAATTATATAATACGTAAAACGTAGAACAGTGATACTTTCAATTAAAAATTAACAATATTTGGAAGCTATTACTTTTATGTGCTGTACATAAAAAAAAAAATTTCCGTACCCTTTTTTTTAAAAGCTTATTTTGAAATTTACTTTCATCATTTTGTTAAGGAAACTTGTATACCACAAGCAGCCATTCAATTTAATAATTGTTCGAGGGTTATAGGGAAAAATTTTCCAAGACTGATTAAAACTTTTTTTTGGTGTTAATAAAAAGATCGGCAAAGTTTATAGAAAGTTACTAAAACTTTATTAAAAATTTACGTTCATTAGCTTTAGTGACCGCTTTTAGTAGTGTTTAATAGAATAACCATATATATTAAAAAGTTATTTTAACAAAATATTTAAAAAATTTTTAAATTGAGCTCAATTTTTTTTTTTCAAAAAGTTTCGACTTCGTTTCTTGCTTCTTTCGTTAACAGTATAACATACAAAATTGGGGGCTCCTCTATATTTTTGAGTAATTTTTAGTTTTCATATTAAAATATTTATACATATTTTATAGTTCCTTTAATTTAATAATGGATAACATATCCGCATAATATCGTTAAGTGTTAAAAACGCGTTTTATCCTTGAAAAAGGCAGGAATAATTAAACATTTTTTTCGATATTTAAAGAATTTCAGAATATTAAAAAATTAATTATGGTTCGAGTTATGAACTCTGTTTAATTTTGATTAAACGTTTGCAGGTTTTATTTTTAAATTTACTATGCTGCAAATAGTTAGGTCTTTTAGTTATCTTTCTACTCAATTAAAAAAAGCAAATAATATATGAAATGTTTTTACTAAAATATGAAAGTATTTGTATTATTGTAAAAATATTAATTTGAAATTTTTTTAGGCAGAAATTAAAAATTTGTTTTTAAAGTTTATTTTATTCTGCCTTTGTTTAATTTTATATAATTTAATCTTTTAGAACTTATTTTAAAGTTTCTGTTTTGTTTTATAATTTTTCTAAATGCTTATTCACTTAAATATTTGAAAATTTAATAAATTAACTATCTTAACGGATGTTTTGCGAAAATACTTTTACTATACAACTGCTCTTAAGTAAAAAGTAGTGTCGCGTTTTTGTCTAATAACTATTGTTACTATTTTTTTAAAAACTTAGAAAATTTTTGCCCATAAGCTTTAACTTTATACTTAAAGATTAGTAGTTAAAAATAAAGTTCATTTCTCTTTTTTTGCTCAGCGCATAATCCACTCATAAAATTTGTCATAAAGTAATTTATTTATCAATATATTTGCTTTGACTGGGACTTCTTTTGAGTTAGGAAGCTCGAGCCTTTATATTTTTTATGTAAAACATTTTTATAACTATTCGAACTTTTTTAGGGCGCTTGCGGGGATTGTCCGTCTTCAACCGTTACCTTAAAGGATGGCATTGAAAATATGTTTACTTTTTATGTTCCTGAGGTAAATTGATTAGTGTTCTCTCCAAAAAAAAATTTTTTTTTTTTTTCATGTTTAAGGTTAAACGTGTAGAACAAGTAAAAGAAAAATATGAGGAGGTTGGGCTTGAGACTTTTCAAAATATGGAGGAAATGCTCAAAAGGAAGGCTGTTGATACACACGAAAATAATACTAGTTCTTAGCGATGCAAGGATGTTACAAAAATAAAGTTGCAAACAAAAAACCTTCATCTATTTACAAATTTATTCAGCTTTAATATAACCAACTAAATAAAGATTTACTTGATTGAGAAACGAGTAAAGGTAGTGGGCTTACTAATTAACCAGAGCACTTCGGTGTTTGCTATTTCAGTATAGTTGCGCTTCTATTTGTTAAGAGTGTTTTCTATATTAAAGTTTTTTGTATGTATAAAGAAACCTACAATTGAGTACTTGGCTAAAATTAAGCATATGTTAGCAGCGAAGTGTATATAAAGGTTAAGGAAAACTTCAATTCTTATTGCGAAAAATAATTTTAAATAATTTAGTCAACGTAGATATCTAATAAGAACTTCCGAGTGTCTTCTATAAAATAAATATCACCTAACATTCTAATAGCTAAACAACTGATGTTATTAATAAAACAACTTTCGTTAATCAAGATTGAAATTATTTTCCTGGACGGCTTAATTAATCTTTCTTTTAAAGTTTCTATATATTTTAATGAATCAAGCTATCATAAATCGCCTTTCGAAGCTAGAGTCATCCTTATCTCTCCCCTTACAATTCTTACCTCGCACATATCTCTTGACCATTTGATTATAACTCCTAAGCTAGCCAGCAATAATTTTATTTCCAATGCAACAGCTAGAAGTTGTAAAAGGTATACAACTCCAATGTGCTAGTTAAACTTAAATATAATGAAAATGAAGTCAAAAGCTAGAAGTCAAAAAGTTGAATAAAAAAAACAAGCGATGTTTTAATTAAGATCTTTTTCTTCGTCTCACTTTTTTAACAAAGGATACTAAAAAAAGGACTTTACGATACCCTCCAAAGAGCCCGAACTTAACAAGGACTTCGGTTCTGAGAAACCACTAGCAAGAAAATCATCACTTCTATCAGTCGTGTGACGTTTAATTGTAGACTGTTCCTGACAAGTATTCCCTTCCAAATCCACCTGCAAGAGATCGTTAGAGAGATCTCCGATAAGCTTATCTAAAAATTCATCTGTCAAATAGTCGCAAATTTCATTTTTTTCTTTTCCTGCTTCTTTTTCTGAAGCCTTTGCTAATCCTTCAGAGCCTTCACTATCCCCTATTGTAACTGAATCTTGATGAAGTCCCAAAACTGGCAAGTTAGAAGGTAGCATTTCGTATAAATCTTTTTGAAAGGAAGGCACGGCGGAGCTCACTACATCGGCAGTAACAAGCGGAGCAGCTTTCACGGTCAATTGACCATCCTTATCACTTATTTCACAATTCAAATCTATATTTCTTGATAAATGGGGAGAGCAGTTTAAGTCGTTGTTGACGCCCTTGTTATAATTAACTTTCTTACAATTACTAATTATATTACCACTAGTCTCGTTTTTTACAGTGTTAAACCCAGCATTAATGGTATTATGGTAATCTTTGCATATATTAACATTTCCGCCATCACTTTTAATATTCACGTCGTTAACGATTCTATTGGAAAAGGTGCTATCGTCATCACTTTTTAAAAAAACTCGATCTTTGAGGTAAATGTCAAAAATAGAGTCACTAATTACGCCAGTATTTCTAAAGGAGTAACCAGGATTTGGCTCTACTTTATTACCCACCACAGGTACTTGGTTAGAGGGGTGCATATTTAAAGATGGTCTTCTTCTATTGATTAAAACACCAGCAAAACCATTAGAATCAATCGATGAAGGATAAAGTTCATAAGGAAAACAGGAAGAGGAAATTAACTTTTTTTCGGGTACTTTAGTATCAGAAACAAGGTCTAAAGCAGCAATAAGACTTCCTCCTTCAAAAGAAGGAAAATGATGAGGAGAAAAAGTATACGGGAGACTATAAGTATTTGGTTGAATATTAACTCCAGGAAGACGAGGGATTGCTAAGTGCCGATGTTGTGCAAAATGTGAAGATTGAGGTTGAGACAAAAAATTTTTATAGATGGAAGGTGTAGGCCCTCTAGGTGTTGCGTAGTAGCTTGATATCTCGCGTCTCCTTCCCTCTTCCAAGGCAAGCAGGTTGGCTAGTGTTTCCTGGTTGTGCAAATTTTCTGAATTATTATTGTAAAATATAAGAAAGAATTAAAGTAAGAAAGGAAATTAAAACTTACATTAACGGGTGTCGCGCTGACTCCCGAATATTTCGGGTAAAAGGGGCTATAACGATGTTCCATGAAGTCCTTACTCAAACTTCGAGAGTGAGTAACAGGATAGTTGTTATGGTATGTGTAAATCGAACGGTATTCAGACTCATTAGGTTCTGAATTTATGCAGTTTTGTGCGGTTGACAGAGGTCCCTCACCCAGTTTCCCTACTTCATTTTGAGTGTAAACATAGGTAGAAACTTCGGGCTTCTCACGAAGCGGAGGAGTCTTAACCGATGGCTGTTCACGAGTTTCACGAATTTTTTCTTGCTCCTTATTAGCCTGGGTATGTTTAATTTTCATGTGTTGAAGAAGTGAATGCTCTGAAGCATACCTTCGATCGCATTCAGAACAAACAAAATCCCTTTTAAGTTCTAGAAAAGTTCTTCTGTGTCTCTTTTTTTTAGGAACTAGAACGGTGGAAGTATTAAGTTTGCAACAACAGGAATCGCGAACATCACCTTTATTTAAAAGGGGGAGAAGCTGCGGCATTCTCGGCCTGGGAGCCTCACGACGAAAAATAAAGGGGTATCCATAGTCGGGATTATAGCTATTATTATACTCTCCACTCATAATCTAGGAGTTTTTCAAATCGTTAACCGCAAACCATAAAGCTGGTATTTCCGTTTCAAAAAAACTAAAGAGGCCCTAGCCCACAACGTTATTGGACTAATAAATAATAACTGACGCTTTGCATAAAAGTAACGCACGCTATCGCTAAGTAGAGTCTCAAAGTAATATATCTTATCTCGTTGAAACAGAGTATTTATATCGTTTAGATGTTGAAGATTTTTGTGATATAGGGAACCACTCTCTAAAAATTTTTAAAGTACCTAGAACGCTTTCTTTTAGAATAAACAAATATTCTTATTGCATCGTTTCTATAAGTGAAGACTAAGGAAACAATAGCCAACACTAGCGTTAAAAAAGAAACCAAATAGTAAATTACATTTTTTTAAAATAATGTAAACCACTTAAAGAGGTTTTAAATAAAATTTAATTAATTTTTTACAAAACCATTATAATTTTATTAAATAGTTTCCAAAAATTCTTTAGCTGAGTAAGTTTTACAAAAATGGGGTTAGCAACTTTTGTAAAGTAAGGTTTCTTAGAATACCACAAACGTACTTTGTAGTTTACTCAAACCTTCTTGTGGAGCTGGAGATTGTGATTTAGATGACTGTATGACTTCCAGTGAAATATTTAGTATGAGGGCAAAAACTATTAAAACTTTAACTGCGCCAATATCACTTCTTTTGAGGCATTCACAGTTAATTTTTATAACTCAATTTATTTTAAAACATGACAATTGAAACTTGTTAATAAAGATATATCAACAGTATTTTTTAAACATATTACGCTTTTGTGCACGTTAACATAATTTGTGTAAGGCTTTATCAGTAGAACATTTATACCGCTGATAATTGGTATTTTCTTAACTTAAAATTTTGATTCGCAATATATAATTGCTAACTTGTTAGATTTAAAAATGCACACCACTAATTAACTTACAGCTTAAGTTTCGTGCTTCTTCATAGTTAGCTTTTTAGTAGACAAAGGTTATTAAAAGATATAATAACTTAGCAATAAAGCCATTCATAAACTTTGTGAAAACATGAAACGCAAACTTACACAGGGTATTATTACAAAAAATAAAATTAATCTAAACTATTAATAAAAAATTTTTTTGTGACTTACGTCATAAAGACTGCTATTACGAGGTTTGCCGATAATTTTATTTTTAAAGTTATATAGCATCTGACGTAAAAGTATTAATCAAAATTTTTAGTTATTAGTAATATTTTTTAGAGAATAAACAGGTTAAAATAGTTGTCAAACAATATTATTAAAGTCCTAGCATTCTTTAAGTTTTTTTTGTTCTCGTACTATATTTTTTTTTCAATAATTTAAACTAAAAGTGTACGTTTTTGGTAAACATACTCAAGGCTACTTACTATTAATTTTATTAATGCGACATTTTGAAAATTACACCTTATAAATTGTAGTGGACTCAAACAGGTCCGATTACTAATTTATTTATACCGCATTATGCGTCGTTTTTGTTATTGAGGAAAAGCGCTTATAATAATGCAAATATACGGGAATACAACCAACCAATTAATTTTTACACTGTTCAAGATTCACTGATAAAATTGGCCTTCCGCTTTCATCTGCGCTCTTGTTATAAATAATTATTTTAGTTGTATTTATTCAAAGTAATCATATTTAGTTTATAATAAATGTAGATAATTAAAAGTAAAGTGCAGTAAGCTCTTTAGTCGGCTTTGAAAAAATGTTTAAGTACTAAAGCTTTCACAGTGAGAAAATGGGAACTTTACGCTTGTAAATCACTAATTATTGTTATAAGTGCTTGCTGTACTTGCTAGGCCATAAACTATTTTATCAGCGTTTTATAATTTTCTTTATGACTTGCTGGTACATTTATCTCTCTTAGTTTCTGAGGGTTTACCAATTAAAGCTGCGATTTGTGAAGAACTTATGTTAGTAATGTTTATTTGTTTAATTGCACTAATAAACAATTTTATCCCTGAATTTACGTGATAATCTGTTAGACGGAATTACTAAAGTACTTGTAAAATGTAAACTACTTCTTGTTTATTAATTGCTAAAGATGAGCTAAAATGAGTTGTAAAGCTTACTAGCGTTTTTGCTATGGCTTTAATGAACCAAAAAAGTTTTGCTTCCTAGCCCGAAAGTTATTGTAGGAATGTTTACCAATGAAGAGTTTATAATTAAGTTAAGTATTTCGCATCTACACAAGCTCGATATTGATATATTTCGTGAATAAATTTTATTGTAAATATTTGTACTTCCCTAAAGAAGGTTTATATATTTAAAAAGAAACAGTAGAAGACAGCAAATAAAAATTTTTTGTGAACCCTTCTGCAATGTTAAAAAAGAGTCTTAAAGTTATTCGCAAAATTTTATAATTTAAGCATAAATAAAACAAATTACAGATGGTGAAGGGGAAAAAGTAATTTTTTAAGGCTTACCGTTTTTTAAACTGAATAATAATTTGTAACCAAAGTTAAGTGGTGCTCGACTTCCCTTTTCTCTAAAGCACAAGGTCTTAGCAAAGTTAAAAATAACCTAAGCAACCCAAGTGATCTGTACGACGTATTAGTTAGATATAATAATTTTTAAAAGTGTATCCCCACTTCTATATATTTTTCAGAGTAACCCGCTCCAAAGCTAGTTGTAAGGCCTATAACGACTAACTTATTTGGCAACCAATTCTAATACTAAAAGCATAATGTGCTTAAAAAATTAAAACATTAAAAATGCCTACAATTTTACTCGGCCTAAATATTCTTTTGGGCATTTTGGAATCCTTGTATACTAATTAAAGTGGCTAAACCTAATCAATAAATCAAGTAAATAACCCATTTAAGTAATTAAAATGACTGGGTCTATACACTATTTTAACCATTTGGTAGACATTGTTTCGTAAACGTTCTGATTTAGTGCACGTAACTATAATAATATATGCAACTTTATTGAACTATTTCGTTTATTAAAAACAGAGCTGTAATATACAATAATTAAGCATCTTAAATTTTACATATAAAGAGAGCTATAACCAGTTATCTAAACTTTGTTCAAATAAATATTTATATCGAGACAGATGACTAATTTTAGCCTGCTTCCTTTTACAATATGCTACAGTTCGACACCTTTATGATAATTAGCTTAAGGTATCCTTACAAATTATAGTTATTGTGCTTTCGACTTTGATAAAGTTTTTGTATTGTTAGAAGACATAGCATGTTAAATAGTCATATACGGTTAAGAACTTGTTCAATTTAAGTAGAATCAAACTAACTACAATTTTAGAATTGCTAATTAGTTCATCCTGCTAAAGTAGAACTCTAAACTAAAGAGAAATCAAGCTTCTATCTCTAACTTAAAAGGCTAGAGCTCTATCGTTGAGCTATTAGTTAAGTAAACTAGTAGAGATGGCTGACGTATTTCGAATGCAAAGAAAACTATAAAAATATAAAGTTATAATTGTATTTTAAGGTGAATAGAAGAAAACTTATTTTTTTCCCACTCCCTTCTATTTACTTTAGCTTACGAGTTGTTATATCATTTTAAAGTACAAAGTAAATATTCGACTGACCAGGGCGCGAAAACATGACTATGACGAGTATACTTAAACTTGAGCAGTCATCTCACTTAAATACGTATACACGTTCTTTTCTTTTATTTATTTAACAAAAAAAAATACCTGTTAACATAAATTTGTGGGACAGTGCTAATTCCGCTTTGAAATTCATTGAATCTTCAAAGATTTCTAATCAATAAAGTTTTTCATCCTGTAAAACTTTAAGCATAAGGTAAATAAAAAGCTCTAGATTTCTTATAATAAAGAGATAAGAATTCTGTTCCAGTTAAGGCGAGCAGAAAAGAGAATAAGCTACAACAGAAATTATTTTTGAGTCCCGTACAAAAAAACTTAAGGGGGAATGCTGTAACCTGATAATATTATAAAATATATTAGGCCTGAACAATAGCTTATAAGGGCTCTATTTTTAAAACATAAAGGAATTGTATTTTTAGATTTCGTATTTAAAGGTTAAGGCTTTGTTAGAGAGGAATTATTTAGAGCTTCGCTATTCCTAAGCTAAAAGTGACAGTTAAAAATCTGTCTTTTACAAAAATCTACCTTCTCGGGACTATATTAAATTCTGGTCGTGTTAGTTCACTGGCTATTATACGAAAACACCTTAAAAGAAAACGTAACTTTATATGTACTTTCATTAACGATAAATTTTGCGCAACTATGGCAAAAGTTTATATTTTAAAAAGTTATATTACGAAGTTTATTTGTTACTTTTTTATAATGATATAAAGGGAAGTAATTAAATTTTGAATAAAACTATATAGAAGTTTTCATGCCACTAAATTTCGTGGTTTTCTGCAGTCTAAAAGCGTCAAAGCGCTAGTCATTTGGTTATAAAGTTTGTTGCAAGGTTAAAAATTTTCTTTTACTTTATTTACAAAATGGTTTGAATTTTCAACTACTATCATCTCTCACTTGCTGCAGAACTTTTGTTTGTTACCATATTAATTTTGAATTTTTAAAGTAAAACCTAACTTATAAAGCTACCGTACAACTCTTTAGACTTGCGCATATATTTGACAATTTCGTCAGCAACAATGTTTTTACCAAAAATTTGCTTTTCTCTACAATTTATAAAATCAGAATATATTTTTAATTTTTATAAATGTTTAAAAAAAAGTGTGCCTATAGTAATTCAGCTTAATATATTGTCTTTCTGAACTTTGAAGTTCTTACTCATTTCCTTTATTCACTCATATTCATAACAAAATTCTGTTATCAAAAAACAGTTTTCATAACCTTTTAATTATCTTTTACAAATTGATAAATTGGATTAAATTAGAGGACTCTAAAACTTAGGCCCCAAAAGTCATTTGCAAACGGATAAAAGCAATCAGCAATGACCTCGTCTAATCTAACAAAATTTTTAAAGCGTTTCCCCTTTAAACTAGTTTGTTGCTATGGTAGAATCATTACATCTTTAACGCTCTTTGCACATCCTAGGGGGTTTCTCCTATTGCAAGCAGTTATCTAAAAATCGCAAAAAACATTAAAAAAAATTAACACAATGACGAAGTAGACTTATAGACAAACTTTAAAAAGAAATTCTAAGTATACTAATAATATGCGTGAGTTTTTTTTTCTAAATCAGGTTTATTGAAAAAAATTTCTTAATGTTACAAAAACTGATTAGTTCGGTATTTAAAGTGTTTGCTTTTATTTTAATATTGAGTTTCTCTAACCTACTCTTTTCCGGCAAGGGACAAACAACTGAGTTTTGCTTGAAATTTACTTCTTAACCACAGCTGTTAAAATTTAATTATTTGACTTAATACACACTTAATCGGCTCGCAATAAGAAGGCCAACTAACTAATTTAAAAAATTCTTAATTATTTGTTTAGAATAAAACGTAAAGTTAAACTAAAAGAATGTTTATAGGCTTCCTCTATTAGGCGTTTCTCTTTCAAACAATTTCCAAACCCTTTCTTGTCAGACTTAGTAATAATCCTTTATGATCCGAATTTATAAGTATGAGTCATTTCTATACCATAGTGGTACTGTTAAATCTTATTTTGGGGCGTCTTTTGTTTACAAAAATAATTTAAGTGTTCCATCAGAATATTGTATGTATTAGTTTCGGCAGTCTATAAAATCGTTAAATTCTTTATTTTTTTTGTTCGCAAAGTGATTTTGATCTATTTAATATCTTTACCATGCCATTTGCTGACTATCGCCCTTTTAAAAACTAACTTATTTACTAATCTACTAAAAGGTTTTAATGATAAAGCACTGCTTTAATTACGGAAATTTATAATAATTTCTAAGTTGTAATCTTGTAATAAAGTAATATGGTTTATATTAACTCTCACAAGGACTATAAAAGATCCCTTACTTTCTTGCGTTAATGTCTGTATTAAGAAACTTAAACTATTTAATTATCTGTGCCTGTAGCTAATTAAAATATAAAGTATATCTAATATTTTTAAATTGTTTTATACATCTCTGTTTGCAGTACTTAAACAGTATTAAATTATTTTTCTATCAGAAAATAATCTGTTTTTTTAAAAAGCGTTTTATCTTTGCTTAAAGTAAACATTCGTGTAAAGCGCTGTATTATACAGTCGAAAGGTAAGAAAGCCTTATATTTGATTAATGATAAATTTAACATTTCGTTAAAAGAAGGGTACTTATTTAAAAGAAATTAAGTTATTTAGTAAAGTTTTAAGTTTCAACTAGTATTAACCAAACCAATAACCTTCCACCTCCCCACACATAATTTTTATAAACTAGAAAATAGTATTTTATACCATCTACAAATAAATTAAGTTTAAACTTTGATTGTGTTACCCACTAATGGAGCTTCATAGTGTTAGAATAAGCCGTATTATTTTACTTGGAAAATCAATAGATTTCTTCTTCAAGTTTAAATAAAACTAAAGAAGATGAAAGTATCATAATAAACCGCTCAGCTTGAATATAAAAGAGAACTAAAAGGAGAAAGTTTAAATTTTTTTAAAAGAATAGAAGCTTGCTTTTTAAAATTAGTGATTTTCTGTAGCTCCATATTGAAATCTCTTATCCGGAGAAGGAGCAAAAAGTACCTGTTACTACATTTACTCCTTGTTTAAACATTTTTGTAAAGTATAAATATAGGCTATGAGAACAGAAACCCCATAACACAAATTAAGTTTACTTCTGTTATTATTTCCGCCTTCTCTATAAATTACACCATTCCATTTCCTTTGTTTTTAGATGTTTACATCTGGGTAGCCGGCACACAATTATGACAATAATAAATAAAATATATAGTGATTTTTTATTATTCAAACTTCAGCTTCTGGTCTACGTTGAGCCTTTTCATACAACTTTAGTTTAACTTTGAGATATTTTAATTAAATTTTGGTTTCTGTTCTGTTTAACGTTTAAAGAATCATATAAAATTAAGCTTTTCCTACCCTTTAAATACAATAATGTTAATAAACATAGCTCACTTTTCTTTAATATATTGTTTTTTTTAGATACGTAGAATATTTTTAATAAACATTTAGATATTTAAAAGAAATATATCTTTATAGAAATACCTCCTAGGGTGTACCCTTCGCAACTCCCACCGCCTTCTGGTGAAGTGTATTAACGGTTTTAGCAGAGTAGTGGAGTAAAAGGCTCTCTATGTTATCTATAATTTCCGTTATAAGTGACAATGGATCTCCTTGGACATGAAAAGAACGAAACAACCGAAACTGAGCTTGTTCTTTTACATAGAAAATACATATTAACTAAACATCAATGTGAGGAACTGCAAAATGTTCTTGACGTTAACCACAATTACGCTAAAAAAGTAGTGCTCCTTGTAAATTGATTAAAAAAATTACCTAAAAAACTTGATATAAAAAGGTCATGGAAACCAATTTAAGGCTAACTACTAAGTTAAAGGAGAAACTCCTAGTCTACCATAAAACTAAAAAAGAGATAGCAGCTCAGCGTATAATGTTATGTAGGGAAACTATAAGCATGTTTCTATATGATTTTAATATAATAACTGTTTAGTTTTGTACCCAAAGCTTCTTGAAATAAAGCATAAGAAGCATAAGAAAACTTTAGAAGAACTCGATGGTAAACTAATGGAAACGAAGCTTCAGTCTGAAAGTCATAGGTCTGTTAGAAGCATATTAAAATTAAATAATTTTTTTAAAAATATCAAAGAGTTGCTCTAAAAAAAATGGAGAAATCTATGGGCAAGTTAAAAAGTCGGCTAGGGCTAGACGTTATTATATCCTCAGAAAATATGAATAAGGAAGTTTTTTCTTATACTCAATCCAGTGACAATTTAAGTCGCCCAAAAAGTGAATGCTCAAGCCAATTTAAAGAAACCAGTTCAGATGAAGTAATCTATTACTTACCTAAACATTTACGATCTTTTTAATCATATATAATTTTTAAAGGTAAATATTTTGAATTTAGAAATTAAAAATAAGCGTAAGCCTTTACATATATATATTATTAAAGTTATAGTTAAATAATATTTATTTGAAAATTATGCGCTTTTGGATTTCGGACATCGCCGCCCAGGAAAAAGGTTAGAGTATAATTTCTTATTATTTTCTATAATAACTTTTTATTCGATTTAAGATTTATAAATTTTAAATTTTCCACTCTTCGGCTTGAACGTAAGAAATGATTGGCTTGACTACTTTGTTACACCTATTAAAGTGTAGTGCAATATTTTGCCTTACAAAATATTTCATATAATAAAAAATTTTGCACACTAACGAGTGTAATTTTTAAAATTACGATTTGTTTCTAAAGTTGTGTACAGCATCCATAGTTTACTGTGAAAAATGTTATAAAAATTTAATTTGTTATACAGGGAAGACAGTTAAAAAAATTTAAATTAAAGAAGAAATTTAGTAGCTGTTATGTTATTATATATAGTTGTCCATAAATTTAGTAAGATTAAATTATTACTTTGCTCTAGAACTTGATCTTTTTTGAGAAGGCAAATTTCTCTTTAAACTAATCTTTGGTGCTACAAAACAACGCATTGAAAGCCTTTAGTTGATAAAATTTAAAAATTAAAACTTACAATCATTAATATAAGTTTTATTCTTAATTTTTTTCTTTATACGAAAATTATATGATAAACTTTTGCCTATAAATACATAAAAATTTAACTAAATTCTATACTTTAATACTTCGTCTTTTTTTAAAAGTAAAAAGATATAAAAAAAGAGTACTAAAAAAAGCTTCTTTAAGTCTATTTCAGGACAGCTAAGCTCGTAAATGAGCAATAAGAATAAAAAATACTTAGGGTATAAACTAAAGTAACGATATCTATTCATTTATAGTATTAGCTTGCTAGAGGCGTGATATATAATTAATTACGCTCAACGCCCTTTACTCTACTATTGAGGGTGTGGAAGCCAATCCCATCATTGCGTCAACAACGAAGTACCGATGCGCTTTATCATCCCAACTAAGTAGCGCATATCAATAAAGAAGTAATAGAAAAGTAATAATAATATTACATGTAAAAGAATAATAAAGTTTTAATATCTTTATATCTAATAGATCTATGAAATGTTTTCGTTGCGAGTACTTGTGTTATCCCGAGAGTCATAATCAAGAGCCTATTAAATATGTTAAGGTAATTACTGGAAATTTTTTAAGGATATTATTGAATAGACTTGAGTTTACACGCTCTATTTAGTTGGATTTGCGCACAAACCAAGGGGCGTGCACCATCCCTCTCAGAACGCGATTATGTAGTATATGTAGCCGATGAATATGTTTGCTTAGGGACAGAACCAGGCAGGAGACATAGACATGGGCCTATGACCGGTTTATATAACAAATGATAGTTTTCTTGATAAAATTTGCTTTTCCTGCATTGTAAGGGATATAAAAAGGCTATAGCTTGTCTGGTTTCAGAAACGACGTAGGGAAGATGTAAAGTTCAGCTCCGTCGTTAAGCTAACCCCGAGATATTTAATCTTCCTACTTCGAGGAATGACAGTTAGTTTAATAGGAGACTAGAGGTTGGGAAGTAACCTTCTTTTTTATATAATTACAAAGCTACTTTTTGACGCGTTAATTTTTAACCTCCGTGTTGGAAACAATGCCTCAAGTACTATCAAATAAAATTGTACGTTTTTAAACACCAGTCAGGCAGATTTTGAACCATTGTATAAGACTGTGTCACCAGCGTGGGGTCTATCGGACATGTAGATGGAATAAAGGAAAGGGGATATTAGGGAGTATATGGGACACCCATCTTTAATTGTCTAATAGAGGACTTTCTCGAGCTTTAGCATTAAAGGCTCTATCTGTTAGGTTTGAGCTTACCACCGCAGTTAAGTAAGGAAAGCCGGCGGTAATCATTTTGAAGACTAGCTCATCGTGCCAAAGCCTTTCCGTTATCCAAAAAGACAACACCTGTTACTTTCCTTTCGAAATCCAAAGGAGAAATTGGGTAAGACGACATGTTATCCAGAAATTCTTGTAACCTAGAAAGGATAACAAGCCCATTGGGTAATAATTTTTTAAAACAAGGGCTAGGGGGTCTAGTTTTAAGAAAAAAATTTACTTCTGCTAATTTCCACCGTTTGGGGAAGTAGGCACGGTTAAGTATTTGTTTAATTATTTTTTTAATCAGAGAAATAGCCCGTAAAGTTAAGTTTTAAAGCATTAAATTAGAAATACCGTCGTGAATTGAAGCTGTCTTTGTACTAAGGAATTGGTAATAATTTTAAATTACCTACTGGTGGTAAGCTTAACTTTGTTACGTAAGTGTTTTTAAAGGTAGCAGTACACTATGGCAAACACAGGCTTGAGGGAATGTTCATTTCGACGGGTTCTAACATTGATTTCAGTGAGTTGGCATATGACTCTACTATGGCGCGGGGCGTTTTAGCTTAGCGGCGCACCATGAATGAGTGGTATTATGTCCCTAGCCACAATGGATCTAATGACCCTAGTTAATTTTTAAAGGAAGTATTATCTGCCCAAGAAAACATATATATGAGGGACTTCTTTTATTTAATTTTCTTTTTAGGCAGTCCGGTTTTCCTATAAGAAACCTTAACCACCTTTCCCTCTTCTGTGAGCGTGCAATAACAAGCTTTAATAATAGCTACCGCTAAAGTGTTTTATGAAAAAGATATTTAATGGCTACCCGTTATAGTTTAATGCACTTATGCATATTACAAAGTTATAAACTTATTTAAAGTTAGTAACATGTAGGTGCTTCTAGAATATAAAAATAGCTATTCACGTCTGATTTAAGTCAAGAATCAAAAAATTATGAGAAAATCGGTAAAATAATTGAAGAAAAAAAAAAAACGAACTGGAAAAACTCTGCTGGATACTTAAATAAGTTAGTATAATGTTGGTTGACTAAAGCTAGAATCTGGTCCTTATTCTGATTGGTTCTTATATGATAGTTATCTTAATGTAGCTTATTACGGGAATATTTTACTTGTCTAATTTACCTAACATTCGTAGCCCTTATGACGTAATAAAGTATCATTTACCACTAAAAAAATATGACAAAGAAGTAGTCGATACAGGGGTTTCTTTAAATAATTTATGTAAACTCGTCAGTAAGTGTCCGCTAGGATTACTCTTTAATAATCCAACCAGGATTCGAGGTACAAAAACATTGACCTACTTTACCACTTATTTACTCTTACTTCGGCCTCACCAATTCATATCCTCCTGTTCTAGTATCAAAAAAACAATCATAAAATAGTTAACAAAAAGACCGATCATTAAACGCGATTAGAAGAATTACTTTAACCCTAGCCTAGAACTTTATAAAAAACCTTACGCAAGAATTCAGAGAAAGATTCCAAGCTCCTGAACAATTAACAAGTCTTGCTAGAGAGTTAGTAAAAGCTTTTAAATTTATAAAAAGTTTACCAAAATAACTCAAAACCCTGAGAAAACCTTTTAACACTATAAGCTCCGCCAATTGACTAAGTAAATAAACTGAACCTGAAGCTTGAAGGTTATGCTATATTGCAGGAAGAAAATTTAAAAGTAAATAAATAACAGCTTGCTGGATTACCTCTGTAGCCTTGAATTAATTATAGCGCTCTTTAGAGCTCTCCTCAGTTTTTTTGAAGCTTACTGTAATCTACGTTCTTGACTATTCAGAGATTGGTCTTGGATAGTACCATGATCACTTCAGCGTTTTCTGGAGGGCGCCCTAAGCTTGTCCCATATATAAACCCTCGCTGGTTGATTTAAATTAAAGTAACAATTCAATAAAACAAATAAATGAAATAATACTTGAATTACATACTCTTTAAAACACGATGCATGTATTTGATTTTCTACTAGTCAAGAACACATTATAAAGAGCTGTGAATCACTCGTTATTAGAAATGATAACCTACCGTCTCGTTTGCGCAGCTTCTTGTAGGCACCTACCTGTTTTATCTCTCTTTTGACTTTTTGGCGGGAGCAGGAAGGTTAGTACGTCAAATGTTGGAGGAAAGGCACTCAAACTAGTTCAATTCTAGTCGACATTAGTACATATTTTTATGAAAAAGGAAGATAAAATAATTTGCATTCTAGCAAATAAATAAACATTATAAAGAATAAATTAGGTGGATAAAATCAACGAAATCAAATCAAAGAAATAAAAATCAAAGAAAATATAATATAGTTGAATTAAATATAATAAAATATAATCTAATAAAACCTTTAGTGGACTTTGACCGCAGTGACTAAGTCCTGTTTAGTACTCGTTGTAACTTACCAGGTGACTGCCAGAGGTTGCTTTTAGTGGAAGCATCTAACTCGACCTTTAGTACTATCTTGGCGCTTTCGTCCACTAATGTACTCTCTTGACTGAAGCAAGGGTTCATGATAAGATCCCCTGGACAATTTTGTGAAGTAGCCTAAAAAAAAGATAGATCCTATTGTTACAATTTGCTCTTGGACTCACTTTGTACTCTCTGATAATGGCATCCAAATTCGAACATATCTTCAGTGTACGGGTCAGATAGCCATCCCTCGGTCAACGTGTAGTGTAAACTGAAAATAATCTGGTGGTTTTTAGTAAACCTCCAGGATCCAAGACTTTTGTGACTTTTTAGTTGAAAAGACATAGTAAACTAAAGCGATTCGCTCTAAAGTGTAAAGTTTATTCATAGAAGATCTACCAAAGATTTTCATTATGGTTGCCCTGCGAGGGGAAGAACAAGATGGGTTGTACATTAACCAAGGACAGCTGTAGGCAAGGCCTGCGTATCGTAAGGTAAGCTTTTAAAACTGGTAA